TGTATTGCAAATACTGAGTTTTTACAACACCCCAAGCTGGATCAATGATATTAGATTTTAAAACGTTAAGGTCGAAGTGTCAATTTACACAACTTATATAATAAGATAAGATGATTTTTTTGAAAATTTTAATTTTTGTCTATAAAACTCAAAAACACCTTTGGCCTATGAGAACTATATCTAAGAATTTCTCCAAAAGCCCCTCTAAAAAATCATTTCTCTCTACTAAAAACTAGATAATCAACTAAATTCACCATTTCTAAAGAAATGATCATCAACTTTTACTCCTATATGTCATATGCCTTTTGTACTCTTTCTGTTTTGGACTATTTTTTGGAATAGTGTGAGTAATTTTTATAATATATTTTTAAGTCGAGTAACGCTCGAGAATAAAACTAGTTTTTTTTTTTTTTAAAAAAAAAAGAAGCTAAAAACAATCTCATTTTGAGTAATATACTAACAAAAAAAATGGGTTAATAATATACCCAAGAATTTTTTTTAGCAAGCATTATAATGTATTCAACATTTATTGGTAGCAATAAAAATATTCTATAATAAAAAAAGTACATAATCCAATGCCGAATTCATTGGATGATCAAGTTAGGTCTGAAAATATTGACGGGTAGGGGTGGATTACTTAGCAGCAATAGTTTGTGTACGTACAAAGGCTCCCAAAAAATTAGTAGGAAGTTAGAGATCTCACTCCAACACAAAATTTATCTTTCATGATTTGCTTATGAACAACATCACTTTTTTCACCTAGTTACTCTACTATTTACTGATACATTTGCGTTTTAATAGACTTTTTTTGCTCATATCGATCTCCCTTCTTCACATACTTATCCAAAGTTTTTCGAACTCTCCATAAGTGATCAAAATTTGCTATTACCGTATCGAATGACAATTTTTGGTTGGTAAAATATTTTTTTCATGCAAATAATAGTCTACTCCAATTCTTCAAGATTGGTGTAAGGTCTTAGATTCCCAACCATGTCAAAAGATTTTCCCAGAGCCTTTAAGCAAAGTGACATTTTAGGAACAAATGGAATGTAATTTCTTGGGTTCTTCACAGTTAACACACAACTAGTTTTCAACTTGAATATTCATCTTTAACATTATATTCTTGATATGTAATTTCTCCTTCCAATCCATAGAACGAAACAATGTTTATGTATTGACATAATTTCAAATAATTTTTGACTCTTTTCTCCTATGTTTTTTGCTCTGCAATCATAGGTAACCGTATTTGATAGAATAATTCTCTCTCGCTTTACCTAACCACTTGCCTTGATTAAACCCATTTCACATTTTAAATTTCACTTTGATAATAGTTTTCCAATGACAGCCCGTATCTTGTTTAACTTTGCTTTCTAAATACCGATTTTCTTTAAATGAACTCCATGAATCCATTAAACCCATAAATATCTTATATATATATATATAGTCATTCCCATATTTGTTTTGCTATAGTTGCTTCCTTCCACAAGAGAGAATTATGTATATTCAATCTGCCTTCCATTTTACTCCTACATACTCTGTCCCAAGCAATAAGAAAAATCGCTCTTCCAGATTCTCAAGCATTCCAGAGAAAATCTCTACATATCTTATTAACTTTGTTACTCACATTTTTTGGCAATATGTATAAATGCCTAAATAAATGTGCATATGCATTGAAATAGAGTTAATGAACTGCAGACAACCAACATAAAAAAGACTTCCAGAATACCATGATTTTACATTAACAGCTAATTTGTCTATCATTGTCTAACAATAGGTCTTGGATCATTTGTTAGGTGTTACTTGCAGCCCTAAATATCTTGGTGTAAGGGTGTGCTCCTCAAAAAAACCAATGATTTATTGTAGAAGAGTCCTTAGGCTATCATTCACTTTTTCACAATACAGTTGGAACTTAGCTACATTAGAATGAAAATCAGTTATTGCAGCAAATTCTAATAATCTCTCTTTGGCAATTCTTATTGTATTTTGCATTTATAATGGAATGAACAAAAAGAAACTTTTAACTACTCCTATAAGATTTTGTTTTGGTTTATGAACCTTCAGTATCATGCTAATTTTGTACGTCCACACTTTTGATTTTTTGAATTCCTCTATGATTTAAATGTTTTATAAGCATACAAGTTTTCAAAAAAAAAGAAAAACAAGAGAAGAAAAATAAGACATTATTTATTAAAGAAATTGGTACAAAAATTAGACAACCATATATATATATATATGAATATATATGAATTATTTTAGATCGACTTGATATGCAGAGCTATCAAAATTAGAAAAACAATGTATGTTGAACTAAACAATAAGACAAATAACCATTTTTAACGATTAAGGGAGTACATTATAGGATTTTCTGATCAGCAGTTGAATATTTTTTTAACCTATTACCATGATTATTCTCACAAAAATTTATACTCTTTCTGTTCAATGAAAATAATTTATTGTAACTTTTATTATTTTTAACAAAATCTAGAATTAAAAATGTGAAATATATACATATTTTTTTAATATAAGGAGTACATGTCGTCGTGTAGGTTTTCTGTTGACAAAATTGTCTGTCAAATTTTTCCGCTTTAGCCATTCGCGTATGCACAATGGCAAAACCAATTCTTGAAATCTGGGGGAGAAGGGGGACTGCTCTCTATTGAGACTTTAAAGATAACTTTTTTTTTTTTGACGTTATTAATAAATAAATTCAATATTTGTCATAAGATTTATTTATATATTTGTTTTGTAACATTTGCATTAATATGTGCAATATATAAAAAGTATTTTAAGAACAATTTAAGAGTTGAGCTCAATTATCATGGTCTTAAATGCATAAAATACAAAGTATAAGGTTAATTTCATAACTTCTGGAAAGATAGGGGTATTTATAAGTGGGCAGCTTGCTTTTGATTTTGATATTAGTCCCTTTGTAAATCCAAATCAAAGCACTGAAGTATGTCTAGAATCAAACGCAGGGAAATAAATCAATGCATTGTAGTTTACTTTATGAAACTAAAACTATATAAGAATTTAGAATAATTTTTGAGAACGGCAAAAGTATTTATCAATGAATTTGGAAAAATTTAACCCGTCACTAAGTTGGTACTTTTGAACTCCAATTCTCCTACGCACACTCTCCACGAAAACAATATGGGCAAATGGCGCACGCCTTTACTTTGTCAACTAAATTAATTTCACCCGTCATATTCTTATGGTCCAAATCATAACATAAATTACATTTATCCGGAGTTTATTTTTTTAAGTAATGCTAATTGAAATAGATGATTACTTTTGCATTGATCAGTTGACATTTCCATGGGGCAAAAACGTAGAATACCCTGTCTTCCTCTGTAACAATTTAATTTTGTAACTGAGAAGAACCATGCATTTCATATTTTCCACACCAACAAATATTGATTTTATGTCGACGAAAAAAGTGCAAATAAAAAGGAACACATTAAATCAAAATATTTCTTGGATCTGTTTGATAACTTGAATTATTACTTAAAATTATTAGTTTAAGCGATTTTTAGAATATGTACGTTTGATAACTAAAAAGTGATTCATTTATTTGATTAAGCACTACTGAATCTACATTACAAAATTTAAGCAGTAAAATCTAGCTTAATGCTTATTGCTAATTACTCTCATCCATCTTTTTTTTTAATTCTTTATTATTGAATTCTAATATTACCCATGAATATTTTATTATTCAATACACTTAAATATTCTTTAAATATTTTAATGGTATATTTTGATTAAATAAAGTCTCATTGTTTTCACCCTTAAAAATCTTTTATTTCATACATATGTGTTTGGTTTTTCTCTTTTAATTTATTTTCAAAGATATAAAATTTAATATTTTATAATTCGGCTCATTCATTATATTAAGAAAAATGCCATGGGCATTTTAGTTAGCCATTTTACAAAATATAATAAATTGATAGTATGTATTTTATGAATAATGAACATAATTACCGCATAGTTAGGGAAAAAAATATTTTAAGGGTAGATAGGTAAAATTCACACAATTTAGTATTCATATTGGTATTTTTATCAAACAAGAATAGTTCATTAAGTATTTTGTTTCAGACATTAAAATTTAAAATTTAAGCATTTAGAGTTAACTACTCAATCCATTCAGCATTTCTATTTCAGCATTAAGTATTCAGAATTAAGCACTAATTTTTATCAGACAGGCTAGATAAGTAATCATTATTACATTATGTTCCCTTCACATTTTAACACTCCGTCAAAGTATCCCATAGAAAAAGCAATCCCCAGGAATATAAAAAAGTTATATTGGTATCACATTAAAATTCTAGCTTTGATATTGATTTTTTTTTCTATATATGTAGTATTTCATTTTCACAGCTGGTAAGATTCCCTATTAAAATTTTTATAAACATCAATCCAGAAATGTCATTGGATATGGCTCACTCTCCCTGGAAATTTAGTCGTTTGACATTTAGGTTTCACACAATTTTATGGGTAAAAAAAGCTATAAATCTTGTGTATAATCGATAAAAGTCAAATACAAAGGAAAATTAGGTCCAAATTATTTTATAAAAACTCCGAAATCAATTTGATATATCAGATGTGTATATTTTAAAATTATATAAGAGGGGAGCACTTATATCGAGACCGCGGGACTTAAACATGTGAACAATTTTGCTAATGTTTCTACTGCATACTTCCTTCTTTGCTCAAAGAACAAACTTCAGAAAATGATGTTTAAAAGAAAAAGAAAGCTTGAGCCCGAGAGGTAACGCCAAACCATGAAAAATTGCCGTGAAAACGTTGTTCACCCAGCGCCCTGAGGCCCCCAAGAAGTGTGATTTTTCAGTTTCTTTTATTATTGTCTTATTTATCAAAAGTAAAGTCAGTTTGAAGAGCGGATATAATACCAACAAAATACAAAATGTTGTTGTAACATAAAAAAGTGTACTTCAGTCTTAAACTCGTAGTGTGTGTGTGTGTCTATATATATATATATATATATATATATATATATATATATATATAAAGGCTGCCATCCTATATTATTTCATTGCATGACCTGAAAGTGAAGAAACCATATGGCTTTCTTCCCAACTCCCTTGCCTGGGACAACTTCATCACCCGCCAATGCCACTCCGTCCAGTTTGCCCACCACATCTTTCCCACCATTTGCCGGAATTTCTGGGCTTCTCAAATCCAAAAAATGTAACAAACATCGTTTCAGGGTAGCTTGCCAAGCCAAAGATAACGAAAAAAATGCATCCAGGAGAAATGTGCTGATTGGGTTAGGAGGACTTTACGGTGCATCCAGTCAAGCCGCGGATCGCTTCTCATTTGCAGCTCCAATTCAAGGCCCTGATGTTTCCAATTGCGGCCCTGCGACAATACGCGAAGGTATTCCACCAACCAATTGTTGCCCTCAGGTGCCTACGAACATCGTCGATTTCAAAGCTCCTTCTTTCTCCACGATTCGTGTTCGTCCGGCAGCTCATATGGTGGATAGAAATTACATTGCAAAGTACAACAGGGCCGTACAACTCATGAAAGCTCTTCCGGATGACGATCCGAGGAGTTTCAAACAACAGGCTAATGTTCATTGTGCTTATTGCGATGCCGCTTATGATCAACCCGGGTTCCCAAATATTGAACTTCAGGTTCACTTCTCGTGGCTTTTTCTTCCATTTCATCGCTTCTATCTATACTTCTTCGAGCGGATCTGCGGGAAATTAATTGATGACCCGAATTTCACCTTCCCGTTCTGGAGCTACGACATTCCAGGCGGGATGGTTATGCCAGCCTTATATACTGATCGGAATTCGTCACTTTACGATCCACTTCGCGATGCAGCTCATCAGCCTCCGACAATGATGGACCTGGATTTCGACGGCAATGATTCCAACCTTCCCAACGGCGAGCAATTGTCTCAGAATTTGACCATCATGTACAGGCAAATAGTTGCAAATGCCAAGACACCTCCCCTGTTTTTCGGGGGGGCTTATCGGGCGGGAGATGACCCTGACCCGGGCGCCGGATCCATCGAAAACATCCCTCACAGCCCTGTTCACCTGTGGACCGGAGACAGAACTCAGCCGTATCGAGAAGACATGGGATCTTTCTATTCCGGAGCCAGGGATCCGATTTTCTTCGCTCATCATTCCAACGTGGACCGAATCTGGTCCATATGGAAAACGCTGGGTGGAAAGCGGCGGGACATAACCGACCCGGATTGGCTAAACGCGTCGTTTCTGTTCTATGACGAAAATTCACAAATGGTTCGTGTGCGTGTTCGTGACTGTTTGGATACAACCAAACTCGGGTACAAATACCAGGATATGGAGATTCCATGGCTGAATTATCGTCCCAAGCCCCGAATTTCCAAGGCTACCAGGATGCTGAAGAAAAAGCAGCTTGGGTTTTATAATTACACGGCCGAAGATGATCGTTCATATAAAGAGATATTCCCATTGAAGCTGGAGAAAACAACAGTGAAAGTTATGGTGAAAAGGCCAAGTAACAAGAAGAGGTCCAAGAAGGAGAAAGAGGAGAAAGACGAACTGTTGGTGATAGAAAAGATTGTGGTGGACAGGGGTCAATTTGTGAAGTTTGATGTTTTTGTGAACGACGAGGATGATCCCAAGAGTACCCCAGCCAACTCCGAATATGCTGGAAGTTTCTGGCATGTGCCTCGTCCCAAGCCTAATCAGAATGATAGTAATAAAGACAGTGATGATCATACGGACCAGATTAAGACTAATTTGAAATTGTCAATCACTGAGATTTTGGAAGACTTGGTTGCTGAAGAAGATGATGCTGTGGCCGTGACTTTGGTTCCAAAAACTGGCAAAGCCACTATTGGTGGGCTGAAGATCAAGATTGATGACGTCGAATACTAAAAAAACTATACATATATTACGCATATGTATGCCCGACCTCCTGGTTGAATGCTGGACCTCCTGCATTTCGTTTACGTCAACGAAAAAATAAACTAAAATGAAGATGTTTAAAGAAGTAATGAGATGGTTTTAATTATCTATAATATGAAGTTTATCAAAATCCTTCTTGTCTCCTTGTTAAATAGTACTACCTCCGTCAAAAAAAAAAAAAAAAAAATAGTCCACATTGAGTTTTCAAATTTGTACTAAAAACAGTACAAAACTCAAACCTTAATGTGGACTATTTTTGTGGGACGGAGGGAGTCGTATTGTTCATTGATCAAAAACACAGGTGACCATGTTTACACTAGGTACAAGGAGTTCCAAAAATTTACTATGAACCATGTTTACAGGTGCCTTCATAACCTTGAATCTGTTACTTCACTGGAGCAATCAATATTTCATTTTCTTATTAGAAGTTCAACGCACTTGGGGTGGCATTGAAGTACGGCGATAGTACACAATTACGGTACTACAATCTATAGTATTATATTAAGAGAGAAACCAGAGAAAGAAAATTAAATTTCTTCTCACGTTGACACATAGGATAAAATCATACGTGTCATTTTCCTATAGGTTGACATAAAAAATATTTACAACAATTATATTAATAGTCCTTTAAATTCTCAGTTAAACAATTATTATCAATTCGCAATTAAAGTATATCAATTAATTGTGTGGTAACTTTCTATTTTATATTTGGTGAAATGAAAAAGAAAACGGAAACTTTTTTTAAAAATCAACATTAATGGTTTTTTTCATTAAGTGTCATATAAAAAGGTAAACATTTATTTGATTTAACATTAAATCTGATTGATTTGAAAAGATTATCCAATTGGCTTAAATAATACCATTACATATTGATTTGATCATAAACAATATTAATGATTTTTTAAAATTCAAAAATAATTAATGTAAAATCATCAACAATTCTTTAATTGCAAATTCTATGTGTCATTTTATAAAAGCTCTTCTAAAAAAAACTTAATAAAATTAGAAATGAGTCCTCAAATTATAAAGTAATTAAAAAGAAGAAAAACTAAGCCCGTAAACTAAATTTTCGCATTAATTTAAAATTGAAAAGTTTATTATTATCCGTAAATTATTCCTAACCAATTAAGGAAATGATATTTTTTGAATTCAAAATTAATTAATATGCCATAGTGATATTTTTTTGCTTTTAATTATAAATGGAAATCAAACCCTAAAACTAATTTATTTTCCCAACTACACATTCAAAACTAATAAAGATGATTGTATATAACGACCATAAATAACTTAAATTATGATTCCTCTCTATCCGGTTCCATCAATTATGTTATTTTATCAAATTTGAATTTGAAATGTTATTGCTTATCACACTTAAATTTAAAAAAGAAATCTCATTAATATCAAACACACTTGAGCGCTTGTATCCCATATACTACCTATATAAGACTCAATCAGTTATTGGTATTCCACTCAAAATCGTGACTGCCTGTGTATTCATATGAAGAAGAAAGGTATAATTCTTTTTTGTAATTATTTATACCTTAACATGCTTGGATCATTTTTCTTTTAATTCAATTATGCAGATGTGTGGAAAAATTAGAAAAACAAGCAAGTTGGAGGTGATGATTACAAGAATGAACAAAGGTTTATGTTTCCATTAACTCAATACTTGCATTTCATATCGTAATATTTTATCTTTATATAATATGTATTAATATAAATTTCAAATATATTCTACACCTTTTATATTTCTTATGATTTTTTAAAAATGTATATAAATAAACCCCGCACATCGTGCGGGTTTAACATATAGTATTACATTAATCTATCATCTATGTAAATGTAAACATTAGTGACTGGTTTTAAATGTATTGAACTATTGATATTGAGAAACGTGTTTAACGGTCGGCAAAATGCTGGCATATTTTGACTTGTGATCGTTCTTTTAGTTTTATGGGCCAGCATTAATGCAATTGGGCACGGATCATGGGCCTTGCAGTTCGGACGTACACATCACTGTACTATATTAAATTAATCTATCTCCAAATAAACATTAGAAACATCATTACCGAATGAGGTTCATATCACTCTTGTTCTTCAAAAAAAAATTTGAAGTTCCATTGTTAATTTCCGTTACGAAATATCTGATCAGCACTGATTTATTTCATCTAGAGTTATCAATATTACCCCAAAATAAAATTTTTTCCGATCTTGCGAATAATGTTCATCAACAGTCGATTTTCTTTTCTTTTTTTTAATTCTTTTGCATATTTTGACTTTAGGCTACTCAATTTTTGAAATTTTTTATATATGGTAAATTACTTAACTACTACTACCTCCGTCCCAAAAAAATAATCCACATTGAGTTTTCAAATTTATACTAGAAACAATATAAAATTCAAAACTCAAGGTGGACTATTTTTGTAGGACGGAGGGAGTAGTATTTACGGAGCAGCTTGTTTTTCGGTAAAGCATCTGCTATTTTGTTGGCGGAGAAAACAAATAATGTATGCACACATCAATCTTCATTATAGATTTAATTAATACGTCGAGATGGGAAAACAACTCAAAAGATACTCAAACACTGGCAAGAAAATAGTTAGTTTTATGAAATAATAGGGAAAAAAATGAAATATCCTGTAAAAGATAACGAACTGCATCGCTTCTATTTCATCCTAGATTATTTATATTCTGTAATTTGATGAACAATTAGCATCCACGCGCATACCCCCTCCATTTCATGTTAATAGCCTTTTATTGCACAATTTTAGTTTTAAAAACTAAATTATTGGAAAGATTACGAACTGAATTTAATGGACATGGTTGACCAAGTCAGTAAATGGGAAATATATATATGAGTTAGTTATAATAATAAACTATATACACGCCTCTTGCTATTTCGAGGTCTAGCTGGAAGGATTAATCATCTTATCAAGAAAATAAATTAAGTGGGTAGAAAGATTTAAAATGAATTAACAAATGGATGGGACTTTAGTTCATCATCAACTAATTTTCAGAGAATATATTGAGGCATCATTCCGACGTCGATCTTCTCTAACAACTCGATGCTTAGAAAAAAAACATAAAAACTAAGGAATTAATGGATAAGAATCTGCTCTTGCCATTAAGTGTTTGTCCATATTTCCAGCATAAATAAAGATTAATTAAAAAAAAGATTAAGGATTTCAGTGGCACTAACCACTTTTATGTCGTTTTTCAATCCGAACAAATGGTATAATTGAAGGGTTTTGGCCACCCTTAACGTCACTAATCTCACGCCTTTTTAGCCACCTTTTTTCTTTTTATAATTTATGATTTGTTACCTAGTCTTTCTTTTGTCCCCAACTTTATCATGACTGTTTCCACAATTTCTTTTTCTTTCTATCTTCTTTCGTTTATTTAAGTTTACTAGAATTATTTTATTTTAGTTGCAACGTGGGCGGCCAGCTTTTCTTGTCAATTTTTTTTTAATTTTCTTTTCCCTAAATAAGATTTATCCAAATCAAAGCAATAAGCATATCCAATTACCCAGCACAAAGAGCTCAGAATGTCAACAGATGAATTTGGAAAATGTTTCTATGGCGCAGCCTTGAAGAAGTCCAAACGATTGCTACCTGATTCGCCACTTCTGAGCTTCCTTTTTTCTGCACCCTACAGTCTCTAAATGAAAATATAGTTCTTTCATCTCAAAATAATATCTGATTTAATTTTTATTGTAAATACAAATTACACTAAAAGAAGAGAGAAAACAATTTAGATAAGTATGTCCTTCTCACATGTTTAGTCTTGTCGTTAAAATGAATAAATTCCCACATTGAAAAAGAAAAAAAGAAATTTTCAATTGTAAGAATGGCTTCGTCAATGAACATTGCTGGCAGGGGAAAAAAATAGCGTCCTTCTCATGCAAGTAATTAATTTAATGATTTATTGGTTACATGCTTTGAAATACTTCGAAAAGAGAAATTATTCCATACACCAGCGATACCACATCAACACTCATAATGTGGTGCAACAATCTAATTCTCTAAGGAAAGACACGTGTAATTTTTAATATTCATAATAATTCTTTTAATTTTTATTCTCATTTAACTTTTGTCCCAAAATTATCAATTCCATATATATATCTCTAAGATTCACGCGACCACTGTTTCTAACTTCCATCGACGCCGAAAACCCAGAAGTGATGCAATTTCAATGGCGACCTATCCAGAAATAAGGGGGAATAAATTCACCAATTTTATTTTGGATGAACAATTGTCCCTTCTCTAATATAACTACTTTTTAAAGGTCTCCGATCCACGAGCTATTTTACTTTGAATGGCATTTTCAGATCTAATGGATGGAGGTTCAATATGCTCTAAAATCAATTTCTTTCTTCTGAATTTGCTATATGAAATTTTTGTTCTTCAACAAAATTTCTTAGGTACCCATGCAATTTTTTTTCTTCCTTAATCACATTATATGCTTCAAAAATTTAGTCACCCTCACCTCAAAGAGTATATTCTTCTCCTTCGTCCCCTTTTCATCATCTTCATCTGTCTTTTGCCGGCTTGACTTCCTCTAAATAATAGATTATCAATTTTCAATGACTTTGAAATATTATTAGTTTTGTTTCCTTTATTTTTTTCATCCACCTTGCAAGTTTCAGTCTCTTTTTGTCAGATAAATTTTTCTATTAGTATCGCGGTGTTGATGGTCAGAGCAATGACAGGTCCAATCTTCGAAAAAAATATACAGTGGGATTTGATAATTTTAGATTATGTTTAAAGATTCGTATTTTTTGATTTTAGAGAGCAGTTTTAAAGCAAAATATTATTTAAAAAGTTTTTATGTTTTTCTTAAAACTTACACATGCCATTATAGGATTGGGTTGCTGCACCACATCATGAGTGCTGATGTGGTACACCAGGTGCATGGAATAATTTATCCTTCGGAAATCCTATTATTTGTTGCTCGATTTTCAAATTTTACTATTGCAATTTCTAAATAACATTTATACCTTTTAATTTCCTTACTTTCATTTTTTTTTTTAAAATACATGACCCTAACAAAAATCGAACCCTGAACCTCTTAATAATAACCATCCCTATCCTAATCCCCTAACCACCCCGCTCAACTCTCCCTCCCCTTTCCTTGCTTTCGTTATACATTCCTGTTAATAACATTTTCATGGAGAAATCTACCCCGCCCTGGCTTCCCCCTTAAAAAAAACCAAATTTTTAAAACATATTTCGTCATTGTAAGTTTGTAACAGCTGATATTTGTTGCTTTCTTGTCTGTGGGGGATACTTTCAAATCTTTGTAAAATGCCTTTATTGAGACATGTCAACACAAAAGAAAAAAAAAATCTAGAGTTTTGATATTGTTAATTTTATTTTTTGTGCTTTCAAGAAGGAGGCAGATGCCCAACAAATAATTTAAAATAAAATATTCCTTTATGAGATTTTCACTATATGAAATTTCATTTTAGTGGCTACTCTTAAATTCCATCTTATACTGTATACAGTATGTTATACGAAGTATAATACAACTTAGCTAAGTTGTTTGAACTTATAACTAACGTATCTAAGTAGTTAGAAATTACAACTTACAAATAGAAAAAAGTCAAATACAAGAAAATTCACCCCTCGATATTTCGTGTCCAATTAAATCTCTACATTAGTTCTTTAGTATAAAGTCAATTTTGATGTCAAATGTGCATGTGCACCAGTAAAAGATGATCACTTCGATGTCGATTAGTCAAAAGTCAAAACTCCCAGAATTTCAATTTTAAACATGTACTACTACTTCTGCTAGCATGTTTGCTAATTTTCCCAGAATTGGTCCGGATTTTGCGTCTGCGATCGTTTGCAAAGAACTAGCGAATGGGAATTGTAATGAGAAAATGAAGAAAACTAAAATACACGTGATCTTCTTCTTACCTGTTGCTTCTCGTGCGTTAACCATGAAAGCAGTGGAGAAGTTTAAAAACTTTTTCTTTCTTATAAGAACTAATTAAATCAGCTGCTTTCTGAATAAATTAACCTAAACTGGATTAAATGAAAGTCTCTAATGTTAACAAATAAAACGACATAACTGCTACAAACTATCTAGTGAGATGCAAGTTAACGAGTAATTGTTCTTGTTATATTTTGTCAAATTTATTTATACAATACAATTATCGCGTATCTAAAAATATAAATTTGTATCGTGTTCATACAATTAATGTTATCTGCAGATAAATATGTAATATAATGTATTTGTTATATAAACACAGTTTACTTTTCTTTGGTTTGTGTGGATGTCAGTGTCACTAAAAGGGTTAATAAAATATTAGAATTAATTTATGAAAATGCATAAACCTACTATAAGTAAAGGTTGTACCATATTATTCCATTACACCAGAAAGTGAAGAACACAATGGCTTCCCTTTCAACTGCCACGCCGGGGAATTCATCCACCCTATCTAGTTTGCCCAAATCTTCCCCTTTCTTCACCAAAATCTCTCAGCTTCCCGCCTCCCAAAAACGCAGTAATAACCATCACCATTTCAGGGTTGCTTGCCAAGCCAAAGACAACGACCAAAACCCATCCAGAAGGAATGTGCTTCTTGGCTTAGGAGGTCTCTATGGCGCTGCCAGTCTTTCCAACGACCCCTTTTCATTTGCAGCCCCAATACCAGGCCCTGATGTTTCAAAATGCGGCCCAGCTGACCTACCCGAAGGCGCCGCGCCGACCAACTGCTGCCCTCCATCTCCTTCCACCATTGTGGATTTCCAATTGCCTTCCTCACCAACTCTTCGTATTAGGCCAGCTGCTCATTTGGCAAGCAGAGATTACATTGCAAAGTACAACAGGGCTATCCAGCTCATGAAAGCTCTTCCGGACAACGATCCGAGGAGCTTCCGACAACAGGCTAACGTTCATTGCGCTTACTGCGACGGCGCTTACGATCAAGCTGGGTTCCCGAACCTGGAACTTCAAGTCCACGGTTCATGGCTTTTCTTGCCGTTCCATCGCTTCTATTTATACTTCTTCGAGAAAATCTGCGGGAAATTGCTGGATGACCCGACTTTCGCCATGCCGTTCTGGAACTACGATGCTCAGGGAGGAATGTCTCTGCCAGCGTTTTACGCCGATCGGAATTCCTCGCTTTACAATCGGCTTCGGGACGCGGCTCATCAGCCTCCGAACATGATCGACCTGAATTTCGGCGGTCGTGATTCAAACTTGTCTAACAGCCAGAAATTGTCTCAGAACCAGACCATCATGTACAGGCAAATAGTATCCAATGCCAGGAGCCCGGGGCTGTTCTTCGGGGGAGCTTACCGGGCGGGCGATGACCCGGAATCAGGCGCCGGATCCGTCGAGATCACCCCTCATGGCCCTGTTCACGTATGGACCGGTGACAGAACCCAGCCCAATCTAGAAGACATGGGAAACTTCTACTCCGCCGCACGTGATCCCATCTTCTACGCTCATCATTCCAACATCGACAGGATGTGGAACATTTGGAAAACATTGGGCGGAAGACGGCAGGATATAACCGACCCGGATTGGCTAAACGCGTCGTTTCTGTTCTATGACGAAAATGCACAAATGGTTCGTGTGCGTGTTCGGGACTGTTTGGACACGGCCAAACTAGGGTACCAATACCAAGATGTTGCGATTCCGTGGCTGAATTCACGTCCGTCGCCGCGGGTTTCGACGGCGACGAGGATGCTGAGGAGGCTCACCAACGCAAACGCCGCCGACAACGACGTCATCTTTCCGGTGAAGCTGGATAAACCAGTGAAAGTGATGGTGAAAAGGCCCAGTAAGAAAAAGAGGTCAAAGAAGGAGAAAGACGAAAAGGACGAGATCTTGGTGATACAGAAGATTGTGTTTGAGAGGGATCAGTTCGTGAAGTTTGATGTGTACATCAACGATGAAGATGATCCGAAGAGCACGCCGGAGAACACGGAGTTCGCGGGGAGTTTTGTGAATGTGCCTCATCGGGTGCATAGTCATGAAAATCAGAATAATGATAAAAGTAGTAGTAGTAAGCATGAGGGACGCCACAAGAAGAAGATCAAGACTAATCTGAAGCTGTCGTTGACCGAGATTTTGGAAGACATGGATGCTGAAGACGATGATTACGTGGCGGTGACTTTAGTTCCACGTGTTGGGTGTGATGAGGTGACTGTGGGTGGAATGAAGATTGAACTTGATTGACAGATCCGATGATGATTATATATTTGAAGGAAGTGAATAATTCTGGCCTGATTTGGATGAATTAATTCATGTGTTGTTTTGATTGGTTCATTTTGCATCCAACAAATCATTTATCTTTCTTTTGTACTCTTGTGGCTTTTATCATTTACTCCCTCCGATTGCTTTGGGGCTTCTTTTGGCTCTATGGGAGCTTTCCCCTCCTACTCAGAACTCATTAATCAAAGTATTTTTCATCAACTAAGATCCGGGTTCGAACCTGAATATGGGCGTGCAGAAGTGAAATATTTGTTGGGTTCGGAAGGGATCTATCGACTCGAATCTGTATTAGTCGGAATAATGACTTCACACACCGGGTGCGTAATATACCAACAAAAAAAATAATATTTTTCATCCAATTTCATCACTTAAAAGATATGTACAAGAGGAAGCAATAAGATTAAAAATATTTAATCTTTTAGACGGTTGATAATATTGACTATATGTGAAGTAATGATGTCGATCATAGTATATATCAACATTGGACGGTGATTAAAATGGCGCGAATAGATTTCTGAACCTGAAAATAAATTAGTGAAACGATGAATTAGTACATTTCTAGAACGTCAGTTCTCTATTGATTTTACAGACTAAAACTAATTTCTTACAGTATCATTTGTGGAAGGGAGAAAAAAACTAGGTTGGTTTCTTCACGGATCGAAATTCCTTGCTACATCAACGTTGAGCAACCTTCACATTCTATACTGAAGGCGTTTGTTGGTTTATGGTTTTGTCTTTAAATTTCATATAAAAAAATAAAATAAAATATCAATTTGAGCAAGATAGTCCAACGTCGACTAACATTGGGATTCAAACACCAATGAAAACGCCACATTATAAGCAGAGAGAATTGTACTACTAGAACTGCAGTTGTAATAAATCAAATCCAAATTGAAACATCGAGTTTTACAAGGAGTCGTGTCTGGTGGGCGCCATAAATCGAATAAGATCTAGGAAAGTCCAACTGAATACTATTATTAATCTTATCTTCAGTTTTGTATTTGCGAAACACATCATCACTGACTAAATAATGAACATTAGTATTAAACAAAACGTTCAGTAATGTTACACCGACAATCGTATTCGGATTAAGAGTAGTAATATATCCAATAAATTGGAGTTGGTATTAACAAGTTTAGTAAAAAAAAAGAAGACAAAACATAGTTGGTTACAGGTCTTATTTCAAATTACTTTAAAAAGCTCTAAAGATTCTTCTGATCTTACTTTGTATTGCAACAGCTAGTGTTTGAAGTTTTTCAAGAGTAACATGTTGTCTTTACATCTTTGTGAACATATATACTTTTCTTTATTTTTCCAAAAAATGTAATTTCTTCATAAATAAAAATAATTGAGAACGTAATTTATACAGAGAAAAATATGTAATAATGAAAGATAAAAAATTTAACAAGATGCTGTAATTATAAGATCACAGGAGAAAAAGTATTAGAGGTGGTTATATGAATCGTGATTAGTTACAAGAGAGTTTTTTTTTTTTTTTTTTGCTGGATCTGGGAAAAGATTTTTTTTTTCTAATTGGTTTTCTTAATTCAGTATTCAAACCCCTAATAGTATGAACTTTGAAGATCTACAATGTAGAATATCATTTGCGAAACGAGGATTTGCATCCTCCTTTAGAAAAACAAAAATATATACTACTCATACCATGAAAAGAGATAATAAATTATTGATAAGTTAATCAAATAAAGTATAAAATTAAGAAAAGGAAATGGAGAAATAGTTTTCTAAATAAATCAGAATCTTACCAACAAAATGAACTGGCTCATAGCTCCAGACGGACTATGGATATATACATGTCGTGCGAATTTGAATATGAGGAGGACCTCCGAGCATCATCAATATATATAGAGATGTATATCTCAAACAACAACAACAAAAAAAAAAAAAGAGAAAAAAGAGATGAATCGTGATTAGTATTAATATATATATATATATGTATATATACTCTATATAGATGAGGAAAACATAAGCCAACAAAAATTTAATGAAAGATATAATAATGAAAGATAAAAAAATTAACAAGATGCTGCAATTATAAAATCACAGGAGAAAAGTATTAGAGCTGGTTATGAATCGTGATTAGTTATAAAAGAGTTTTTTTTTTTTTTTTTTTTTGCTGGATCTGTGAAAAGATTGTCATTTGTAATTATTCTTCTTAATTCCATCAAAACCCTAATAGTTTGAACATTGAAGTTCGACAATCTAGAATCTTCTTTGTGAAACGAGGTCTTGCATTATCGTCTTTGCACCTCCTTTATTTGAAAACAAAAATATATACTACTACTTTTTTCCTGAAAAGGAAAAAAAGAAAAGGAACTGGAGAATTAAATAGTTTTGTGAATCAGAATCTTACGAAAAAAAAATAAAAATGAACTACCTCATACCTCCAATTCGGATATTAGGAGGACCTCCAAGCATCTATATATATAGATGAGGAAAACAGAATCAACAATGTTATTGAGTCCCTCATTTTAAGATTTGAGCAGCACCACCATTATTTTCGTTTATGAAGGATTGTCAAAATAATAGAAGCTGCTGATCCTATATGTTTGCAGTTCGTTGTACTGTCACTTGTAAACGTGTGTAGTACAATCCTACTATTTCATTGTATGGTACGTACTTGGTAATGGAACCCTATTATTCAATATTTTCTCCGTTCAAAAACAAAATTCACATAATAAATTTGAAAATAAATTTTTTCAGTATAATTGTAGTATAGTAATTTATAATTTACGAGGTGGACCATTTTCGTAAGATAAATGGAATATTGTTTTTTTTTTTCTTTTTTTGAGAGAAAGAAAGACAGACAAATGGAAAAACAAACTATAAGTTTCTATAGAGTAAAACTATGTCACTTTCATGTTTGTGAGACTTCACAATCCGCTATATTTTTGAATATTGATTCCGGTTACTGCATGCATACTTTTTACATTCAAACTCCTCTAAATAAAATTTTTTTAAAAAAATCCGTCCGTTGAAATTGTTTAATCAATAAACAAGACACCTAGATTGGAAGAAAAAAAAAATAAAAAAATGAGAAAGCCATACAACGGCAAATATGTGCATGCTAGACTTTGTGAAATGTGACAAAAAACAAGGGGGTACACGAATGAAATGTGAAATGTTACATGCTAGACTTTTCCCTAAAAAATTTAATTAAAACAAAGGTGGACAAATTTAAATTTTTCAGAATATTTGTGGACATGAATATATCCCACGGATTTCCGAAATCCGAGTTATATTTAAAATTGAGAACTCGGATTTCCGAAATCCGAGTTTACCTCGGATTCGGATAATTAGTTTTAGTTTTAATTAAAATGAATTCGGATTTTCAAAATCCGTTTTCTATTAAATTCGGATTTCCGAAATCCGAGTTTACCTTGGATTCGGATTTTTGAAATCCGAAGGATATAGATTTGTCCACAAAAATTTCAAAAAAATTAATTTGGTCTACCTTTTTTTAAAGAAAATTGTTTAGGTTAAAAACTCATGAATGACGAGCCCGATTAATTTTTGCAGTAGGTAACTACTCCCCAGTGCTTCGTCAGTTCGGATTACTTCTGAACAACTTCTTACTATTTCTTTTTCCCTCCCTTTTATTCCGCTTTATTATAAAAGAGTATTTTTTTTTTCAAAAAAGGAAAAATCGAAAAGTGATAAATGATCTTGATTAATATAAACTTCAGCGTCAGTTTTGCTTTAACTTTTGTGCTCCAGTACAATGCATATATACATAATTTTTAGATTAGTTTTTCCCCACTAGTTTTCTCGTGGACTATGCACAATTGCAGATAGTGATATTTACCTTTTAGTATTAACTCCGTCCCAAAAAAATAGTTCACATTAAGTTTAGAATTTTATACTATTTTTTATTATAAATTTAAAAACTCAATGTTGACTAATTTTTTTGGGACGGAGGGAGTATTATATTTTTTGTTTATCTTATTCTGGATGTAAGGTTATAACTAACTAACTAAAGTAGTTAATAATTGAGCAAGAATAAACTCATCACATTCTTATCAATGTTCGTTGTTTGAATTCATATTATAACTAGTATAATTCTTCATCAAGAAATGATTGTTTTAGTTTAACCCAATAAATTACTGAAATAGAATAAATGAATTACATTTTTGGATTGATATATGCATCTTTCTCAGAGGATATATTTTTTTCGCAAAAGGGACTAATTAACTAAGTCATAAATTCATTGTCATTTTACAAATTTTTACTACAACAATGATACATCCAGTGACTAAGTACAGTGAAAATATATAATGACAAATGAAAAAACAAATACACCATCTACTTGCTTAAACATGTCTATTTATTAATCAAGGGTAAAATGTAATTTTGAAAAAAATGAAATTTCAACGGAAAAATAATAAAAAACTAGGAGCCATGATTATTCTACATCAGTCACTATATTTTGTCACTATTTTCATTTCACTAAGAGTGTTATTTTCCTTTTTACTAATACTTTCACCTTCTTATTATTTAGGGTGAATAACCGTATTCTTCTATTAAATTTGGAGAAATAATTCGTTATTATTCTTATTTTTTTTTAAATGAAAACTTTTGGAACAGATTACTAACTTAAATCCGCTTAATCTTATTTTAAGTTTCTAACCAACCATAATGAAACTCACTTACGTTGTTTTGACTTTTGATTCAGTCTTTTTCCCGCGAAGCCCAAGAATTGAACTTTGATCCTCCATTAACCGCTAAATCAAAAGGTTAGCTCGAAGGGTAACTCATATTCATCATATATGTAATGTGGCTTGGTTATGTTTTATAAAATGCAGTAATAGTAGTAATTAGTATGCACTCTGAAGCTTTGAGTCTGATTAAGCGATTGTGGCTGCTTTTGTCGAACCAAATGTTTTAGTAATGTTGTACGATTAATGCCTTACTATTAGCATCATATGATTCTATTAATGTTTTGAGATTTCCTAAATAGTGGAAGCTGGACATTTTTGTGAGTGGCTAACAACAATGTTGTTTATCCAGTCGGAACTAACCAAGCCCACCAGGTGTTTGCCTTTTTGTCACAATGAACTATGCACACATTTCCTTATTTCGTTGTTTCCTGGGGAATTAAATTTTCTTGCGTTGCGGCTTTAAGCATAGGATTTAAATAGAGTACGCAGTACGCACGTTTGAAGTTCATAAGCTACTTGGAGAATAATGAACGGACAAATGTAGTATACAAGTTGGAATTAGATACGAGATTTATGTTTTGGCTTCTTGAGGATGTAGGGGCAAAGATTGCAATAGTGTATAATATAACAGACCTTTAAAGTAGAAAATAGTTTTACTGATGCTAACATGAGCTACTGGATGCTTAAATAATGCAGATTTTAGAAGCCATATTAAGGGGTAACCAATGTGTATGGAGCTAGTCATCTATATCTGTTAGTGGCATTGTAAGAATGTTAAGTACGGGGTAGTAATCAGTTGGCTTACTTGTAGATCATTTCCTGGTTCTGATTCCCCCAGTTTCAATCCTGATGTTTCTAAATAGTATAAGGAAATGAACCTGAACAGAAGTTAGCGTATGTATCTTGAACATTGTATTCTATACCTGTCCAGAAAGCTGCGAATTGCATCTAAGGTCATTTTATTTTGTGAAGGCTAAATTAGACGTAATCATGCGCAACCAAGTAAAATTTAGTAATGCAACATTCTCTTCATTGATCATATATACTTCATTTTTTTTATAACTTTTCTTCTCTTTTTTTTTCAATTTATTCCAATGAAAAGGAGTATTCCACCAGGCAACCACTCTATATTCTGATGTCTTATCTTGAAACCATACAAAAATTACAGACTACAAAACCGATCACTTGAATAACATAATGCCTGTTGTATATGAATTGGTGGTATAAGAATGGAAGGTTGGCTTTATGTTTAGCTATATCTAATTAAATATCCTATCCGTATGGCAACAATACTTCTCTAATTCACATTAATAATGGAAGTCAAGAAACGTGTGTCTAAATCACGATTCTGGAACCAGAAGGTTCTTTCCAAGAATTTTCCAACATAGTGAACTCAAACTTTCTGCATGTATGAAGAAGGATTCTACTTTGCTGGAACAGTATTTGTAGTTCAAATAATGCAGCTATCTTCTCTTGATCTCAAGCCTTTATCTGCCGTTATAACTACTCAGTTGGATCAGTCTGGATCTCGTTGGCAATTTCTCTCGTCAACTGATCAGCCCGGTCATCGTGCCCACCTGCAAAAGTATAAATCCTGTATGCGAATTGAAAGGCCTTCCAGAGCATTTTTGCCGATCCCTTCTTTTGCCTTTCAGTTTTAGGAGATTTTTCTGTACTTTCAGCAGCCATGGCATCTCTCCTTTCCTGGAAAATAATTGTAGGATGAAATTCAAGTTTCAACCTTATTCCTGAAGTAATAGACAATTGTTCCAGCAAACTTTACTTTAACTGACCTTCAGTGCTAACTCCATGCAGCTTGAAGAAACATCAACCATCAGTTCTTTTATGTGAACCAGGATGCTAAAATCAAAAGTAATTTTGTGATTTTTAAATTTTTTGGTCTCTTCGTCTTTAGTTCTTTCCAGGGCATCCAATTCTTGTTTGACCTGAACATGATGCTTTTGTTAGCATGACCAACAACATACTAATGTAAAAACGAACAGCACTTAAATGATTTTTGGGGGTTTTGTAAATACCTTAGAAAAGTAATTTTCCAATTTATCGATGACTTGGCAAACAGGAGATTCAATTTGCCAATTCTTCAGAGTTTTGAGTATATTATCTAATTTGGAGTATAGTGCTGCTGCCATCCTCACCGCTTCTAACTTTTTTGTTGGAAAATCTTCAATTCTTGCGAAAATCTGTGATACAGAAATTATTAGTCTGTTTAATTTCAATTTATAATGTTTGATAAGGTCAGAAAGTACTAATAACCTGTGTCTCATCAGTCAGCTTCTCAAGAATTGATTCCACATGTTTGTGAAATTTATTAAGTTCTTCCATGTTTGATGACTGGAAAGAGTTGATTAAAGTTTTCAGCTCCCTGATAGATTTTCCATGAATCTTAAAATCCTCTTCAATTTGTTGGAAGTATGCTGACCTGAGATTTAAGGAAAAAAATACGTTGGTTAGTATATGTTCTATGCTGTGGGATGCAGGAAAAGGTGAACCTCCCAATATCTTTAGACGGTAAAGTGCTATGCGGCTTACCTCTTTGTCATTTCTGCTAGAGCATCAGCCATTCCCTGTTTTCCTCCAGTTGGGTTGCTGATTTTTCCACCTTTGCGTGATGATTTTGTTTCTACAGTACCTCCTTCTACCTTTCCCTTGAGAAGGCGATACAAATTACCCATTTGTGCTGATCTCTTCAGCTTGGTTGCAGCTTTCCTCACATGTAGGTTCCTGGCACCTCCAGGCCCTGGAGGAGGAGGTGGAGAACCTTTCATTCCTGGTGGCATTGGGGGTGCCCTTATTCCTCCACTGGCTGCTCCCATGGGAGGAGGTGGAGGCGGTGGTGTCCCTTTTCCTAATGCCATAGGTGGTGGGGGTGGCGGAGGCAATTTTACATTTCCTGATGAAGGTGGTGGTGGTGGTGGTGGTGGAGGCGATGATATATTTCCTGTTATCTGAGAAGGTGGAGGTGGGGGTGGAGGAGGAGGAAACAAAGCTGTGCTTGATGCCATTGTTGGTGGAGGTGGAGGTGGAGGAGGTTTGACAACTGTGCTTTCCCCATAAATTTGGGGAACTGGAGGCGGTGGGGGTGGAGGTGGAGGTGGAATTGGCATTTTTACAACTGATTGTAATGGTTCTGATGCTGGAGTAAGAGGCTGCGATACTGATACTACTTCTTTGGGGGATAATTTGCGCGTTGGAGGAGTAGTTGGCGGTGCAGATGATTGTGATGCTAGTTCATTTGGATAAAGTTTCCATTGACTGTGTTCAGTTGCTGGTGGTGGAGGATTTTCCTTTTCAGAGACGTATGATCGCAGCTTAGGGAGTGAAATTGGTGGTGGAACTACATCAATATCCATCTTTGTTGATGTATTAGGGGCTGGGCCAGATTCTGAATTTACTTCTCCGGTCCAAATTCCTCCAGCAGGTTTCACTGACCCTTCTGGATTCATGGAAATGTCCATTGTATCCTCTTCCATCTCAAAATCTTGACTAACATCATTGGTACCGCCTACTTTTGCTTCAGATTCATGCTTTACTTCTGCGGGTAGCTTTTCCACTGTCTCGCTTTTCTGGTCCAGGACATTGGGCTCATTAGCTACAGCATGAGAAAGCATGTGAAAGGACAGGCGCTTGACATCAATGGGGTTCAGTTTTTCAACTGCTTGAACTCTGAGTTGAAGAAGAAGAGGTGGAGAATAGGATAGTTTTGTCCCCTTGGATAACATATTGCCGATATCTGGAAGGACTGAAGTTGGAGTAGCTGGAGAGCTTGAAAGGGAAGTTTTACTTTCTGAATAAGACTCTGAATATGAAGCCCTTCCAAAGGCATTTTCTGGGGAACTAACATCACTTATTCTCTCATCCTCGTCCATCATATCAAACATCCTTTCTCGAGCTAGCTTGTTCATGTCCTCCAGCATTGCCTGCGCTGTTTCAGGTAAAGCAAAAGGAATTGCTTTTAAACTTCAAAAACGTGCTGATTAAGAAGATTTTGCGAGTATTTCAAATGTAGTACATACCAAGCTGTTCCAGTTCATCTTGGCCTAACTTGCTAGATGCATCATATTTGCACTTAACCATCCATTCCACATTGTTTGTCCATGAGTCGCCAAGCGCTTTCAGAGCATCACAGAAGCAGCGGAGTAACTGTGGAAAGATGATTCTTAACAGCGTTAGGACTACCATCTGACTGAATCTGGTGATTAATTGATAGGCTATGATGTGACTACTTGGAGATTTGTAAGGGAAAAAAAGGAACAGAAGGAAGATAATAACCTTTTGCATCGCTGTTGCTTCGATTTCTGAGATTGAAATTCTTGGCCTCGTAGAAGGATACAGTCTGTGTAAATCTTTTAGGGTCCATATTAGAAGCTGCAGACGGAAAAGTCACAATTAATAAAGATTTTGCAAAGGGATTTTAACCCGACGGCCTGAGTTCTAAAGATTAGTTTGATCAAGACTGGAATCGAAACGTACCTCATTAACAGTAGCAGTACTGATGCAGGGAGATAGGTCAAGCAAGTCTCTGAAAGTGAGAATCTTTTTCCTAATATCTGTCGTCCTTATAAAGTTCTTAGCAACCCCAGATGAGTTGCGAACTGTAGAACCAACAATGGAACCCTTCATCTTTTTCTTTTTTTTTGATGATTTAGAACTCTTAGTTTGTTCTTTTCCCTGCAAATGTTAAAACAGCCATTAATAGTTGTTATGGTTTGGCCTCAAGTATTTTGTTATCTACAATTCTGTTCATGAAATAATTGCAGTTTAATCAGCCCAGAAATATGATACTCCCTCTGGTCCTTATTATAGGGCATTTTGATTTCGTCATAGGTTTTACGTAGAATGTATTTTTAATTGAAATAAAAATTTTAAAAATATTTCATAATAATTAAGAGAAAACACAACAAATGAGAAAATATATGTTTAAGATTTTTTCTCTAATTAAAAATACATCATAAATAAAATCTAGGACGACATCAAAATACTTTATAATAAGAACCAGAGGAAGTATCATATATATGTGCTTACTCCTTTCCTATACTCATCATGTCCTTAAAAATAATTCATATTAAATTTTTAAATTTGTACTATAACTAATATAGATATTAAAATTCAGTGTAGACTATTTTGCTGTGACGGAGGGAGGGAGTATTACAAAAGTAGTGTTATTGGTATGCTTCCGATAAGACTAATGATCCTGAACATTTATGGACAACAAAGTTCTTGTAGGCTTGAAAGACGATTTGTGACCCCCCAAAAAAAGAATAAATTGTTTTAATGAAGAACCTAAATTTGTGTATCATTGATAATATCATCACGTTCATACCTTCAAAATAGACATTCAAAGAAACCTTTTTCCATAAAAGTAACGGAAATGAAACCATTTACATGAAAACAAGCCTAAATGGTGAAGAACAAAGATTAAAATGTAAATAAGGAATCAAAAAACAAACCTCAAACGCAGAAAGCTTCTTACGAAAAAGGAAGGGAGCCACACCACACCAAGACCCAACGGCCATACCAAGTTAAAAGCCAATCTTTATAAAGTCTTCCTCCTCGTTCTTTAAAGGCAACAAAGCATTTCTTTTTAGATAATTATGAACAGAAAAATTATTTTCATTATTATTATTTACAACAATAATAACCAGGTCACTTAGAAGACTTTTATTGTAAATAATAATTAATGTACAACAAAATCAAGGTTGTTTGCTTATGCAAGAAGAAAGACGTGCGTAACACATCAAGAAGATAGTAAAAAAGAGATGATCACAAGGAAGAAAGAAGGAACTTTCAAAACTTTTGGAAGATCAAATGGAAAAATTAAAGGGATAATAAATGGTAATAATTTGCACAATAAAAAAATTATATAATATGAACAAATTATTTAAGAATAAAATTAACACATAACGTGCAGACAATAATCTGGGGTTTTTGGTTTGAGATTATTGGGAATGATGATTATTGATCTCTTCTGTCGGACAGACTTCTTCTTCCCTTGTTTCCACAAGAGAGAAAATGAGAGCCATTTTTTGGACAGGAGAATCCTTTCCCGTTTATTAAGACCAATTTCCGTGTAAGGCCGTAATTTTCGTATTTATGATTATATAAATTTGAACATTATGATGAAGAACTTTAGTTGTTTTGGATAACGATTAAATCGTGATAATATATATTTGTTTTTTCCACCTAAAGTTTTATTTTTTTTTTCTTTTTGGGTCCCGGGAGAATTGGAAATATTTGTGATCATAATTTTGCCAATTTTTGTTATCTCTCAAAAGTAGTAGTAGTATATCTCCGATACTGATGATTTTATGGTCAACATTTAGATTTTTTACTCCCTATATTTTCTTTCGTTATAAAATTGTTTGTTGAAAATTACAATCATGGCCAACCTGGAATATGCATTTTGTCTTCTAAGAATATACATTACTGGGTCAGATACTAACTTGCAGAGCAACTAAAGGTTTTTCTAAAGAAAAGGAAACTAGTGAACACCAGCTTCGCAACCCTTGGTGTATTTTTTGAAACTTTCTTTGTCCACCCTTTGTAAAGACGTAGAGTCACCATCGATCATTCGTCACAATATATAAGATAGTCATAGAATTATTTCATACCCTTAGCTAGGAGAACATACATGTTTTTTACTTTAATTAATGTTCCTAAATTAATCAGGAATCCAAGCCTCTCTTGACCATGCATATATGAGATATTTGGATTTTCTTCATTTATGTTAATTGATTTTGAGTATGAATTTCAAGTTTTCTAACATTTAAGTTCATCATATTTAAACCAAGTACTCCCTCAGTCCCATAATTATTGTCCAGTTTGGGTTTTCATTTCTAGTTCAAATTGTACTAAAAATAAAATCTCAAACTTGACAATAATTTTGAGACAGAAGGAGTAATATATATAGATTTAAACCAATTAAGTCTTTTTTTTTGTGAGTTTTGATAGGTAAAATACTCCAATAAACACGATCTGATCATATTTACAATTCGAAACTCATTATTCTAATATTGTTCTGTTTGATACGAACTTGCACGAGCTCCTTGATAAAAAGTATTTTACTGAAATTAGTCATTTTTTTTTCCAGAGGAGAATTTTTCCCTGATGGAATTTTTTTATGATTTCTCCCAATTTCGGCCACGCTCGCTCCCTGGAACAAAGCCAAGAAATCCTTACAAATTTCTGCTATCCATTAGGAAGCTGCAACGATGAAATAAACCTAGTTACTGTTCCGTTTTAATTGGTTCGCATTAAAATAAAAATATTTCATGCTTCATTTTATAGCACGAGAAGCACCAGCTATAGTGATCAGTTAATGGCTCATTAATGTTATTTTTGTTTTAAAATAAGGGTCCTGTTTGGATTGAACAGAACAATTACGACAAACAATATCTTGTTTGGAGGGGTATATAAAGAATGGCAAATTCAATATTTTTTTTTCAATTAATTTATGGTTAGTGAAATTGTAAACTTAGAGCATTTACAATGGTTTACACTATTGTGAATATAATAATGTCATAAATATTTAACATTATATTTTTATTTTAATTTTTTATTACATTGATTTACACAGTAAAAATATATAAAATGAAATAGTTTTAGTATTATCATAAATTCACATTAATTATAATTTATACTTTATGATAAATAGTATAATAAAGTAGTTATTATGTAATTATTTAATACCATTGTAGATGCTTAGTATGACTGCAGAATTTTACCATTGAATTAAAATACCTAACCAAAATCAAAAGAGAGAAAGGAGTCAGCTTCAATAAGCATAATCGCGTCAAGTCGTCAAGGTCAAGGGCTATATGCATAAAAATCAGCTGAAGCAAAGATCTTTGACTTGTGCTATCCAAAGTCAAAAGTCCAGGAGCACATGGAGATGGAGGGAGAAAAATGGAAATTGAACCCGACATAAATTAGAATGTTCCGAAATTGGCCATTCCATTTTCTGGATCGACCCTGAATGAAATCCTTAATTTGTAACTTTCCAAATCTTTTACTGGAAATTTTAAGGAAGAAATTTAAAATCCAACCAAATCTCTATATACTACCAAGTTTGGCATAAAGTGCAATATCGTCACCACAACACCAAGAGGAGGCAATGGATGACGAATCATTTTTGCGGGCGGCGCAAGGGATTTTGAATCTGTCAATTCCAGTTTTTATTCCTAATAAACACCTTTCTATTTTTCCATAGAAAAGAAACTCCGTTTATTTTCTCTATTTCTGTTTAAATGACTACGCGTATATATGTTTCATGATGAAGGAATTGAAGATAAAAATATAATAATGGAAGTGTGAGTTTAAGAAAATACAAATTAATACGTTATTTAGATAGACAACACCGATTATATTGCCTTTCACCATGATTTGACGCACAAAGGTGTGCCTCCTCTCTAGTTTCAAAAAATTCTTTCAAAATTAATGGTTGTTGCAATGATGTCATCCAAGCCAAATAATAATCAATCGCAAAGTTGATCTCTCTATGGACATAATTCAATTAAATAGTTCATTCCCTCTAGCTGGTGATAGTAAAATTTCCGTCAGTTGGAAGTCTTTGGTTCTCGCCAAAACTATCAAAGAAAATTTCAACTATTTTCAAATTATTCCTAAGAAAGTTAGCAAATGCTGCAGAAATATTTGCCACTCATATGGAGGGATGTATGAGAAACATACAAAAGAGACCATCAAAATGACGAGATACAGATCAAACAACTAAACGATTAAATATTCAACATCTTTTCAAGTTAAAATTAAATGGGTGCTTGATTTTTATATTTTTTTTGTGCAAATTAAAAGCAATTCAACATCTTTTTAAGTTAAAAAACAATTTATGATCAAATAAACAAATTTGAGTTGGCAGGATACTTGCTAAAGGCAGTATAATTCCGAAATAAAATAAAATAAAATAAATAAAATCTCCAAACAGAATATTTGCTCCTATAACATGAGTTTCCGAAACAAAAGCTATGCATACGATATTACCTCTTCAGTCTCAATTCAACCGTTCACTTTGTCATAAGTTCGATGAAGTGCACTACTCAAAAAATGAAAAGGATGGAATATGACTGAATTTTTCAATTTTTTTTATTAAAAACTAACTAATACAGTAATTATTTGAGAACAGATAATTAATAAGGTTTAGGTAGTTCGCATGATGGAGTTTGTCCACTAGTCGCCCTCAGGATGCATGAGCCGAAAGTGATATTTTTTGTTCATTAAGTTGAAAGTGAAAGATGAATTCTACATCATTTTGAAGATTTGTTCATGGTATATATGTGCTATGGAAGTCCCACCAAATTAAATTAAAAGGAAATGATTAAAACACGAGAGTAAATCAAGAAAAGAGCAAGACCTTAACCAGTATTCATACCGGAGAGTATATCTTTATTCGTACTGTTATAGCAATTTTGAAACGATGAAGACTAGTAGCCTTCAGAGGGGAAAAGTCGTATCCCAGGTTGAAAATTATACATCATGGTCAAAGAAATGTAAAATGGGAGAGTACTAAAAGGGTCAAAATTTTCTTAGTATAACGGTACATTTTCTTTTATTATTTCTTTTTGTGAATAATTTGTCATAGAGTAATTTCTTTTTACCGAGATAAATTTTCACGCCAGGAAGTTCAATTGATAAGATGTATATCAGGATCCCTAATTAACATATGCATGTTAGTGTTGTCATGTTAGTGATTTTCATTTCCAACATTTACTTTTATCTTAAATGTATAAATTAAAATGTTCGATTTATTTTTTTTTACCGATATTAATTGTTATACACATATGAAATACTCTCTCTATCCCATAATTATTGTCCAGTTTGAGATTTCATTTTTAGTACGATTTGAACTAGAAATAAAAACCCAAACTGGACAATAATTATGGGACGGAGGGAGTACATGAAACAAGAGGAATTATAAGATCTTCTTGATCGATCTTGTCATAGTCAAAACTATATTATATAAAAGGAATTTTTAGTTTTTCTTGGTTCATTCAATATATAAAAAGTACGTGTTAGAAGGTTTAAAAAGTCCTTAGTAAATTCTTCTGTTTTGATTTTTTTCTTTTAAAAAAACTTCTACTTCGTAGTTCTTTCAAAATTTTCCACAGATATGTCAAAACATTTACCAAGTATTTTCCAAGAGTCCGTTCTGATTAGTATTACTAGGGAAATAGAGAATTTCCAAATGTTCATCATCACACACGAAGATGGAACTCCCTTATAAATACCAGCGTCCGCAGGGCTTTGCCACCAATTTTAATTTCCATCTCAAATTCTGTTTTGAAAACCATAACATAGATACTACTTGTTCCAACAAAAACAACAGTCATTTTCTTCTTTATTCTCTCCTTTAATTCCCGCTAGATAAATTCTGCATACTTTGTTACAATATATTGTTTCAAAAAAAAAAATTTTCATCTTTGTTAACGAGTACTACTATGAATCAAGTACAAAAGCCTTGTGACGTATTCATCAATCATCGGGGAATCGACACCAAGAAGAATGTGGCGGGTTTGCTGTATTATCACCTCAGGAGATTAGGACTTCATCCATTTCTGGACAGCAAGAGCATGAAGCCCGGAGACCGGTTGTTCGATAAGATTAACGCCGGAATCCGGCAATGCAAAGTTGGAGTGGCAGTGTTTTCTCCCGATTACTGTAAATCCTACTTTTGCCTGCATGAATTGGCTCTAATGATGGAGACCAAGAAGAAGGTTGTACCGATTTTTTGCAACGTAAAACCTTCGGAACTTAAGGTTTTGGATTACGGAACTTGCCCTCCCAAGGATTTAGAGAGGTTTAGCCGGGCTCTTGAAGATGCTAAAAACACCGTTGGACTCACTTTTGATACCTCCTCAGGGTACGTAATTATTTTTATTATCACGTTGACTTTCATTAATGATATTAACGTTGAAAATGCTGCATTTTGAGCTTAATTAAGTTAAAATCGAAACTAACGTTTTTTTTTTTTGGTTGATTGATTTGGGAATTAACAGGGATTGGTCCGAATTCCTGGAAGATGCCTCGGAAGCAATCATTAAAAGTTTGATGGAGGTGGGAGAAGAGGAAGATTATCTGGAGCGGGACTGCCAATTTCAATAAGGGAAGCTCAAATTAGTTTGAGATATGATGATTCTCGTACGATTTGGCAAAAAGGACAACGTAGGGGAATGGATCGCTGGCTTCATTTAATTTATTCATTTGTTAATTTTTCTAACCATTTTTTTTTGTTTCCATTTTTTTTGTTTGCACAAAATGTCATCCCTTTTTTACCTTAGCTAGCGTCACATGGAGTTCATGTGCATGTTAGCATTTGTTTGTAATTTTTTTTTTTTTTTTTTATGTTTACATAAATGTAAATTTATGGGGAACACATGTAACTTAATGAAGAATGAAGCTGTATTTTAGAGATGAATATTATAACTCTTCTTGCATTGTTATAGCTACGTCCAATTTGATGCTTTATCTTGCGGTAATTACCCACACCTTTCAAACTGGTAACGAATGAAAACGTCGAATATGGGCTGAGATGAACATGATGATGAAGGCTTAATAAGAATCGGTTTTCCTCCGGTTTGTTTCTTGTGTGTTACTCATTTTTATTACTCCACACAAAAAAAGAAAGGGAGAGAAAAGAAAAGAAAAAGAACACGAGTAAATTGAGTAGCACTAGGGAATAGTTTGACTTGTGTTTAGTTCCACCAGTCAAAAAGTTGACATGCGGGGACTGCAGCCGCAAGAATGTTCCAGATTTTTTCCATGCAATTTTCCGGATTAATGAGATTTTGAAACTTCTTCAAGTGTTTATAACTTTGAAATTTTTAAGAAAGAAAATTAAGCAAAATGGATGGATAGTTTGGCACAAAAGTGCAATATTTATAGCAGACAGAGGCGGCGGCTCAGAGGATCGATTTTGAATTTGTCAAACCCACGCACCCTAGACCTAGAGCTGCTTCTTCATGGAAGCAGGGGATTCTGGCCTTCGATCTGCCCTTCGAGCAATAATAATAACACTACTATGGCAATATGCCCTTATGTCCATTGAGGTTATATATACGGACGTCTCATTTCACAATCTGACTGTCTCAACGCTTTCGATCGAAGAAGACACATGCAGCACACGTACGTACTGGCCGTGTGACATTGCCCCGATGTTTCATGAGATTCAGGTCCTTACTTATATCAGATACTCTCCGATTATAAGTCACGAACTTAAACCAAGTTTAGTGTTAATTTGTATTTTATTACTACGTTGTTGTGATGAATGAGACATTGATCACTAGAAATGCATGTGATGTTTTTCGTTATACTTGATGAACCTCTAGTTTATTTATAAAATAAGATGTGCATATATCCACAGTTTTGTAGGTCCTTTTTGGGGGGGGGGTGGTTTTGGAAACAATAATGTCCGTTACATTGGTCTCATTGTTCAAATTAATAATGGAAGCGTGCTGAAATAACTGTTACATTAATAATTAATAATATACACACATGTAACTGTGTAAACACATTGAGTGAAACTCATGGGGAAACCTTCCCTAGGCTTCTATATATGATCTGTTGCAGAAGGAATTCCGAAAATCACGAAGTCGGGTTATGCTTATGTCCCAAAACCAGAATTAAATCTGCTACTTCACTGGAGTCAATCACATTATGTACTAGAGAACAAGGTGAACCAGGAGATCATATGCATGATACTGTATAAACTAGGGTATACACGAGTAGAGTTACTAGTATCATGGTCGCATTCAACCCATTTATGAGCTGCTGTATTAACTAGGATTATTTTTCCGGGAACTTTCTATTATGTTTACCTTAGTATCACCAGTGCTATGGTTGATGCCTGTAATTCATTTGATTTCAATAGTTTCAATTCAAATGTCCTATTTGTGAACAACGAAAAAAAAAAAAACCTTTATCTCTTGGAGCTTAATTGGTATAGCTTCAGACACTCATTATTTAGCTCAGATGTAAGGGTACGAATTCTTTCAAGTTGATACTCCCTCCGTCCTGAAATCATTCTGCAATTTTCAATTTTTATTTTTAGTACAAATTGAACTAAAAGAGAAAGCTAAAAAATGGACAATAATTTTGGGATGAAGGGAGTATTTAATACTCTTCTTACTAATTGATACTTGTACCCCATCCTTCAGAATTAGTACTAATAAGGCGTTCACATGTGATATTCATCATAGCTAAATAAATGTTGGCAAATGAATCAGCACTTTGACTTGGGCTAGTTCCAAAGTCAACGACCACATTGACATGTAGGAGATGCATGCAGGGGGGAAAGAAATGGAAATTAGAGCATCGTGAAGCTGCGCGGCAAATTTGTCTGAATTGAAGTATTGAACCCAAAATTTTGTGACTTTCCAAATGTTTTACTGGAAAATTTGAAGGATAGTTTGGCATAAAGTGCAATATATGAACAGAACGAGGCAATCCATGACGCATCATTTGCGGGCGACTGATCAAGTGATTTTGAATTTGTCAAACTCGAAATTTCTAGTCCTTATGGTCCTTTTCTTCTTTGGGTTCTATTAACTCAACAAATACTAGTGCATAATGAATAAATTAGCTACCTGTTTAAATTTATAACTATGTAATATCCACTCAAAACATCTGCTCAGTAGATTGGTCCACGCACATGTATTATGTATAATCCTTTATATGGTCAATTTCAACCCATCCTTGTTTTCGGTCGTGACAAATATGGGACTGACAATTTCTTGACGGTTACATAACCTTAGAAGGAACAACCTATTAGTATTAACGACATGTCAATGTGGAATATAATACTCCCTCTGTCCCATAATTATCGTTCCGTTTATGTTTTTATTTCTAGTTCAAATTGTACTAAAAGTAAAATCTCAAACTGGACAATAATTTTGGGACATAAGGAATGTAAAATTGTCTTTTTATACTTTTTTTTTTCTTTGCAAAAAATTCCATCAATTATGAATCTTACAAATTAAGTCGCCGTACTAAAACGAGAAATGAAAATCAAACTAAAGTGTGTTTTGTTCCTTTCAGAACTTAGAGGTTAAGTATACCTTCGTTTCCGAAATAAAATTCGGTTTGTATAACTAAAGTATAGTTACTTGTAAAGGAGGAAATAATAGTTTATGTTAGGGTGATGTCATTTGAATGTAGTAGGTTTATCGTTCGGAATGTTTAATTCTAAGAGCCAACACCTACTTCGAGTCCTCTGTCCTCCTCCTCTTTTGTGTATTACTTTGAGGATATAATTAATAAATGTAATTTTTCTCATTAAACGCGCAATATCTCTTCTAGAGGAAGAGGTATTGGAATTGTTCCATAAAAATTATTTTCAACTTAATTACCAAGTCAAAATCTTCCTTTTCATATCTGAACAGAGTCACCGGGCACTGTTAGTCCCGGCTGGGGATCAACAACATCAATATTATTAGGTCATGAAAACCTTGAATAGATATTGTATACAACATCAACCTTGAATATATATGTGTGTATACCATCTATCACAAAAATATGGACCACAATGAATTTTGAGTTTTGTATTTAAAAAGATACAAATTTTAAAATTCAATATGGGCTCTCCCTCTATTCAAAAAAAAGACATTATTAAGTCTTGAGATCTGTATCAAAACAGTACAAAAATTCAAAACTCAATATGAACTAGACAAAAAAAAAAAAGGATCATGTTGAATTTTGATATTTGTACTAGTTTTAATACTAATTTGAAAATTCAATATAGATTATTTTTTTTAGAACAGAGATAGTATTTTTTTTTTTTAGAACAAGGTAGTATTATTCTTCTCTTTTTCAATCCATTTCAATTAACTTGAATTTGGAGGGAAGTAGTTAGCCGCTCCTGACCGTAAGTGTTATGTTCTTTTGATAACAAAATAAATTGCAGTCATGTTTATAGTTTACTTTTTTTTCAGGGTCATATTTGAAAAAGTTACTCCCTCTGCCCATAGGGAGTACTTTGTTATTGTTGTCTTTCAATCAACAAATTAAGTAGCTAGCCATATTTATTATTCTTCCCGTCCTATTTTTTCATTTCATTGGTTGAGTTAAAATGTATAGTGTAACAAAGCGATGCATGAATAGCATCAGCATCAACATTTGCATGGTGATATCTTGGTGAACAAACAAGAAAATAAAGACGGTTCGCTTCTTAATTACATAGTTAAATCTATTTGGCTTCTCTATATTTTTTTGCTAGTCAAAGCTGTAGACAACACTTTTAACCATTTTCAAACAGGACCTACAAAATACTCGGTATTCCGTAAGCCATTCTGTACTTTTTTTTTAAAAAAAAAAAAATACCATTTGCCATCCGGTATATAGTAATAAAATGCAGTTGCAAGTAAACTCAAGAGTAGAATTTTAATTAAAGAACTCATAGAAGGGCATTGAAGAGAATGAACTCATATGCTTTTGCCTAACTACTTTGAAGTTTGAATGGATCCAGTTCGACGTAAAGGACCTGCAATTGCAATGTGCTCCACGTACGCGATTTCAAAGTTTATTACCAGTGACTGCAGAGGTTTGTGCTAGGAGAAATTTATTTAGTTGGAGTGGGAGATTAATTAAGTTGAGTGAAGTGTGTTTCCATTTTTTCCATTTTTATTTTTTTGAAGTGTGTTTCCGTTTATGATTATCTCATTACTTGTCTCAAAGTATTTTGAATTTTTTTGCACCAAAAAAAAAACTATTTTGAATTTTTTATTATTTCTTATGAACTATATTTTTAGGACAGAAGTAGTATATTTTTTAAAAAAATTAAGTTCATGGTGTAAATTGATCTATATTGTGATAGGACATAATTTGATTGGGGGATAATATTCCTTCGTAAATCTTCGTGTTTAGCCTCTTCAATTGTTTTTTTTCTTCTTTTTCTTTTGTGTGTGTAAAATAATCCAAAATCACATATTCAAGTTTATATATAGGCCTCCGGAAGTCATAGTATATAACTCTGGTCGGAAAGTTAACGTATGAAATGGCTGAAAACTTGAACCACTAGGGCAAGAGTGGCCATTCTTATACAGTTAATTAATTATTGTGCAATTGGATCCAAAAACACAATCTCAAATCCTAGTTCCATACTTCCAGTTACCAGTTTACATTGCATCCCATGTATTCTCTTTCTCTGCTGCGAAAAAACAAAAAGAACAAATAAAAGGGAGAGTTATTATTAATTATTTATTACTCCTACTCATGATGTGAGGGTAGTGAGTTGTCACCCTCAGGTTGCATGTATGCAGGGAAAATGAAATTTCATTGATAAATTAATTCAGGTGAAAGTGAAAGATTCATTGTAAGTATGTTATCCGTGTGGACCGAACCCCAATCTAAAAAAAATAAAAAATAAAGAGGAAAAAAATTGAGAAAGAGGAATAAAATAATAGTATATATGTACGTCGTCATACCCCGAGTAACTTTTTTCACACTGTTATACACTTGTAAGACTAGTAGCCGCAAGAATTCAGGAATTTAAGAAAAGTCAAAACATGTCCAGGTTGAAAATTATTATGGCAATCAAAAAAAATACTACAAATTTCTCCGTTATACAAAAAATACAAATTTTCCCCAAACAAGTAGCAGCATTTTTTTTAAAAATAAAATAAAATAAAAAACACTTGAGCTAAAGATTCTTTAAGACCTTGTACCTAGAATTAGTAAGTCCTCCTTACTTCTAAGTCTAATAGTATAATAATAACAATAATATAATGTAAAAAGTAGTAAAAATTACAATGTTCATAAAAGAAACAAAAACAAATGATATAGGAAATGAGAGCAAGGATGTTACACGATCTTACAAGTCCTTTTCACTGTCTTGAGTTTGGAAGACAGATTTCCGCAATATATAAAAGGTTTTCTTAATTTAATCAATCCAAAAAGGTACGTGTTTGAAGGATTAAAAGTAGTAGTAGTAGTTCGTAATTCTACGCTCGTGTCTTCAATCGTCACACAGCCTATTCAAAACCTTTTACTCTTTTTTTTTTTTTTCTTTTTCTTTTTCTTCTTCTACCTGCAAAATTTTCAAAACATTTACCAAGTATTTTCCGTCCAAGAGTCTATATTCTGATTAGTATTCCTACGAATTTGAGAATTTTAAGTTTTCATCATCATCTCACGCGACGCGATTATGATGAAAACCCCAGTATATATAAATACCTGATCATCATCTCAACCACCAATCTTCCATCAAAAGCTTTGCTTGTAAATCATAACATTAATTGTTGTACCAAAAACACAAAAATTAACCCTCATTTTCTCTCTTCATTTTTTTTCCCGCTAAACATATTCGACTCATTTTATTACAAGTTTTTTTAATTCCTTCGGGCAATGCAACGTGCATCATCATCTTCAGCCAAGAACATCTTCAAGAATCTCACTCGAAACAGAAACCGAATCTTAAAAAGTTCTATGAATCAAGTACAAAAGCCTTGTGACGTGTTCATCAATCATCGGGGAATCGACACCAAGAAGAATGTGGCGGGTTTGTTGTATGATCACATAAAGAGACTAGGTCTTCAGCCATTTTTGGACAGCAAGAGCATGAAGCCCGGAGACAAGTTGTTCGATAAAATCAACGCCGGAATCCGGCAATGCAAAGTCGGGGTGGCCGTGTTTTCTCCTAATTACTGTAAATCCTACTTTTGCCTGCACGAATTGGCTCTCATGATGGAGACCAAGAAGAAGGTTGTACCCATTTTTTGCAACGTAAAGCCTTCGGAACTTAAGGTTTTGGATTACGGGACTAGCCCTCCCAAGGATTTGGAGAGGTTTAGTCGGGCTCTTGAAGAGGCTAAAAACACCGTTGGACTAACTTTTGACACATCTTCAGGGTAAGTAAGCTCGCATTCACATTAATTTCTTATTATTGTCAAAGTGATTGACGTGACAATTACCGAATGGGTAATTAGTCGGATTGATATATTAATAACTGTAAGAACTTTTTACTATTCTTTTAACTATATTAATCCATGATCCGTGATGACTCTTTAAGTAGAATCATGGAGATGATGTTACATGCATTGATCATTTTTTGTACGATTATGTTTTGTTTCACGTTTAAACAAAAACTAATGTGGAAATTAATTAATCGGGGTTTTTTTTTTTTTTTTGAACAGGGATTGGTCGGAATTCCTAGAAGATGCATCTGAAGCGGTGATTGAAAATTTGATCCAGTTGGAAGAAGAAGAAGAAGAAGAAGAAGCAGATGATCCGGAGCGGTAGTGGCAATTAATATAACTAAGGATATGCTGAATTAGTGAGGCATGATTCTCGTACGAGCTGGGCAAAAGGACAACGTACAGAATGGGAAGCTGTACAATAACATTTGACTCCATTTAATTTATTCATTTGTTCGATTTTATTTGTTATAAAACACTTAAGTATAGAATAACCGCTTGTTAATTTTATCTAACCATTTTTTGTTTGTTTACGTAGAATATCATCCTTTTTTATGCCCATCTACCTAGCTAGCTAGCTAGATGCACCTGCAGTGGTGCATGTTAAGGAATCAATTTTTGCCGAAATGTAAATCTCGGTTGAAGCTTTAGTGTGTAACTTCATTCTTGTTATGATTACTTGATTCATCAATGTTGTTGTTGTTAAGTACATGTTAGATTCCTTAAAATTGGTCACAACTATATGGATCGCTTCACTTAACCACATGTTAGATCCCAAAGTGGACTTAATTATTGTGGCGTCAAATTAAATGACACAAAAATGTTTGCTCCTTCTCTATCTATCTGCAAAACTAGAAGAAAGAAAAATCATTGCTGCATTGTAGTAATATTATATTTGGATCCTTCATTTATTAAAAAGATGAATTCAGTTTCAATCGTGGTGTGGGCTGACATCATTGCTTCTGTATAGTTGGGAGAGGAATAATATGCATGCATGAATGTATGGCTGCTATGGATGGATTAGAAATTTATTAGCTAGATAGATATAGCCATCTTTTGATACAACTATAAAAAGGTGCGGCTGGGGTGCATGCAATGGATTACATTTCAATTCCAAAATTGTCGAGCCGTGCTGAATAAGCTACTTACTTCATTAATTATAGAGTAACATGCAAGCATATTATAAGTTTGAATAAAATTTCATTTGAAAAATCTAACATCTCATGTACATATTGTAGAAGAAAGTAATGCTTAACCAAGTAGTATCCTAAATTAAATTGAACAGAGAAGTTTGACTGGGCAATGAGTATACCCCACATGTCATCTTAAGAAGCCACTGAGACTAAATTCATATGTTGGGACTGACTCGAATTTTGTTAAAAGCTCCAACCAAGAAGGACTTCCACCGAATTAAAGAAGTCAGTCTAAATATACATAAGTATTGCTGCTCTTTTGATCAAGAATTTTGTCAATATTTTTTACTACTTTTATGGTTCTGAATATCTGGATGGTGTTTGCGAAGTACGTAATCCCCCACAAACAAGAATGGTAAAAGCAACAAAGTGTTTTTTTTTTTTCACTGGGTTGCAATTTTGAAAGGAAGGAGACGATTGTAAAATTTGACTTTGAAAATTGAAATTTCGTCAAAATTTCAAATTTGACTAACAGTCAAAATTCAATCAACATTGTTTTTTTTAATGTTATTCCATCCATGATCCCTCAAATTTGAAACTATCGTTCGAATTAGTCCATTATTTTCAAATCGTTTCAATTCTTTTTTAGTCCATGATGTTTATCTTCTTCTTCTTTTTCTTTTTTTTTTTATAGAAAAAAAGGTTTTCCAATATTCCACAAAATACATTGAAAAGTTGGTTATCTTAGGTCATCACACGAAAATCACTCTCCTGATCGTGGCAACATTTTAAGGCTGGATAGTTTTTTAATTGCAGTAGTGCACTTTGTTGGATTTAAGACAAGAGTTCCCATTCATACATAAAATTAGTTTGAATATAATTTGTACTTACGTAGGACAATACTACAGGTTAATTGTACCGAAAAAAGTGACTAAAGTCCCCCGAAACAGAAAAAGAAAAATTTATTAAGTCATAGATGGGACCGAACCAACAAGAAGGTGTCATTCCCTGCAGGCATGATGATATTACAATGCTCTTATTGAAGGCTCACATATGTATATTAGTAGTATAAAATGAATTACTAGACGTACAAAATTAGCATCTCATCATCATGAAGAGTATATATCCAATAGCACTACATATATGGTAGCATTTTCACAAAACTGCAGAACAAGAAGATGGTTCTGATCGATTAACGCTGGATGGGAAGAGATTGACCAGACAGAAAAGCTGAGAAGAGCGCAAGTGATTCGCTTGGTTTGAAGATGGGGACTGCATGACCAGCTCCTCTGAATGTTGCAAATGTCAGTCCCTCGTATTCCTGAAGCCAACCCCCAACCTATACTCTCATCATCAACAATGTTCCAATGTAACGTCACGAAGACTCAAATTAAATTTTGGGACGGAAGAATATATATATATATATATATATATATATACAAATTAGATAGTGCTATATACAAAGTTGGATTTGGTGGTGCTGTACACATTAAAATTAGGTATATATTTTATTCACCTGTTTCTGATGGTACCAGGGCCTCCATGCTTGTGTAATGGGGAGACCAATGGAGCTCAAGCTATACCTTGTGGACAACACTGGCACTCTTCCATCAGTGTCTCCACTGTACCATACAAAATAAACCCATAAAAAAAAATTTTAAAAAGGACAAGGTCATTTTTTCTATTGTACATTAACAAAAGTGTTAAATGACATATGCAAATGGCCAAAAGCAGAATTTAATTAATTATTAATTACCTGTATACCCAGATACGAAGTCCTGCAGCAATGAGTTTCTTGTATATTGGGAGCATCGATTCCTTTGAATCATACCATCCATTGAACACTGTCATGCTACAACATCACACATGCACATATATATTGGTTGATGTTATTGAATACAATTACTAAAAAATAATCATAAATTAATTTTCAGAAGGTAATCTAATTTACTTGCAAATACTCCAGTTCCTGATTTGGTGACCATCAGTAACATGGAGGGCTTTCTGGACATCTGCTCTGTTGTAGTAATATCTTGCATAGTCATCTAGGCAGGGATCATATCCTCCCATGATCCTTGGCATCTGGTAAGTTAATATTTATTCATATATATATTCATTAGTATACTCTTCATGTCCCAAAATTATTGTCTAATTTAAATTTTTACTTTTTAAAGTTAATTTGTACTAAAAGTGCACAGTGAATAATAATTTCGAGACGCATGGAGTATATTATTATGGGTGTTCTAAAATAGATTTTGAGAAACTATATATTGAACAAAAGATTTTTGTAATTACCATCTTGGAAGGACTCTTGAACATGATTTGGTATGCTTTGGTTTCAGAATCGACGGTTGAATTGTCAATACAAACAGAGGTATAGAGACTGTAGATGTCAATCTCCTTGTACTGTTTCAGAACCTCATCAACTGCCTGGCTACAATCTTCATTACTCCATGTATCATTACTGTAGAAATCACAGGTTTCCTTGATTGTTTTGTGTGTTTCATCTGATACCACTGCATGGCTCCAAGCATAATCCACCAGCCCTTTCCAATCTTCGGCATCGCTTGTTTCCGGATTACCTAGCTGCCAATTTTATTAAAGAAATATTAATTTTGAAAATGATGAATTGGTCAACTTCTATCTTCATCACTGATAATCAAAAATATTTGACCATATATGGTTGGCAAAAAAAACAAAATTTAATGGATGAAGATAGTATTTTTGTCACCTTTTGGCTTTTGTAAAATTATGCAGATGAATACAAAGTAGTATAGAAGAGAATTAAGTTCTTGTAATGATTAGAGAGGACCACACTCACCAGTATGCCCTTGAGATTAATGGAAAGGGAAGGATCTTCATTTTTGTCATGTATTAGCTCAGCCAGCTCAGGTACATACTTCCCTGTTGAAACAAGAAAAAAGGAAAAATATATGAAAGGCATATTGTTTAAACCTTTTGTCAAAATTAATAGAGTCTTGTTTGTTGAACTAACCAGCGTAACTCTCCCCTGCTATGAAGAAGGTTCGATTTCGATACAATGGGAACTTGAGGAACCACTTGAGCAAGAAAGCATGAGCATCTTTTGCTGATATTAGCATCGATCCAACCAACAAGAAAAAATTTCATGAGATCAATCATACGTAAATAAGAGTGACAATCTGGCAGCGTTAATTTTATGTTGGAGAGAGATAACAATAATTCAAAAAAAAAAAGAAAAAAGAAATTAAGATTGTTACCTGTAAAATCATCTCCAAGTTTTTCATAATCAGTACTTGTATTTGTATATGAATAGCCAACACCAATTGGAGATTCCAGAAACAACATGTTGGCTTCTGCGGACATACACCAAACAAGGAATTAAGAACGAACAAAATTTTGTAATTGGTGGACTACTAATCAATCAATTAGCTGGTAATTCCAACTCAAAATTGTATAGACTTTGCATGTAATTTTCAATCGCGATTGATACATATACACGTGATTGGTGGATATATATCAATCAAAATTATATACCTGAGTTCCATGCGTAAGGATTATATTTTAAAGATTTCCCTCCTTTGTCTACCAAAAATGGTCCAATCTCTTGTGTTGCTCCATATCCAACAGAAGAGCATCCAGGACCTGCAACATAAAATTAGAATAATATATAATTGCTACCTTGAATGAGAACAAGGGGTAAAAAAAGGCATCAACTTGGCTTTTAGTATTATTGTCCATGTCCAACTTACTTGACTATATTATTAAGGTCTATATATATATATATATATATATATGTACCAATTTTATATGACAAGAGAAAAAGTATGTTGTGCTTAGTGATCACCATAATGGAATATAACATGATTCCTCATCCATTGGTTGTGAAATTCTTGATTTATAATCTATATATAATATTGGAGGGTTGTTAAAAAGATAAGATTACAAACTCATGAAGGAATCAGAAAACGAGATAGGACTATACTGGTCAAAAAAAAAAAAAAAACACTGTGAAATCAAAAGTTCCAATGACCACGAAAAATACTAATGATTTGTAAAGCATTTATTCTTTTTTGAAAAGCTTTAACTCTTATGTATGTCCATCATCGACATTATTCTAAATTTGAATTCTGGATAAGGCTGCAAGATTAACGTTGTTGTTGTTGTTGGGGGAATAATCTCGGAATTTGCATGCAAAATTACCAACACAAAACTGCAGAGGAATTGCCATTAATTAGATGATCCTATGAATAAATGCAAATGAAGTACTCTTATCCGCTTACCGCCATTGAGCCAGAGGACTAAAGGTTTTTCATGGGGAAGATTTGAAGCTTCATAAAACCAGTAGAAGAGGGATCTTCCATGTTCTTCATTAACCGTCACATAACCAGCAAAGTGCTGGAAGTTAACCCTAGGTTGACCTGGCAAATCGTTGATTAGATCTTCCATTTGCTCTAAGTTTGAATATGGTTTCTCTTTGGACCAATGCCTTGCAGATATTACAAACGGCTTCATAGCCAGTAAGGTTATAAGAAGAAGATGGCGAAAAACTATTCTACTGAACACGGAATCCATTTTAGAACGAAGTGGACAGCTTGTCAGTGATGAAAAAAACGAACCACCACGTAGCTCTATATATATTGGTAGGGTTTACTATTCATTCATGGGGGAATGAATCAAAAATCTCATTCACTTTTCTTTTCTTTTTTTTTTTGTGTATCAATCTTTGTCATAAAACCAAAACCTAATTAAGTCTACATTCAAATCTCATTGAGAACCATTTAGAAAAAAAAAATTATAGATCATACATAAATGACATTATTTTGATAAAAACGATTGGTACACATAGGTTAGAAAGAGACTGGATTATTATATTATTATTAGACTTATAAGTTATTTCTCTATGTGAGTTGTTGGGTTTACATTCACGTGGAAAACATCTAATGCAATTAAATACAATTTTATGGTTGAGACAAAGCGTAAATCCTGGTCATTATTACTTGACACGTTCGTAACTTTGTTGATGCTTTATCCAAAAGCCATATGAACATAATCCTAGCTACTAGTATTATCCTCGATTAACAGTAAAAAGTACTGGATTTTGCCCTTTCCTAATCCGTTAGCGTGATGATTTGAATATGACAATCAATTAACATTAAGATTTGATATTTTAGGAAAATAATGATTAATTTTGGTAGATCAATTATCATGATTTTTTTTATATTTATACAAGCTACTAATTAATATAACAAAAAAGAAGTACAAGGATCATGCTGGATTTTGTATTTTACTATAAAACATACAAATCTCAATTGATTTTCATAATCAAATTAAGTTAACATGTACACTCGATGTGGTTTCTGATTGTCAAAAGGATAAAGGAACTTCGACTTTGGCAAACGCATACTACTATATAAAATGACCTAATACTGCTGTTTATAGGGTTCGCCACTAAATAGGTGGAAGTATAAAATAAGATTATATTTTCATGCGTAATGCTCCATTAAGTACGTGCTCAATTTTAGCACTTTCTTACGAGATCAACTATTTTCACAATTCCGAAAGCCAAGTCAGCTCGCAGAACACATGTTCCAAACTTTAGACGCTAAAGAAAAATCCATCACCACCCCTTTCCCATAGACCAAAAATTAAAAAAAAAAAAAACATAATAGTAATAAATATGGCACTTGTTATGAAATAATTAAACAGTTATCGTCTCTATCATATAAAGATTAAAAAAAAAAAACGGTTCATGAATTAGCTAGAGGAAATACCATATAATAATTGAGATATGAATCCATATATGATTTCGAAGCTGTATAGATAATCGCTCACAGTTCACATCTATAATTCATGAATCAAAAAATGTGTAGGATACAACAAAATTTCAAACATCACAATTGCTAGGTCAAACCGAATAGTAGAAGAATTAAACAGGAAAAGATTGATTAATTAAATCTTTCCAGACGTGGCACTTTTGTATGCTTTCTGAGACCAAGTTCATGACAAATGACAAAATTTTTCTACTTGAATAGATGGACTGTGGGGGGAATAGACATTTTTTTTAAGGGCGGTATATATTCCAAATTGATGGTGCCATACTACACAGAAACAAGATAAGCTGCTTTTGGGGAATCTCATCATCATCAAAGAGAAGAAAGAAAGGGAATTCTGTGGCGAACCTTGTGCGTTGTGACTCCACGATCGATCTCTAATAAGTCAAGGTAAATGACATGAAAAATAAAAGAAAGAAAAATGTGATGACAGCAACCAACTTGGTGGTGAATCATGACTTGGATCCCAATTTATACATTAGTTTCTCTTTGCAAATTCTATCAACAAAACATGTGCAATGTAGTAGTGCAAGCATCATAATTGCTGCCATTAATTAGTCCCTTAAAATTTACTATCTCCATTTACTTTTATCGCTTCAAGATTTGCACACCTATTAAGAATATATTTTTAATGGTATTATTTTTTTCCTCTAATTAAAAGTATTAAAATTTTACAAAAACATGAAATTAGAGTGTAAAAAAATAAGCAGTTGTTATTTTTATATGTTATTAAAAGTAGAAAGAGATAATGGCGAACTTAGAAAAGAACTGTATTTAATGCTAAATTGAAAATAAAGTGTAAAAGATAAAGAAAAATTTTGAATTCACCCTAAAGTGACAGAAAGTAAATAGAGGATGTAATTCACATGATTTGCAGGTATATCAGAGCTAAAAAAAAATTCATAATCACATTAAATTTTGAGATTTTTACTATCAAAAAAAAATTATATTAAGTTTTGAAATTAGTATTTGATGTGGATTATATTTTTGTAACGGGAAAATACATGGATTAGGCTAGACATTTTAAATTTTTTTTTAGAGAAGAAGAAGAAGAAGAAGCACTTTACTCGATTGGCAATGCCATCTTTGCGCACCGGATCCACTATTTTGTCTAGCGAAATTTTTTCATTTTTTTATCACTTCACTTCCTCGTCCGTTTCCTGCATTCTTATATTTTTCATGCTACGAACCATGTGTGCTACATCGCAAGAATTTGGGGGTAAAAGAAAAAGAAAAGAAAATTATAATCATAGGCTTCATAGCTAGGCATCATGAATGACTTGTCAAATTAGATGAAATGATACCCGACGTAAATATTTCAAATGTACAGAATAGATAGATTAGTGGATTTAAACTTTTTTTCAATTGAAAAAAAAAAGTTTGAATTTGATTTGTCATATATAGAGATATTCAATTTATCAGAAAATGAGATAAATTTTTTGAGATGAGAGAAAAGAATGTACATATATATGTATATATATATATATAGTACATCCTAGAAATCTTCTCATTTACTCCTTCTGTTCAAAAAAATAATAATAATAATCTTCAAAATCAATGTGAACTATATTTTCTTTGTTTGTTTGTTTATTTATTTATTTATTTTTATAATTTTATGACGGAATGAGTACATAATAATTGATCCTACTCAAACAAAAAAGAAAAACAAAAAAAAAAGTTCTACATGTTCAAAACGGATAGAATTGTCATCCAGAATCCTTTATTATTCTTTAGTCCATCAAATCGAATAGGCTTTCGGGAGTTTCATCCCCAGAATAAGGGCCGATCAGTCAACCCTGCACTATTTCTTCAAAAGCAGCTCCCCACTCAAGTAGACGGAAGATTACCACCAATCCCAATTACCCTTTTATAACACATTTGTAGTTGTGAGATGATGTATATGAAGTTAGCCAATGGTTTCATTGGAGCAAAAATCCAAAATGGAGTATGAAAGTTGAATATTATACTGATATGAAATGCACCTAGACGATTTTGAAGGAGTATTATTCCTGTCTTCCAAAAACTTCTGGCTTGCTCCACTATATGCTTGTTCTTCTGCACATAGAAAAACTTACCATATTCTGTTGGTCCTCCATTATTCTAACGAAGGGCCAAAAATAGATTAACTACCCACTATTTCATTAATTTTTGAACAGATAAAAGGGCAATTTCTGTTATGGCAATATATTTCTTGAGCGTTTATCTGTGTTCCACTTTTACTTTGATCTTTTTCCCATTCCTTTCCCCTCCTGGTGGTATTTCTTGCCAGGATGAAACAATAATCACTAATATAGTGGCTTGTTAACTGTTAGATTAGCTTTTTGGGAGTGGTCTAAAGTCTTAGTAACTAATCTGAAATGCTATATGCAGCAAAGTAGCATTTGGAAATTGGATAGGGTTGTAAGTATGTATACGGTTGGATTTTGTTTTCATTCTATTTCTAGGTATAACATGTTATTTAAATGATGTTTTGTATTCAAATTGAGATTATATATGAGTAGCTTTTGAAATAAAATAATTTTTATACACTATCATCATGTCACTCTCTATCACGCGAGACCATCTATTTCTCATGTCGTGAAATTTCTAGAAATATTTAGAAACTTCTAGAGTATTATAAATTATTCTAGACATGTGTAGAATATAGTATAAATATATCTTTTTATATATTAAAGGAGAGTTTCCAATTAAACACATGTCGCAAAGTTAGATAGGCTAATGCACAAGATAAAAAAATTAGATACCCAAATCCACATGTCGCAACCACATAACCCCATCATTTAATGGTAACTTTTTAATGTAAATTTGTAAATTTATTTTGACATTTTTCTTCTAAATAAATAATAAATTATGGACTATATATCCGTAATCTTAATTCACTAAACGGCAACAGCACTCCAAAGTTATTAAGCCCGACTATGTATGTGTTGATTAATCACTAATTCATAAGTTTTACCTTTTCTCTTTGTACAGTGCCTAAAAATAAAATAAAAATAACAAATATTTTAAAACGTCTGATAAAGAACATCTATTGGTTCAGGAGAAAAGAATGAAAATGCAAGCAATGAGTAAGAAATTGTGTTCACCCAAGCTCCAGCAATAACTCTCTCTGTATATATATAATACATTTGTCATGTAATCTTTCTGCATAGATTGAAGCATATCGTAAAAAATCTGTTTTTTTTTTTTTGATGACTAAAAATTCTGTTCTAAAAAACAAGCAATTCTCAAAAGTCAAAAATCCTATAATTCGTAGTTCTTCATTTGTAATTTGATTTTTCAGCCAGTCATCTTTTTCTCATTTCCATTGTTCCGGATATGGCACAACTTCCACCACAAAAAAAAAAAATACATACACATACAATGATTATGTGGATGTTTTGTTTGGCCACACATACTCATTCTATGTTTCGTGTTATTTGAAAAATAAATTAATTAATAACCAGTTTAATATGAAAAGATCACACTTTACCTAATTATGATACAAGAGAAAGAAATACCAAATTATCACCTATATAACAAATACATCTTATGAAGTAAATTGGCATATGAACAAGAATATTTATTCATTATTCAAACTTGACGGAAAAATTAAGAAAATTTCGACCCAATGATTTTGTACAACGGCTGGAAATGAGAATAGAACCTGACTGAAAAATCATTAACTCATTTGGCTCGTGCAATTAACGATAACCACTTCATTTTCACCCACCCCCCACAAAACGATTTCCACAGACAGTTCGGCGGAATCCAACCTTGATAAATTTGAAAAGGAGAATATTCGAATTGAATCTCGACATGGTAAGACATGTTGAACATAAACTTTTATTACCCGTTATGGAGTACTTGAATTGTAGTTGCCTTCGTTTAGCCACAAAAGACATCATTCTATCATGTCCTTTATTTTATTGAAACTTATCTTATTACCATATACAAACGCTCAAAAACAATCAACACTAAAAAAAATTATTCTTATTGTTTTACTATAATCACAAAAAATTGAATAAATAAAAAAATTTAATCATCTTTTCACAGACCTTTTTTTATCCATGAGATCATCAGTGACTGTTTTTGTTATAATATAAATCCCGCCCTTATTCTTTGAATTGAAAGGTCATATCCAACATCTACTTCCTTCATCAAATTATCACCGCCAACCATTCAGAAAATAAGATCATATCAACCTTCCCGCAGAGAAAATCCCATCGTATCTGTCACAATATAATGAAAGAAAAGTTACAAAAGATATATAGAAAAAAATAATATGAAAAAAATAAAGATATGACACGGGTAGAATATTTAGAGAAAATCATAATAAAAAAATTAAGAGAATATTTATAATAAAATAAAAAATAACAAAACAAAAAAAATTGACAATAAATTGCATTGGATGTTTTCGAATATTCAAAATAATTTCAAATATATTTAAAATAACAAAATACATTGACATTAAAATTTACACAATTGTATTTTATATCATCACCGTTATCTTTTTACATTTAATAATACATCATAAATTTCATATAATCGTTATATAATTAAGTTCATATGTATCTTGAACAACCCGCACAACGTGTGTGGTAAACACTAGTATATATTAATAGAGGATGAAAAGTGCTGATTTGGCATATAATTAGAAGCTCATTTAAGATGGTTATAAAAAGTTACAGTTTACCGTTATTTAATAACAATTTTACTTCTTGACTTGAGATAAAATGATAACACTGAAATTATTACACTAATTACTATTTTACTATTTGGCTTATGATTACACAGAATCTTAACAACAAAAGATAACACTGATTTTAAGTTCCTGTGACGAAATTTTAAAGACAAGCCACTTTTGGAAAAATTACTTGATCGAATGAACAACTAATCCAATAAAGAAAGCTCCTATAGAATTTGAATCATGATATAGTTTCTGCCTTTCTGTAATGTGTGATAATTTATCGTGGATTAATCAAATTTGAGAAATTGATGACGGAGTAGTTAATTTGTTCAAGAGTAAAAGTGAGTCATACTCTTTTACTTAAATTATTTTAATATAAAAATTTAACTACGACCAGCTAGAAAATAACTTATAAATTAACCAGGACAAAACTAAAACAAAATTGATTATTTTTTTAATTTGTTTATATTTTAATAAAAACTCGATTTTATTGATTATTTCATAATTTAATACTATCTATGTCCCAGAAAAATAATTCGATTTTAAAAATATAAATCCTAAAATTAGATAACGAGATCAATATAACCTAAAATTCATTATTTAATTCATAAATAGTCATGAAAATTTACTCAATTCTTCATATTAATTTTTTAATTTGCAAGATTAAGTCATCTAATTTTCATATTTTATTTTTTAAAAATTAGGCTATTTTTTGAGACGGGAGTACTAATATTTAGTGAAAATTTTATTATTTAAAAATTTAGAAATTTTTAATTTTTTAAAGAACCTAATAGTTAAACTCCGCTAATTTTTTTCAAATTTTGAATTTAATCATGTTTATAATAATTAAACTCTTTTAAAATTTGTTAGAATTTAATGAGCAGAAAATCTCCCAAAACCGAATACATTTTATATTTGTTGCATATTTTCCGTGCAACGCACGAGATAAACACTAGTAGTTATAATATTTTAGAATGTTGTAGAACTCAGTAGAACCTTTCAAAACTCATGGAATCTATGACAATGTGAAATTGTCTATTAAAAAATTAATGTTAGGTTAATGTTCAAGAATAGCCTAGAAGTTTAGAGGTAATTCTTGTAGCGGGGGTGGAGGAAGTTTCTGGGACCTTAAGGGTTTGCCTATAAGTATCGCAAGACCCATGTGTAAAATTGGAAGGATTCTAAATAAGTTGAAAGGTTTTTTTTGAGTTAGGTCAAAAATCTTTTTTTCTTCCTAAATTTCTCTTTCCAAAATTTACAGATTTTGGTTTAGAGAGGTAGAGCTAACATCACTAACATCAATTTTGTACATTTAAGTGAGCTAGTACTGCATGGATTGCTGTTAAAAAAATTGCTTGTCACATTAACGTAGATCACTTTCAGTCAGCTAGTTGGTTATAGGTTCTGGCCAGATTGACACGTACACATGTCATGGACAAGAGAGAAGAGGATATGACACTTACATCTTAAAAAACCCAACACAATGGACAACATTTGCTTTAACTGTTGAAATGCAAGAAATTATTTGGACTGACAAATTGTTGATATTATAGAAAAACAAAAAAATTTAAAAACCACACTTACACGCTTCGAGTGGAAAATCAAATAAAATTAAGTTTGAAGGTGTATTAGTTGATAGTGCTTCGAATTTAGAAAATATTTGGAAACTCAATTATCATTATTTAGACTTGATTATGCACTAATTTAAAATAATTAAGAAATTAAAGGGCACTAGACTAAAGGTGGAAAAACCGTGTGGCAAAATTAGACATAAAGAAACTCAATATACTAAAATGTCGGTTTGCAGTCTATTTGTTGGGTATATCCTCCAGAATAATTGGCACCCAAAACGCCGTAGATTTCCCCCAATTAACCAAAATATCCCAAACGTCAAACCTCCTCCGCCGGAGGAGATGGGGGAAGAAGATCTTCAAACCCGCGCCGCCGTCAAAAGACAACATCCATACTACTGGGGAGACACTCCAGAAGAAGAGTATTATACCTCTCAAGGCGTCAAATCCACCAATTCATTCTACACTTCACCAAGGGGGATTACTCTGTTCACCAAATCCTGGCTGCCGCTAAACCCACCTCGTGGCCTACTATTTATGGTCCATGGCTACGGCAACGACATCAGCTGGACATTCCAAATGACTTCAATCTTCCTTGCGCAAAATGGGTACGCTTGTTTTGCCTTAGATCTCGAAGGCCACGGTAAATCCCAAGGTCTCAAAGCTTTTGTTCCCAATGTTGACCTTGTTGTGGATGATTTATTGTCTTTCTTCAATTACGTTCTGTCCCAAGATGTTAGCTTTCAGAACTTGCCTAAATTCCTGTATGGAGAGTCAATGGGGGGAGCAATTTGTTTGTTGGTTCATTTCAAGGCACCGACTTTATTCGATGGAGCCATTTTAATTGCTCCCATGTGTAAGATTTCTGAAAAGGTTAGGCCCAGATGGCCAATTCCTGAAGTTTTGACCTTTTTTGCACGGTTTCTTCCGACTTTACCAATTGTGCCTACAGCTGATTTGATTGAGAAGTCTGTTAAAGTTCCAGAGAAGAGAATTATTTCGGGATTGAATCCATCAAAGTACAAAGGGAAACCAAGATTAGGAACTGTTATTGAGCTGTTGAGGGTGACTGATTACATCGATAGTAAACTGTCGGATGTGAGTCTGCCATTTCTGGTGTTACATGGGAGTGCGGATGTTGTTACGGATCCGCAAGTCAGCAAGGAGTTGTATGAAGTGGCAAGAAGTGAGGACAAGAGTTTGAAGATCTATGATGGGATGTTCCATTCTTTGTTGTATGGAGAAACTGATGAGAATATTGAAATTGTTAGAGGAGACATTCTGAAATGGTTGAGTGAGAGATGTCATCGTCATGTTGAGATTAACTGATGATGGTTGATTATTATTGTTTTTACCTTTTGTGATTAGTTCCATTGATTGCTGCACAGGCAGATTGATTGTTATATGAATGTACCATTGGAAAACATCCAAATGGAATTCTCCCAATAAAAACTTCAACAGGTTTCTAGTTGTTATCTATCCCTTCAGGGTTCTTCGTGCAGTCTCTTGGTGGTTGTTGATGTTTATGCAACTTGAATTCACTCACTATGAAGTAATTGATGAAATCGAAGCCTGGAAAGGACAAAGCAGAAATGGGCAAGAGCAAAAAAAAAACAGCCAAGCTACCAATAGTGCCGTTATTAGGGTGATAAATGAAACTTCCTATTATAATCGCAAGAAAAGATTCCTCTAATGATATTATGCACCCCATTTGTGAAGGAAAGCTATGGTTATTTTTACAGAGGAAGCTGCGGATTACTCAGGAATCAGGATAAGCTGGTTGTAATGCCTAAATGGACAAAAACGAAGCAGAAGCAATTAATTGAACTATGGCGTTGAGGGGCGGAAAAAAATGAAAACAATATTAAAGGTCCCACCGAGATTTGAACTCGGGTTACTGGATTCAGAGTCCAATGTCCTGACCACTAGACCATGGGACCGTTTTGAGATGTTGTGCTAAACTTTTAAATATATATATACTAATATTATAAAATAATGTGCCCGCACATTCTAAATTGCCCAACAGAGTCTTCAAATTTCTTAAGATTTGTACGTTTGTATCGTTTGTAACTTGCTTCAAGTTTCTTTCAAATAAATGTAAGTTAGAAAGGTTATACATGGAAAAAAGTATATCGAGAAGCAAATCGCACTTTCCTCAATTATACCAATTTTTATCATAGAGATTATGTAAAATTATTAGTTTATTGGATAAGCTCCTTCCATCACAATTTTTATTATGAAGATAATGTAAATTAATAGTTTCTTAGCTACACTCTTTCCGTCACAAAATAATCGTACAAGAGTGCACTATATCATACAGCAAATTTAAACAAGAAAAGTCCAAAAATAACCAACAGAGTCGATACTTGAAGCAATACCGAACTGTAGGTTATACTTTATACCGCTAACAACCAATCTAGTGCAATTCTTGCGGTCAAAATAGCAGAAAAGTGGGGAAAAGGCTAATCCAGGGAACCTATCATTTACACCACAACGTCAAAGAATCATGAAATCAGGGAATCAAATTCCATACCCAGAAGTAAAGGTCCGTCATTCCTATACAAAGCTAAGAAGTTAAGCAACCACCCTTCAAAAGAATTGGATCATGCAAAGCCTTCTGACTTTTATAACTCTCCACATGATCAACCTATACATGTATGTCACCAATCCAGTTAGTCCTATGCAATTCATTTGCGCCTAAATCTCCATCTGGCAATAAACAAACGCCAACCAAAATTTCAGGGGAGAAAAAGAATTTGTAAGGGTTGAAAGGAGCTCATCAATCTCATCCGTTCACGAAAATAGGTAATTCAAATCCTCCACGGTAAGTCTTGTATTCCGGGAACCAGAATCATCCTCCCCAAATGCAGAAGATACCATCTCTCTCTTCTTTTGCTGAAAAATTCACGTTGCACATGTTAGCCATATGTCATTGCACAAAGTAATGAGATAATAGAAATCTATATGTTCAAGGAGGCCCATGACATGAGGAATAATTAAGCACTACTTCAAGAAAATAGGTAAACAAATACAGCTCTTAATCGCTAAAAATGCATTAGCCCCCCTCTTCTCAAATCAAGAAAACAAGGACAGCAAGACAAACATTCTAACGGATCACATTGTTGGAATTGCCCTGTCAACCAAGTTCAAGTACATAAAAGTCAAATTCTAGAGTTTTCATGGTATAAAATGCCTATGACTAAGAGTCTCAGAGTATGTCCCAACTCCTAGGTAACTTCTAGGAGCTAAAATTACTACATTTTATTTCACATACGACATTTTCACCGAATGTATGCCAGTAAAGAGAACCAAAACAGGAATAGTTTCACCGTTTCTTGTTTAAGTGGCAATGCGACAGGAAAATGTATGGATTAAAAGGGATTTTGGACTTCGCCCAATTCCTCAATAACTTCTTAGGATATTTCCATCATTTCTTCCTAATTAGAATTTTCAATATATTTCAAAGTGAGGAGGCTCGCACTTTAAGAACAAATAAATTTTGTTTTTCTTGGTACCTTGGGCAGAGATTTAAGCAGCATCAACCTTAAGAGAGTACTAACCTTTCATGAATCATGACCCTTAAAAAAATGTAACTATTGAATACTACTCCTGAGAAGGACTCACATTGCTTTCTTGATTTGAAAGGAACTTGTTCACTTATGATGGTACTTGAACTGGAGACCAACCCATGACAAAAGAATATAGTTGACGAAATGCAATATGGTTCGAAAAATAAAGAAGGTTAAATATATTCTTCCAATAATAGATCATCTTTCTGGGAGTTTGGCACGGACGGGGGAAATATTTGACCATCTATAAATCAAACCGTGTTTATCAATACCTGAAGGGCCAAGATTCGATCTTCAACTGTGTCTTTTACAGTCAACCGCAAAACTGTGACTGGACGGGTCTGTCCAATCCTATGAGCACGGTCAATGGCTTGATCCTCTGTTGTGGGATTCCACCAAAGGTCCAGCAAAAGTACATAACAGGCCGCCACCATATTGAGCCCAAGACTAGCAGCTTTTAGTGACATTATCATCACAGAAACCTGCAAAATTTCAAGGTACAGCTTGAAGAAATTAACCACAAAAAAAATAAAAAATAAAAAATAAAATGACGAATCGTGTTTTCTTGAGCAGAGACATAAAGTCAACAAACCTCTGGACGAGTATTAAAATCTTTCACAGCTTTATCTCTAGCAACGACAGACATCGTTCCGTCAAGTCTCCGGTACTGAATGCCAGAATCTTTCAGACACTCTTCAAGTAAATCCAGCATTCTCGTCCACTGGGAGAAAACAATTGCTTTCTCCCCAACTGAACATCTGGAAGGTTCACCCCTTCCCTTGTTTTCTACATCACATCCACTCTCATTCACTCCCATTGAATGACGGCCAGATGCATCTTCTGCAGTAGGAGTTCTAACATCCACGAAGCTCGGGGAGCTTGTTCTTGAATAATCATGTTGTTTATTGAGAGATTGCAAAACCTCAAGAGCAGCCCTAATCTTGGAAGAATCATAAGCGGAACCTGGACAAAGAAGCTCAGACATCTGTTCCTGTTTAGGATGCGGGCAATCTGGAGCCGGCTGATCAGATAGGGAACATCTCAGCGCCGCTACCGAAAATACAGCAACCCCTTTGAGATGTGTTTTGCAATTTGCAGCAGGGCAATGAGTGTCATCACCACTTAGGTGTTCACTTATGCACTGATTGCAGAAAATATGTCCACAGCTAGTTATGACAGAATCTTCAGGAGGATCCTGTAATTATCATTATAAAAAAATAAAGCAAGACAATCATCAAATACTTTATCTTTTTCTTAAAAGGGCAAGACAAATTAAAAAGATGTAATAGTAAGAATTCAAGGATAGAATTTGTTAAAAATAGAAACACAACTATGTCATCATGGGGAGTTTAACGAAGCTAGAATGACCAGCGGAATCTAGAAAAGAGAACCTCAATAAAAGGGGATCATGTTGACCTGATCCATAAATACACCAAAATCAAACAATACAGCAAAATTTTTGTCATCAAATTTCAAGGTTTTCCAAAGTTAGTGGTTGTCTTGTGTCATGAAGAGAAATTGAAAATCAGGTTCTCTGCTAAAAGAAACAAAGCAAACAGAATGAAAAACAACTGCACAAGAAAGGTTGGCATCAAAGAAGAAAATACTAGAAGAACTCATCATCAATATCACTCTGCCAAATGTTGTATAAAACCCAGACACTTAAAGAGAGATATGAAAAGAAACAGCCATATTTTTCACCAAAAGTTTCCAAAGCTTCAACCCATGTTTGTATAGACCAAGCCATATATAAACAGCTTCAACATGAAATTGCTATCTGGAAAGTTTTGTCGTGCACCTATCACACCCGAATGCACCCACTGTAAGATCCATTTCTTTGAAACTCAATTGTAAACCATATCATGATTCGAAAATGCATTTCAGCGAGATCAAATTTATAGAAGCATGCAGAAGGACCCGGTGCAAGATAAAAGTTCTTCACATGGCAAGCAGAAAGGGGCACATCAAATCAAATCCACCAATAAATGAGACAAAACTAACATCAAACAATCAGAGATTAGCTGCACTATGGAGCAAGGACAAAGTGTAAAATAGCACAACCACATGCATGCTACAAAAATAAATTTAGAATTTGCACAAACCCTGCATATGCGGCAAATTGACAAGGAAGCTTCATAACGCTGCAGAAGGTGAAGTTGTTTCTCCGGTGGAATTTTCTTGACCGTCTCAATAGAGGATATTGATTTGGAATTTGAACCGAACCCCTTAACAAGAAGAGGGTGGTCACAAGCTTGTCTAAGACGCAACAGCATCAATAGGATGTTAACATAATTTTTCTGCACAGTTCCAGCAGCTGCATATTCCTGGCATCATTTAGAGATATAATAATTAAAACAAAAAACAAGAGAATTGCCAGGTACAATATACTAGGGTGGTACACTGGGCACATACTGCATACTGAGCCCGTGAGTCAGACTCCAGTGTCTGGTAAAATTCCCGTTCCTCGGGGGAAAAATCCACTTTGTGCAATTTAATTGTTTTTGGAGGTAGATTGATAATTGGTTCACCATCAATTAGTGAGCCTACACCAAAAGAATATCAAGAACATACGTCATACACAGCACAACACATAAAGCATATACACGTGGGGCATAGTACTTTAGAAGGAAAAAAAAATAAATTGAATGCAAGGAAAGCCTTCCAGGTAGTTTTTGCCTCTTTTTCCCCATCCAAAGTATTATGAGGATTCCCAAAGTTAGACACAGATCATGCCTAACCTCAAACTGAAGTCTATAAAAAGAAATGACCAAACAAAACATTTAAATAGTTGCTGATCCTAGAAATTACTAACAATACAGAACAATAAGCCACTTGCAATATCTTCACCAAAAAACAATGAATGTATGAACATAAACCATGTGTATCCCACAAATAACAAAATAATAATTACATTAATTTGTCCTTTCAAAGCCATCGGAAAAAAGATATAAGCAGTGATGCAATAAGTACTGGAAACAGGAACATAAACTCACACACCATATAGTGAAAAAAAAAAAAAAAAAAATCAGATCAAAATGTATAAAATTATGTCGTCATGCCACAACCTGACAGGGAGATCAAGCTAATATCATTCAAATAAACTGCAATATATAAATAAAGCAACGTCCCCAAGTTCCAACGTCCCCAAGTTCCATGAACTGGAAATTAAGAGAGCATGTCAGCCTCATATGGCACCAGCAAAGTCCAGCTTCTAATTACTCAATGCTCAAAATATCACAAATGACAAAAGAAAACAGTAACATAAACCAAGCAAACATTGAAGAATTTCCATAAATAAATGCCACTTCTAACCTTTGGTGCGACGAAGCATGATGGTTTTTAGCACAGCCTGAAGCCGTTTGTACCCAGTTACAGGACTTCGTTGTATTGGAGCCTTAATATCCGAACAAAACGATTTATAACCTGAATACGGGTCAAACTTAAGAAACCTGAAATAGCTGTAAAGATCATCTACTGCATTCTGCATGGGTGTTCCAGACAAACACCACCTCCGTTTAGCACGAAGAGCCCAACACGCCCTAGCCACTTGTGTCCGGTGATTCTTTATGCTTTGAGCCTCATCCAATATAACTCTAAACCATCCCACGCCAGCAAGAGGCCGAATGTCCTGCAAGTCAACCTCCACTTTCTTCTTGCTCTTAGAAGATTTTTTACTAGAGTGAGGAGGATATTTCCTATTTTTAAAGGATGAAAGTTCCACTGGGAAATCAGAAGTGCCCTTTGCATCATCGTCATCCTCATCAACCGTGGGCCTCTTAGCTACCTCCATGCTAACTATTGCATAAGTAGTGAGCACAACATCATACTTGGCGAGCTCATGAGGATCTTTAGTTCGATTACTACCATGATAAAGCAGAACAGAGAGGTTAGCTTTACTAGTGACCTTGTTCTGGAGTTCCTCGGACCACTGCCGGAGGACACTTGTTGGACATACAATAAGAGTACCAGCTGCTGGTCTACGTTTAGATTGTGGGGAAGTACTCCTCCCACCAACATGTCCATCCACTTGAGCAGACTCGTCACCTTGGTTTAAGCACCCAACCTTTGACAGACTGTCATTATTATCATCATCGTCGTCATCATCTAAATTCAGTGTTTCTGGCTCATTTTCTTTCCTGTTAAGTTCAAGAGACGTTGGAGACCTCTCCTTTAAAATAAGAGCTATTGTTGATACGGTCTTCCCAAGACCCTGCAGACAAAATTGTGCACCAAAGGCAAAATAAATAAAAGTCTATCACAACAGAAAAAAAAAAACAAAAAAAAGAGGTACAAAGATGACAAAACAAAGAACTGAACTTCAAAAAGCAACCTGATCATCAGCAAGAATACCACCAGAACAGGAAACAGCATTCTCCTTCCTCACCATCCACGAGAGAGCAATACGCTGCCCAAAATTTCAGCCAGAACGGATTAACATTCACTAGATGTCAAACAATTTAATAACTTAAGAGATCTTATACTGATGGCTTGCATTATACTGAATAAAAGCCCAAATTAAATCCTCTTTAAGAAACTTCCCCGGCCAGTTAAGATTGTCCAGATAATCTAACATATATCCTTTTAGTCAAGGCCTCAGCAACCTTTGACGGAAGGTCTCCTAACTCTTACAAATTAAAGATGTAACTTTAAAAGGATTGGAACTTAATTGAAAATGGAAGCTTCCAGATTATCTTAAGGCAGCAGTAACCCTTATCGGGTCTCTTGCCATCTGAACTACAAGAGTAAATATCATAGGGTAGAAAAAGAGATGTACACCAAAACCTGATGTTTCAGCAAAGGAACTGCCATTAAACCCTCCGGAGGAGAATCTTCTGATTGTTGTTGATAGAGATCCTAAACAAAAGCCATGAATTCAATTTGATCAAATTTCCGACATACAGTAAATCAATCCTCAAATCTTGGCAGCATAAACTGCTCAGCTTGTCACTTTTATTATTTCTGGTCACATGATGCTTGAACAGTTTGCCAGCAGGTTAGAAATGAGAGAACAGAAAATGTTCTAGATAAACTATAAAAAAAAAAAAAAACAAATCTAGGCATGGAGGCGGACAGGCAAGGAAAAGAAGAAGTAATCTTGTACCCAAAACTACCTGCAATACAGCCTGAAAGATACGGTTTTCGCCATTTGCCTTGTGCTTAATTTGCCCCACAGATGTTGCCTGCAAAGAGCTACAAATTACTGCAGACCGTGAAGCAATGGGAGACTTGCCATTAATAAGTGGTGAAAATATTTTTAACTGAGGAGGTCCACTAATCTCCTCCAACACACACAAGTCTCCATCATCATCACTGTCACAGTTTTGGATATAAGAATCACTCCACATGTTTTGACCATTCATGTTTGCAATGTGAGATCCATTAAACATAGGTAAAATAGGTGCACCAATTGGATTCAAAACAGGCGAACCAATTGGATTCAAAACAGGTGCACTAATTGGATTCAAAACAGGTCCACCAACTCGATTCAAAACAGGTCCACCAACTCCATTCAAATTTGTGCAATTAATTTGTTGGTTGCTTGTGTTAGTTACTGATACTGCCAATGGTCTTATATTCCACATACCGACTCCAGAAGCAGTTTCATCATAATCATCAAGACTTAAACGAGGTCTTTTGTATTCAGGGAGTTTGCACATGTTTTCCACAGCCAAAACCTCACTTTTGCGACATAAACCCAAAGTCACAGAACTGGAGGAAGATACACCAGGAGACTGCCCAGCAACATCACCAAAAAATTTTATATCCATGGCATCATTATGTGTCAAATTCTCCTCTTGCTTATGACTCAAATGAGTTTCCTGCTTCATGAGAAAGTTACCATTGCTAAAAGTTGGGACTCTGTAGTTAACAGAATCATGATCTCCACCCAAAAAAGGATGACTAAGCCCCTGGTCAGCCAGATCCTCTGTACTCACGTCATATGACATTTCCATCTCTTCCTTTGCGCTGGTCATCTTTCTCGTATCATCCGCCATCGAATATAAATCAAAATTAAAAGAATTAAACTGGTCAGACGCAGAAGAAGAAGACGGATCAACCATATCACTAACACCAGGTGAGCTTGGATATCCATAGCCTGGAAATCTATCATTAGATAAGCCAATTTCCAACCCAGAATATTCCTCCACTTTGGGCGCAGCTTGCAAGGCTCTCGAGGAATTCTCATTCTCAAACTGTTTTTCAGAGATATCTGAAAAAATAAATCATTTGTTACACGGAAAAGATCATTCCAGCTAGGTTATAACTACTACATAACATAAAACGGCCATGTACGTGGCATTAACATCCACGGCAGACAGGTGGCATACATTTAAAATTGGAGCATGTAAATTGCAGTTTAGTGTCATGATAATGATCAATATTTGGAGATTCTGAATTACCAGCAGAGTGATAATTATAGATTCCCGCAGGGAAACAGAATGTCTGGCCACGATCAGGTATTTCATGTTTTATATATTTGATATCGTGTATGCTACTCGATGAAGCATTTCCAGAAACAGTATCCTTATCTACACCTAAGTGGCCATCTTGAACTGAAATCCAGTCAATTAAACTCCCAGAAGAGCTATGAACTGGAGATGCAAGGGGCCATTTGGACTCAAGCTTTGCATCCTCAAAAGCGACAGATGTCTCAGCACACTCAGAAGCACTTAAACCTACAAATGCCAATGTTGTTTGGAAAGGAAAACACGGAAGAGACGTAAAGTCAGCAACAGACTAGAGTTTCTCTCAGAATTTGGTGATTCAAGAAAAGACAACGTAATTTAAGAAATTTGTAGTATCCAACACGGTAACTTTAAAAAGTTTAACCAACCAAGAGGCAAACAATAAACAGCCACAGACACTAATTAAAAAGGAGGCTAATTTACCTTGCATCAGGTTAGTTGATAAATCTTCAGGCCTAGCCTGCAGTGCCAGTAAGATATAACAACAATGTTAAAATATAAAGAAGCCTAAAAGAAAATAGAGTTTCAGAACATAGAAGAAAGAAAAACACAGGTAGAAGACAAAACAAACTTTTTCCATGCGTAAACAAAAAACTGGTCTCTGATAGTCTGCTTCCTTTTTTCCATACAATTTCCTTCTTCGTCAAACAATTCCAATACACACTGGACTCAATCATGTTAACCTAAGATGACTCATCACCTCTTAACCACATGTGACTTTCATCCAACTCACCAAAAAGAGAAATCTTCGAAGAAAAACAAGGTTGAACAGCCAACATACCACTTTGACCTACTTCGTCAATTCATGAGAGAAAAAAATAATACCAAGACACTTAGCTATAAATGATTCGGACATCACAGGGCCTCATATCCTAATCGAACCTTATCTGCAGTAAGTGACATTCTACTCGTAACAACTACTGACCACTTCTTCAGTATAGACAATCAAACTGTAATCTCAATTTACAATATCTATTATCTCTTTGATCCCAAGGAATCACGATTTGAATTATAGGCAACACTGTATGGAGCTCAACTGTCTTATATTCACTCCGTATCAACAAAATCAGAGTGAAGTATACTAATAAACAACTCCTACCAAACACAATCCCTATTTTGAGCTTCTAAGTGAAAGAATTATCTTTACATCCTTTATTACACATAGTTTCCACAATGATTAAGATCATCCTAAAATTTAAAAATAAGTTAAATAGAAAAGCATAAACAACGTCTAACTCCATGATTTTACCGAAATTCACCTTTGCAACTCCCAGAAATCTGAGAACCCCTAACTATTCAATCCAAACACAAATATGGTTTTCACACAGAAAAACCAAGTACGAACAACAAAAAAAGGAAAAGACTTTGAAACATTAAGAAGAAAAAAAAAAACAAAGAATTGACCCCAAATTCACCTGGGAAGGTTCGGCACTTTCTTCCAATAAATCCAATAAAGCCCCCAAATCAATTGAAAGCTCATTCCCATGATCATCAACTTCATCATAAGGAAAACCCTCGTCGGACGACAATATGTTCGATCTGTCGTCTGGCATCAACATATCTCAATTCCGATTGCAAGCATAAAAAAAAAATAACACTGCAAAATTGCCCCCTGCTCTTCCAATTCTCCGGCTTAATTCGTTGTCGTCGTCGTGGCAAGTCTCCCCTTTACATTAAAAAAAAAATTTAAGAATTTAAAAATCAGTACCGCCTCAAATTTCTACCCTAAGGAAAACGCGATTCGCTTCTCGTATGTGAAAGACTTAACGAACAGTTAGATCGAAGTTTACAAAGAAGTTTCGTTGAGGCTTCAGTGTAAAATACTTTCGCATGGTTGCGTGACTTTTGATTGTGTGTGTGCGTGTTTTCCTTCTCCTTTTTGGTTTCAGCTTTCGTATTTTATGGGGGTTTTTTTTTGACTTATTATTTGTCTCGTCATATTTTAGTAACCTTAGCTGTCCACGGGACTCCCTCCTAATAATATTAAAACTTTTAACTTGAATTATTATGAGTTTTTTTTTTTCTTTTCCTCTTTGCAAAGTAAGACTTCTTCCAAATTGGGATTATAAATAATATAAAGTACTAATAGCCTGCCAATAAAATTTATTACTACTACTATAATAATTTCAAATTATTAATATTTGACAATGTTATTAACCTATAATATTCAAATTAATAATTTTTTAAATTCAAGCTTTAAGGATTGAATTTGAAAACTGATTAAAGTATATCCTTCTCATATACCATCCATGGTAATAGTACTAGTAATAGTAACAACTAACGTGTGTTGCCTTTTCTCGGCCAGTCTAATAATGCTTATGGTTTTCAGTTTTCTTTTGACAAAATTTTTAATCAACCTAATATTTCACCGGAACTTTACATTTTACAATATGTTAAATTTTATAAAAACGTTATCTAAGTTACTTATAGAAACATAAGAGTACCTTAAAATGAGTATAATCATTAGAAAGTTTTAATATCTGTGAATAATGTTAGAGTCTTGTATTGAAATTCTTTTTTATTGTTAAAGAAAAAAAACGGTATATGTTAGTAGTTAAAATTGTACTTTAATTATTCATGATATATACTTACAATGTACATGTATGAATATGCTTCTTTTGATCCAAATAATAGTTCGCATTGTAATTTATTAATTGAACTAAAAATACAAGTATTATAAAAAAACTATTGAATATCAAAGTATACTCATCATTATAAAATATATATATATATATTCCAAAAATGATTCACATTAATTTATACTCAACTTATGTCATGTCTAATTTTATTTTATTTTTTTACCCATTGCCCAAGTATGACTTTGATTTTTTTTATTAAAAAAAAAAACAAAAGAAAAAGGAAAAAAAAAAAAAACCGTATCCGTATAGTGGAAAAAGTTTACCTTAACCCCCTCCCCCAGTAAAGTCAAACTGCATCTGCAGATTCTGCACGTTCAAGTTTCACTGGGTGTCCATTTAATTACCGTGTCCGAGTTACTATTTTATTTTATTTCGTTAATTACATTTTTTTAATTAAAATAAAAATAAAATAGCAGGAGCTGACAGTGTTTTTGGTGGCGGTGTGCAGGGTGCCCAGACTATATATATATTGATGTCTGTATTCTGGTTTGTACTTGGCCGACCCGCTGATTTTGAATCAATGGTAATCTGTTTGATCTCCCTCGTTTTCCATATTTTACGGGATTGCGATTTGAGAGAATTCCCGGCATTAGATTGTGAACTTACATTAACATGTTCAGTTATCCTTTGATTTTTTCTCGTTTGGCTTCCGGGTTTATCTGTCGAAGTTATTATGAATAATTGTTGTTTGAGATTGATAGTTCTAGGGTTTTTTGTTTTTTTTGCCCCCTTTTTGCTTGATTGGGTTTGGTGTTAAAATCATCATCTGAATTTGGGCAATTTAGTTGAAGAAGTTGTTTCCTTTCGTGTGGATTTTCTGTATGTACTTGGATAACGTTGGGGGTTTTGCGAATGATTTGTTTTAGTGCGGGAGAGTTTGGTTTTGGGGAATTGGTTTAATTATGCTTCTGGGATATCGCCTGCATAATTCGTTTGACTTTACTGGATAAGTTTCTGTTTCTGGGATGATATTGTGACGGCCAGTAAATCTTAACGGTAAAGGGAGTACTTGGGGTTTGATTATGTTACTGAAGCAATGATTCTTGGTGTCCAATTAAGTTGTTCAAATGCATTGGGGTGGATACCTGTATGTGAGTCCGCACGATTAAATATATATTCCATTGAATCAACCCGAACTAGCAGATTGACTATCTGCGGTGACCATTGTTAAATTAGGGAATCCTTATATGTGAAAGATCGGGTCGTGTACTGTTGATTGCTGTTGTATTCAGGCATTATACATAAACGAGTGAACATATATCAAGAGCAGTATACTAGGTTTTATAGGCTTGATAGGTTGAACATTCTGCTGACTGTCATGTAAATAAAGAAATATTTTTTTCTTTCTTCATTATCTGGAAAAGAGAGACTTGAAGTTTCTCCGTAGTGCAGCATTCTTAAGTTTTTAGCTTTTTATTTAATGACAGGCTTCCTCAAAGAAAGTCATAACTAGAGAAGAGTGGGAGAAAAAGCTCAACGATGTAAAGATTAGGAAAGAGGACATGAATAAATTGGTTATGAACTTCCTGGTTACAGAGGGTTATGTTGATGCTGCTGAAAAGTTCAGATTGGAATCTGGGACTGAACGTATCCTTTCTGTTTTATGTACATCCCAATTATGTTTATTTTCTGTGATTTTGCATCAGTCAGGATTTGCTTTTCCTTAGTAGTTTATAGCTGACATTGATCTAGCAACTATAACTGACCGGATGGCTGTTAAGAAGGCTGTGCAGTGTGGTAATGTGGAGGATGCTATTGAAAAAGTGAATGATTTGAACCCTGAGGTATAATATTTTTCGACCGAAGTCGTATTTGACGCTTTCCCATTGCTGAGGAAACCTCACACTGTCCCCCTTCCTCATTTTCCACTAATACTGAAGGAAGAGGGAAAAATCCATGTCTATTGCTTGCATTTGAGTACAGACTTGTGATTTTTATGTTGCTTGTTTATCTGACCAGGTATTTGTATAAATTCGCTGTGCAGATATTGGATACAAATCCTCAGCTTTTTTTCCATCTTCAACAACAGAGATTGATAGAATTAATCAGGAATGGAAAAGTCGCTGAGGCTTTAGAGTTTGCTCAGGAGGAACTTGCCCCTAGAGGAGAGGAAAATGTGAGATTTTGGCATGTTTTTGACAAGCATGCTTTTGTTGTCGTACCTACATCTTCAAACCATACATTGCTGCTAGTCTTTGGTCTGAAGTTTTTTGTCCTTTTGGGGTGTTCTTTGCTGTATTTTGCAGAAGAGCTTTTTAGAAGAGTTGGAGAGGACTGTTGCGCTGTTGGCTTTTGATGATGTTAAGAATTGTCCTGTTGGGGATCTTTTGGATATCTCACAACGCCTCAAGACTGCAAGTGAAGTCAATGCCGCTATTCTTACTAGCCAAAGCCATGAAAAAGGTATTTATCATCTTATTGTCATGAAAATGAGAAGAGAGAATTCATCTTGCTTACAAAGTTTGGTTATTATTGCTGGGAAACTTGCCATTTTATGTTGTGTTTCATTGCTGTTCAGTGGTTGAATCTTCTTAGTTCGTCGAATTAATTGAGAGAGATAAATGGTTATTTATCGAGAAGTTTAAGCTGTGATTTGTGGTACATGGTAGGGTCCTTTGAACCTAGCCGTGGCCAACAAAATAACCACATTGTACTTGAATGATGGAATTTGAACTGTGAAGCATATAACGGCAAAAGATTTTTAACTTTTTCTACCAACAGTTATCCAAATCCCGGAGCACCTTAGCAAAGAAAGGAAAAGATGCAGTTTTTATTTGATTGTTTTCTGAAGATATACTTGAGAGCAGCTGCAATCTGCTTCGTTAGGGTTTTCTCCTAAATCTCTAGAAAACTGCATCTCATTTGACTCTGTTGAGCTTTTTCTTTTCAGCTGAGTCACATTGCAATAAATTCTATGGCAAATCATGATACACTAGTTCTCAACTTTGATTTGCCTGTTGAAAACCATGTCCTTTCAGTTGTTTTTGCCTCTCGGGCAATACTATTGTAGCCTTTAGTTCTGGGTCTTAGGTGAGAACATGAATGAAAAGAGTTCACTTGAGTAATTAGCCTAGGTACGAAGAAGTAGGAAGTTCAAACTAATAAGATTGGGAATTTGACCCTGGAGAAGCTGCAGGAAACCCCCGGTCACAGTTATTCATTTAGTTTTTGTGCCTTGCAATACTTTCTTCTTGGGTGATTCGAATTTTCAGTCCGCCAATTGTCTGGCACTCTGCTTTTTACACAACTCTTGGTGTCTTCTGCATCAAGGGATTAGTTTCATCTGTTTTCACCTTTGATTTCCATATAACCACACTAATTAATACCGTTTCGTTGTATGAGATCAACATTCTTTAAGAACCCATCATCATTTTGCTTTCTTTTGTGTTTTCTGATTAGGAATTCAGCATATCCTATAATGTTTTTAAACTTTGATGATGTTTGGATTACAGATCCTAAGCTCCCAAGCTTGTTAAAAATGCTGGTATGGGCACAAAACTCACTTGATGAGAAGGCTGCTTATCCTCGCATAAATGATGTATCTACTGCTACACTTGAAGATCCTGCTATTTGAGAGGCGTCAAACTCACTTCTATTGCTCAAGGTTCAGTTACCTGATATTGCTCGTCTAACAGAAGAGGGAACGTGAGCTATTTTTTTTTTTCTTTTACAACTTAAAGCTGAGCCGTAGTTTAGCCGTTCTTGAATGTGATTTTACCGTGTATGTATTTTCTCTAGGGGATAGATGTTTCGTTTTCCAATGTATAGACCATGCACTCATATTGGCTCTTTAGCAATGAATCCTGAATTATAATCGATCATTTCGTGAGGAACCCTGACTCTGTTTTACCTTCGCAAGCTTTCTGGTATTTTATGATATTTTGAATGATGGATTGATAGATTTGTGTAAGTAAATTTGTTTGTTGGGAACCGTATTTGCTTTAACCACCTTTTCATCACATTCTTGAGAAAAAACTGGAGATTTTGAAGTGACATCAACTAGCTATATATGATTGCGAAGCAAACTGGCATGTGTATGGTATTTTTCATAAATTGTGATGATGTGTTCGAGTTACTTTAAAGACTTGGTTCAAAGAAGAAAGCACTAAGGGAACAAGACAAGCTAACCAGACACTGTATAGCAGATAGGGAACTATACGTATAAAACAACAGGAATGAATTTCCGTTGCAAGTTGTTTGGAGTCAGATAAAGCACAAGTTGTAAACAATAAGTTTGCTCAAATATATTAGCTTCGTGAAGATGAGCAGTGGGATTATTGCCGAAGAGTAATACGTTTTTGAAGTTTTGCTAAAAGAAATAGTCATTGTGGATTTAGTTCCGTCGGAAATTACGGCTACATATGTGAAATATGAATCATATAGTTCTAAAAGAAGATAATGATGACCATATGTTTGCATAAAGATGAAGTTAAGGTCCCTACTCCCTGCCAATTTAAATACATTAACTAAACAGTAGTTTTAGTAATGTTGAAGAGCAATATTGAACAATTGTAAGAGGTATGCTAGGTATTAGATGAATACAGATGGCCTCAAGTGTTAAGACTCCACCCATATTATATAAATCAAAGTGGTTGTTTTGGAAGAATTGTGGAGTTTAGAGTCTGTCTTCTTCTGCTGCTTCTGGTCGAATGTAACACTGGCTTTCTCTCCCATATCATAACAACCATCATCAAAGTTAAGGGCATAACTGGAAGGATCATACTGAAATTTTGACTGCTGTTTGCCTCTGCTACTTCCACCACCAACATTTGTCTTCTTCACAGCTTTCTTCACTGCTGCTTTCATCCTCCAGAAAAGGCTTCTGCACTGCTTCTTCCCACAATGATTCACCCATGACATCCTTTCTTTCAACCCCATCATGTTGAAAAAACTTTTCCTCGAATATCTCCTGCTTCTTGTGTTTCAAAATCTTTCAAAATGCAGCTGAATCAATCTCAGCAGAGAATTTGCTCACCTCGAATACCACCGCTGGAAGAGGAGTGGTGCATTTGGCAACTTATATAGATGTAGGCAGCTGGCTAAATTAATCAATGCTTTATACTATCTGGAAAAAAACAAACAAGTTAGAAACACATCATGATCAACGAGACAAATGAGACAAAACTTGCATGGAAATGTTAGGCAAATCAAAAGGGTGTTGTGAAAGTTGAGTAGAGAAATGAGAGTAGTTTGGGTGTTTTTTCTTTCTGGTACTTTTATGAATGGAGGAGGTTAGGTTCTCAAGGGCAAAAGGAAAGAAAACATTTAACAAAGCTGAAAAGACAGGAAGAGAAGAAGCATAGTGGTAAGAAAAAGAGGCCTTTTTAAGCATTTATTATAGTAAGAAAAAATTGAAGAGAAAAACTGTGCTTCTGTTAGTCTCTTTACCAGTACTAGTTTGGAGGCAACAATGCAAAACAGTGAGACTGTTGAAGGTGGTGTGCATTGGGAGACTCAAATTCCATGATGCAGAAAGAGACAAATACAGAGACAGTAAGCCATGGGAAGAGAGCCCTGTTCTTGTAGCATCACTATCCAATTAGTTGTTGTTGGTGTACCAGTAACACTTCAAACACTATTTTGCCTATTTGCTTGCTTTTTCTCTCTAAATGATGTTACATTTTTCTAGTACTTCCTCTTTGTTTTAGAATTTTATTTTTAAAAAGAAATTATTAAGGTTTACAAGTATTGGTTTATTGCATATAGAATTAGGATAAAATCCCCATATCAAAAAAAGAATTAGTGGGTTTTAACTGTTGTGATCTCATGTATTTGGGGCAGTTTTAGTGGGAAGATTTATTAGATATTGACTACATATTTTGAACAATTCAACATCTGAGATTTTTACTAATTATATCGTCTTAGAGATCTCACTCCCATCCCTTTCAAGTTTTCACTCCTCACTTGCAAATCTACTGATTCTATTATTTAGAATTTTCACTTTCATGTCTCATGTTTTTACCCCTCACATTCAAATTTACTGATTTTATCATTTTAAGATTCTCACCCTCATCATCTCATGTTTTCGCCCTTCCTATGCAAATTTACATATCATGAAATACCCAATAGATACTTATCACGAGACACGGTAAAAACAAGACTTTAATTTTTATGTACTTTTCGGCCTCACAATACAATCATTCTTGACAGCAAAGAAGTACAATAAAAAACCTATAAATTAATACCACATACAAATCATATTTTTCACTTTTTCTAAGTCAGATCAATACAAAAAATAAAAGCAATCAATAAAATAATAAATAATAATTTGAAAGGAAACCTCTCTATATATATTTTTCTATTCAGTAACATTAATTAATAGTTTTAAAAAGAAATAGTAAACATTAACTAGGAACATTTATTAAGATGTAAATATAAACATAATTTGTATATCTTGAAATTTATATCTAAGGTCTTAAGTGAAAAATTAAATTTGTACAATCCAAACTTGACTTTATATCCCGATTCTTAGAAATTATAACTTTTTTTTTGAAACCTATAAATAATTAAATTTGAAGGTCCTGAGAATATTAATTTGTAGATGTTTTATTGTAGTGTATTATGGTATGTCACATTATATCATAAGAAATTGAATCTCTGATTTTGAAACATTAAGAAGCAAAGAACATCAGTACTTCGCTTTTGATTTATCTCATGCATGTGAAGATTGAGAAGTCGACGAGTGTCTATTTCTCTTGTGTTCATCCAAGATGTGAAAATCTTGAACAGAAGTCTTAAAAAAAAGAGAAAAATACAACAAGTATTTGGATAGGCTCTACTGATTTTCATATTTTCATTAGTCGGGAAAAAGGATGGACAAAGACAATTAATTTGTGAAAAATTCAAGATTGTTTGTTTAATTTTCACTCATAAGAATAAATTGTTTCATAGGTGTGCTAGGTGGACTGTAGTAGGATTAGTCTAGTAATAGACTAGGCCAGAAAAATGTCTAGTTTTCATTTGGGATCCGGCATTTGAAATTGAGAAGGGGTATATGTAATCTAACAGAAGAGAAGAAAAAAGTTATTGTAAATATAAAAAGATATTGAAAAGATAACAAACAAAAATTGTATTGAAAATGTAAAATTATACATAAAAAAACTCAAAATTAGTAAAAAAAAATTCCAAAAGATAGATAGTGTGTATGCACATTACAGTAAATATTCTTGGAATCAATCGTATTTTAAAAATTTTTTATGAAAATGGAACTGAAATGAATTGTCCAGCGAATCAAATTTTTTATAAGTAGATTAAAAAAATATATTTGGTCGTGAAATTTTCCAATTTATATGACACCCAAAGATTAGGAGAAAAAATATTATCATAGACTCCCTCCACCCCATAAAATAGTCCACATTAAATTTTGAGTTTTATAGTGTTTTTAGTATAAATTTGAAAATTTAATGTGGACTATTTTTATTAAACAGGGATAATATTATTCATGTGATGAAGAAAAGGAAACAAAATGAAAACAAACTCAATTAATGCAACTTTTTCTTACGAAATAGATCCAAATTCCAAACAAACAAAGCCAAATGAACAAAAAGGAAAGATCGGAGAGGAAAAATCTATAAGTTTTATGATCCATCAAATCAAATGATCTCGTTTTTTTTTTTTTCTTTCTTGCTCATTTGTCTCCTACAAAAGGTAGTGTCTGGGGAAGTTTTTGGAATTATGTATGAATTTGTATATGAAGCTCCCTCTGATTCTTTCTATCTTTACAGTGACCATTTTTGGACTTTGCAGATTCTCATTAAATTTCCTTGTCCCCTTTCTACAGTCTCCACTTAAGAAATTCAAACCTTTCTAACCGGGTCGGGGATTGCTTTCAGTTCTGGTCTGATTTAACATTTCCTCAATCCCGTTTTAAAGTTTTTTTTTTTTTTGATTTTTGAGGAAAAGTTTCATTAAATATGCTGGTCCATTGTGAAAATTTTTCATCACTATTTGTGTTTATTTAAAATCAACTTGGGTATCTAGTCCTTTTGTTAATAATTAAAACCAGATGAGCAGAATAATGCAAAAACCTCCTAATGTGTCGTACGGTATGAGTAACTTTGTCATAGTTTCTTTCTCAAAAAAAAAAAAAAAAATTTGTCATAGTTTTTCTTTAGAATTTCTGTTTTTAATTTTAAAATCAAATTGAGAGAATAATTCAAAAAAAAAAAGAATCTCTTATAGCTAAATGATCGAATTACATCTCTAGATATTGATTTTCTAATTCATTTAATTTAGAGTGATCATCACTTTTCGAGTCATTTTTAGTCAGTTTTGATTAATTGTCATTTTTATTTCAATTTCGGTGCCTCCAAGTATTTTAATTCGAATCTGGCTGAGAAGTAATTCTTGCTCCCGAACTTGTTACCAACAGTCAACAACAGGCATATATTTTTGGCATGTAGGCCATGTGAGTGAAGCCTATGACTCGAGATCAGGCCCAACTACTTGCGAACCCAAACACACGGTGGAGATAGAAAATATTTTTGTGTCAAAAAGAAATACACACACACACATATATATATATATATATATATATATTCGGGAAACAAGAATTGAAACTTTAAAGTGGAACGAGCATGTGAAGTACAGTAGAGAAATGGTCAGCACAGACAAAGACATTTTCAATAATTTTTTTATATATATAAAAGAGTAATTAATTAGACACAAAAGCTGCAAACATAAACACAATTGATGATTATGAATTGGGGGTGGGGAATTCCGGTTCCTATGTTCCTTGTACTCTCTGCTTTATTAACTCGTTAATCAATGAAATTAATTATTCTATTCAATTTAACAATCTAGTTTAGAATATTGTCAAGTTCTAAAAGTAAGATTAGACAAGATCTTCTGGGCCAGTATATGTCTGTGGTCACACATTTATCTCTAATTGTTTTTTCTAACTTAAAACACCCCCCAAAAAAAGCGTCCTTGATAATCTAAACTTCGATTATGTCCATCGCCGAACTGAATCATACTACTCCATTTGTTAAATTATACTCCTACTTAACCAGAGACCCTATGATATTATTATTCGTAGCTGCCAAAAAGATTGGTGTGCGCCTTAATCTTGTTATTATAGCTTCTCTTGTGTATTGACACCATCTTCTTTTTAGGCGCTTTTGAGTATGGTTTAAAACAAATGTGGAATGTTTAAAAGTTATCATTTCTTATAAGGCTATGTTTGGTTGGATTGAATTGGACCCAAGAATTGGAATTGGAGGCCCTCAATTCCAATTATTGTGTTTGGCTGAAAAAATAGAGGTTCCGGAATTAGAATTATAATTCAAGATAAGGCTCAATTCTTTATTTTCAATTCTTTTGTGGGAGCAAATAATTGCAATTCAAACTCTAGGGACTTTAGAAAAAACGCGGGTCACATACAGGTCGTTTTCCGAGTTATAATGAAACGGGTCCTTTTAAATTTGAGTTTTTTTTTTTTTTTTTGCAGCGCTGCACATGCGCTGTTTTTCCTTGTTCTTTTTCGTTTTTTTTTTCCTTTTTCTTTTAGTGCTGGGTTTTTTTTTTCTTTTTTTTGCATTTTGTTAAATTAACATATGTTTTTATTTATGGTGCAAACGAGGTGTACATCATATTAATAATTATTAATGAGATCTATATATTAAAATTAGTATTCTTTTAACAAAAACTATCAAATGTATAATGACACCCGTAATTTATTTATAAAATGGATGGTATTAATTATGAGTTAACATTTTTTTATCAAATGTATTTTGAACTATACTTGAAATTTTTTTCACTAAAAATTATGTAAACTTTCAAGCAGTTGAAATATATATTATTCCATATGTAATTATATACTAAAAAAAATAATTAATTAGCACCATGTATTAATGTTACTCTATACATAAATGAATGGTCTTTACTTTCAACTATATAAAAATTTTACACTAAAACCCAAAAAAAAAACTAAAGATTAAAAATTTATAAAATAATAAAAAGGAGAGGAACGAGAATGTTCTACATGTTACTTGTGAGAATTCCAATCATCACATTCATACTTACATAATAATAAAATAAGGTTTTCCACAAGTATGTATGTATCTATAAATTATAAAATTGATATATATTACTCAAACAACAAAAGTTCTAATATAAATGTACATGATAAATTTATTTTTGTTATCTTATATATGTAAGTAAGAAATTGCTTTGATATAAGTATTTATTTTATTCAATGAAATAAAGTACTAAACTATAGTTAGATAATAAAAAACTAATTCTAATTCTAGATTTTATAAATTTATAAGGATCCGAACACAAGAATTGGTATTAGAACCTTAATTCTAGTCAATTCTTAAGATATTTCAAACGAAAGAATTAAGATTGAATTGCAATTATCTAATTTTCAATTCAATAGTATTGTAATTCTAATTCAATTACAATTTAATCTAACCAAACGGAGCCTAAGTGAAATGAAAATTACTTCCTACGTCCCAAAATTATTGTCCGGTTTGAATTTTTATTTTTCGTTCAATTTATACTAAAAATGAAAATTTTAATTAAACAATAATTTTGGATTATAGGGAGTAAAAAGTAATTATAATTAATCTTCGTGCTTGAGCACGATAATTGTTTCGTGATTGTGTTCCTCAGCGTAATCTACTTTTCTATTTCTTATATTTAATTATTATTTATCTATAGTTAACATGTTGTCTTACGAGTTACAAGTTCGACTATAATCTTTTGTAATCACTAAGCTATATGGCATTTCGCACGTAGAAAATTTTGATTAAATCATGTTTTATGCACGGTTTTAAACCAAATGTTGGGTCATTAAATCTATTTAATATGGTAACATTAGTACAATACCGTATATTTTGCTATTAATATTTCATGAATTAAAAATTTTGAGTAACTGATGATTGTTCGGCTCCCAACTTAGGATCAGTAGAATTTTTAATAAATAATATAAGTCCCTTAAATATCATGAATTAATAATTAAATAACAATTTTTTTTTTTACAAAACTCGTGTATAAATATATGTCCGTCAATATCGTAAATTAATAATTACCTAACATAAAAATAATTATATGCTCCCATGTCCTAAAATGGTTGTCCAGTTTGAACTTTAATTTTTAATACAAAATAAAAATTATACTAAAAATAAAAATTCAAACTAAACAATTATTTTAGGACAGAATGAGTACTATTTTGTAGTTATTTTCCCTTAAAATGTGTCTATATTAGAAGATTTTATCCGCCTCTTTGCTTTGTTCAAGTCAGAAAATTACCTACTTTGATTTTTAATCACATACAAACAATCTTAATTTCAAGATTTTATTTATTCTTATTGATCATAATTATTTTAATTAATAATTATTAATTTATTGATATGAAAATAATTATTAATTTAATTAGATATACTGTAATAATTTTATATAATAAAAATTATTAAAAATGTTTAAACCACGATATAACTAATAGACCTATAGTATAATTCTCACAAAGAAATAAGTTGGAAAAGTTCCGAATTGTTACAATTTGGCTCAGTGATGGACTTGAGCTAAACAGCTTGGAAAAAATCGCTGGTAGAAGTCTACGTGGCCAATTCCGTAAGGCGTGAAATCGTCTTTGATACAGCATGTTAAAATCCACGCCTTTATATAATCGTTCGTTAGAAAAACATTGTGTCGTTATTCAAAACAACGATTTGAGTTAATGATTGACTATTTTGAACACGAATTGACTTCTTCATAGTAATCATCATCAGACCAGAGAAAAAGTGAGGGCTCTTTACCGGCTTAAACTCCGGCAGTCCGCCGTTCTTCGCCGGCCGCAACGGCTCGATTTGCAGGCTGGTGGGGCAAATCCCGTTTCACTTCGTAGGAACGGAATTTTTCACAGGAAATTAGTTTCCTGCAAATCCATCCGTTATGGCCGTTCAGTTCTCGGTACAATTACTATTAGTGAAACTCGTCGACATTTTCCCCAATCCGTCATGTCTGGAGGAAATTCGAAATAGAAATGAAGGCTCAATCACATTAATTATTGGCGCCGGAATCATCGGGTCGCTATCATTGATGCTGCTGCTGGTGCTACCGGTGCAGGTAATAATAGTTGCGCTGAAGTATTTCTGTGAGTACATAATTACTGTTTGAGATCCTGGAGCTTTTCATTTCAAATTCAATGGAATATGGGAAAAGATGTTCTTGGGAAACTATTCTTTTAGTATGTATTCAGATCGATTAGGAATGTAGGAGGTATTTTGATAATGTATTCTGTTTGATATAGGGATTAGGAATACTTGAATTCAAAGGTTTTATTGGCCTCTTTCATATGAGTTTCCTGAATTGAGCTTACACTGTTTTAGTTGAAGGTGTAGTGAAAAAGGTCTTTTGTTCTTAGGAGTGTTGGCAATGTATTTTGCCTTATCCCACTATGTGGAGTCTGGCTATATGGATAATACATCGCCATGGTACCATGTTGAATCCCTTGTTTTCATTTGAATCTGAACAAATTATGTCCTTTTGGAGCACAGTTTGAATCAAGCTGTTTTTTTTTTTTTTTTGGTGGTTTAATGCTTTAGTAATGCTGTCTTAACCTTTCAATCGGGAATAAAGGAATGAACTTTTTCATAATAAGAGTGCAAGCATGGACATAGACCTTCGGTAATGCATCCTTTAGTTTTCATAATGATAGTAATAAAACCTGTGGGGCTTTGGCCAAACGGACATCTAAACTACCTTAGATCTGCACTCTGCATTATGAAAGGATATTCTTTTTGTATTAAGTCAATGGAATGCACATAAGCTGATTTTTCTCGTAATCTATAATGCGCAAGATATGAATTGAACTCTTCTGTTTGGTCTTTGAGCTGACTTCAATCTAGGGTTACATTTGGAGGATAAACAAGAATCCTGGAAATGACAAATGGGAAATTGCTTCAGAAAGCCATGAACTGTGGGAGAATCTGGTGAAGAGTCTAGAAAAGCAGGGAATGCACCAGGAATCTCCTCACACTCTTTCATCAGGAGCGACTAATCATTTTATTCTTTGGAGAAGTATCCATTTTAGACTTATGGTGGTCATGAAGAAAACTCACTACCCCTTCAAAGAATTTACTAAACCATGGCACAATTAGCGATCATTTGTTTTTATTGGCAGGTTGATTAGGGGGCTGGAGAACCATCATCATCCAGGACAAGTTCAACTGTCCATGCTTTTGATGCATCTGCAACATCAACAGATGGTTCTGGTTGCAGGAGCTTTGAGTCCTGAGAAGAAGAGGAGCGAGATCTTTCCAGCCATTGTTGTATAGTCCAACTATGGTTGAACTGTATTTCAAGGCCATCACTTTTGCGACAGGTTCTTTTACCTTTGTAAATGGTATCATGTTATGAAATTTAAAGTTTGCATATAATTGGTTGTCCAACTTTCCAAGAATTTATCATAAAACTTCTGTGGAATAGATAAGTAGTTAAAAAAAAAAAAAAAAAAAAAAAGACAGTAACGATTGTAATGTGCACAAATTTACCCACCTATGGTGAGTTACAGCATTACCGTAAAGAGAAAACGAAAGGGATTTCTAATTAAACATGTAAAAAAAAAACTCCTCACCGTCTTCACCTTGCTTAGTAAATGTGGACATTGCATTGCATAACATAGTGAAAGGTTTTGCCCCAAAATAGGAAAAAGATTAAGCAATCAAATGTATGATTGTGGTATGTCTGGTTATTTGCAAACAATTTCATTCATAAGCTGTAAATGGATGGATTATTTATTAAGTCAACTAATGATGATGCTCTCCCAAGTTGTCGTATTTAAGAGTAATCAAACAGTGTTTCCTGTCTCTCAACCCAAGTGTCTTTTCTCCCATTTTCCTTAATTAATCCAATTGTTTAATCTTGTTTCTTTCTTGTTGAACATGACCCTACAAATAGAATGGGTGATCAGGTGATTAAATTAGAATTTAGAGCTATGATTATTTACTTTTAAGCTTAGTAGTTTTCATAATATCATCAGCTAGGTCACTGAATTCATACCATGACAAACAATTGTGTTCCTGAATGTTCCCTGGGCCAGGCCCCAAGTTGTCCCTATGATTTAGGCACAAGATTACTATGAGTCTAATTAATTAGTCTCTAAAATTAAGTTTTATTTTCCTTTGTTACAAAAACATAATAAGATTTCGACTGAGGGACCAGATCCTAACACATTTGGAATGCCTGTAAATGGAACTTTCCCAATATTCAAGGATCTAATTGCAACTGAGATGGGGTTGATGATGGCTTAAAAAGAAAACAGATTTTTACTATGTGAAATTAAAACAAAGATTCAAATGGGTCAAAATTGAGTACGACAGTAGGAACAAAAGTTAATCTAAACTAAAGTACAAACAGTAAAAATACAAGCAGTAAAGTCATAAAAAAAAAAAAAAGGAAATTTCTTTAAGCTTCTATGCAATCAATTATGTTTTCGCTTTTTTGAACTTTCCCCTATCATCAATTGCTTCTTTTGACCACATGAATAAAACCGAAGGAGAAAGCCTGAAAACTGAATCCCTAGTGAGTTGTAACTTTCATTTTAACCTTAGTTTCAGTGTCCCACATCTTCCCTCCCATCCATAAAAGTTCTGTATAAGAAAATATATAAACATGCATACAATAATTTCATTGGAGCCAAAGAAGGTTGAAGGTTCCGACTTTCTGATTGAATTTTTGGAGAATTGAAATTGCAAGAATCCCATTTTTCAATCATCCATGAGGACTTAATGAAACTAAAAAGATGCATCTTTTAATTTTATTCATACACACCGATTTTTTGGAAATATATTCACCTAAGATATTATATGAGGTTGGTTTTATGAATCATTTGTGGTTATTATCTTAATTGATCAAGAAACCCAAAAAAACAAATATATATATATAATAAAATAAAAATAACAAACCAATCAATCAAATCAAATCATGCAAAAAGCGGTACCGTAAATAAAGAGAATCAATCAAATCCTGAGAGGGCATCATCATGCAAAGAAAACACGAAGTGGCCCACAAAGACCATGATGATTTTGGATGGATCGGGCCTAACTATTAGCAGTTTTTTATGTTGTTTTGGGGAGGGATTAATAATTCTTGGGCCGAAAGAATATGTGTGGACTCTATGAAAAAGAGACTCCGACGGCAATCAAGCCTAGGCTCTCTCCTCTCTCAGTTCTCACAGCTTGGAAGAAGAAATTCAATCATGAAAAGAAGAGAAAGTAAATTTTGTTGGTTCCGAAGGGAAAGGAAAAGAAGAAAAGGGCCGTCCACGTGAACACATATGATCCATGAACTCAGACTCACACACGAGCTACCCCTGTTAGGTTATAACCCCACCACCTTGACCCACCTTTCTTACGATGTACTGGTGCTGCTACTTACTAATAGGTCCACTGATTCTCACACACACACACCATCTGACAGAAAACACACACAAGACAGGGTTTAGCCCCTTCAATCAAATCCCAAAAAAGCCTTTCTTGTTCTACAAAAGCTGTTGACGGTAACAACAAATAATTCACGAGAATTATTTTTCTACTATTTGAATGGTGAAGTCAAATTGATTCTTCTCATAATCCGACAAAAGAAGTTCAATGGTTTTCACTGTTTAATCGATCAAAATCATAACAATTGGTTACATCAATATTACTTATCTTTTAAGTATTTGATTCAATTAACGGTGGTTTCAATTGGAGATAAACGGTTATTTTTCATTAATTTCATTAACACATTTTGTTTTAAGTGATTTACACGCCAATAAGGGGTTAACCAAGTGTTACTGGACATAGCATCAAAACATGAGGTCCCAAGAGGTCACATGTTCAAACCCCGCTAACCCTTATGTGTTGAGTTGTGCATTTTATCTTGCACCAGCCAGGAAGGCTTTCTGAGTACCAGATTGAGGCGTGCGCGCATGGAGTCCTCTCTTAATAGTACTATTCCATAGATTTCACCCCACAAGTAATAGACTATACTATTCCATAGGTTTCACACCACATGTAATAGACTAGATACTTGTAATTGTGTATTAAAAAAAAAGGTTTATAGACACATTTAATCTCTATAAAATTCATAGACTAGATACTTGTAATTGTGTATTAATAATCCTTATAAAATTCATTCCGTCAACTCGATATGCACGTTTTCTCAAAAGCATTACTCCCTTCATTTAAAAAAAAAGCTCCACATTAAATTTTGAGCTTTGTATTATTTTTATTACAAATTTGAATATTCAACATCAACTATTTTTTTAGAATAGATGTAGTAATATTTTAACTGGTTGATCAAGATTTAAATATACTAGTAAAGAGTACATATGGAACAATCAGTACTGTAGATTTTTTTTTCTCCCTCAGATTCCATTCTACTCCATCCAACGTCACGCAACCGCGGAACCTCTCTAGACGGAAAACCACACGCAAAAAATCCCCACCTCCTCACGTGGATTTGCTGTTTATTACGCACGCGAGATCATCCATCAGCCATTCATTTTTGACTCCCATTCCGCCTGGGATTTTAATGACTGTGGCTTACTTTCAGTTTGTTTCAGTGATGATTCAGTGGTCCAGAGTAGTATTAGACAGAGTTCAGTCACGTCAGCATATTCTGACCGTTGGATTCAGGAGACCATCCCCATGAATTTATATATGGCTTTGTTCTTTGTTGGTGGGAGGATTCTACTATCTCCCTGAGTCCGCCGACAGCTTTCAGGAGGTGTGATGTGTCCGGTGGGAAGGAATTGAACGTCGTTAGCTTTTGTTTTCTTTATCGGCTTTCTCAATTTACCCTCTCTTATTAAATGCGTCCTCCAGAAATGGTGAAACTGCAAACTTTTACTATTCACGCATCCTCTCTTGTCCATTGGAGGGGAGGAGACCAACATTGAGTTTTTAACTGTTCCCATGTTGACTTCATTCGTGTCTTTTTTTTAATCATAATGTGATCAAATATTCAAAAAAAGAAAAAAAAAAAGGGTAATGTGATCAAAACTAGCTTCGTTACACCTAATGAATGCTTACTAGTCATGTGAATATATTAATGAATTCTTACTATTCACGTGGATAAAGACGGATTTATATAACATTGAATTTAGCTATCGACAATCAAGTATAAACACTAGTAAATCATCAAACCAATCTATTTGCTTTCAATTCTCTCAGTTATTACTCTATTTTATTTATTTCTGAAACTCAAGCTTATGATGTTACATTCTGTGGCGCTCAAGTTTCATCTAAATATTTATTCCCAAACACCAACCGGGGTTAGATTCCGAGCCACATTTTGAACAATTACAGTTTCTTTTTACCATAAAATGTAGTATCTTTATTAATAGAAGTTATAAATCATTCAATTGCGATTGAGAGAAGGAGGTCACAATATAAACCAAAGTAATATAGACTCATATTCACTATCCATGTACTCTCGTGTGCTACAAGGGAAGAGGGACCACAGATGACAAAAGAATTTGGGTTGCATGTTTGATGTTTGCAGTGAATCTATAAACGAGGTGATGAAGGAGAAGCGCAAAAGCTTCACTAACTTGGTAGAAACGGTACCAATTAGTACTTTGGTACTTTCCATTTACTATAAGTTCCATAAATCTGTGTCTCTTCTAATTTGCCTGAAATCTCACTCTCATTGACATTAGCATATGGGATTAGGCCCCGTATGTTTCACTGTAACCCCTAAAATACCCTCATCAGTCAGTCACATCTCCGTCCAAAATGGAGGAAGATGTTTTGTAACCTAATGGCAGGAAAGTAAGCTTTGTTTGTTTCAATTTTTAGATGGTTTTTTTTTAATTATTATATTATTAAATGTTCCATCCCAATATACCTTTTTATACTTCTAATACACTTTTTTATATTGTGAATACAAAAAATACTTAAAAACACACATTAAAAAAAACGGCCATTCTCTATAATTTTTGGATTAGAGAAGACAGACAACAATGGGAGTTATATTGGGCTGGGCCCCTACGGTTAACAAATTGTTATTATATGGAGAAAAAAAGTATCTGCAGGGAGCTGGCAGGGTCCACTGGTGTTATTAGTGGACCTATCATTTGTATCAAAAAAGTGATATTCTTGGAGTTGATTATTCAATGGGCCTGCACCTATTTCTTCAGGGTCCTTTTTTCCCACTTTTTAATCTTTTCATTTTTTTTAATATTGTTTTTCTTTTTTCTTCTTTCTTCTATGGCTCCGTCTTTTTTATGTTTGTTTTATTTTTTTTAGTGTGTATTTTTAGGTATTTTTTGTATTGAAAATGTTAAAAGATATATTAAAAATGCAAAAAAATATACTGGGATGAGACAATTATTATTTAAATATTTTAAAAATACCACAAAAAAAAATCTAACAAACAAAGCCTTAAGTTCGTGACTCTCGTTTCTTAGGCAGTACAATTTTGGTTGTTGGAAATGAGTTTTGTTTGTTTTTGAGTGGATCAAATTTCCAGTATTTGCTCCACACTTGCCCTAAACATGCTTGATTAAATGGAAGCACCCGCACAAGAAAAGCTTGGTAGGTCGTTTTTTTTCTAAATTACTATAGAGTGATGATGTCAAATGTTGAAATTTGAGCTGTAACTTGTCGAGATGAAGTATTAAAATGTAAAAACGTTGAAATTTGATTAAATGCATTTCCCCAAGGCAACCATTATTTAATCTTTAATGTAATGTTAATATCACGATTTTCAATCTTTTTATAGATAAAACGTGATGGATACACAAATACACAAATCGTCAATGAAATCTATAACTTAATTTAATTTTATTTTTTTCACATTCTTGTTTTGAAATAAACGTTTACGTTCTTCACCCAATTCTTCTTACTTTCACATCACATTTGTTTTTTTTTTCTTTTAATACATTTCCTGTTCGAAAAAAAAAAATTGTCCACATTGAGTGTATTTAAGGAGTACTCCCTCTGTCCCAAAATTATTGTCTAGTTTGATATTTCACTTTTAGTACAATTTGAACTAGAAATGAAAATCCAAACTGGAGTATTTTTTTTAAGCTTTAAATTTGATATTACAACATAAAATACAACGTTGTCCCAAGTCTATCTCGCATCGTGCTACATGAAATTAGACCATCTATCATTATGCAGATTAGGTAGATATCAGTAAGTATAATACTCCAACTCAACCTAAAAGGAAGTGAGATCCCTAGTGCCAGCAAAATTCTTACAACTCCGAGCTAAACTTGGTCGCGCACTCATTAGAAAGGACCGCAAAATATATGGTTTAATTAATTTATAGTACTCCACTTTATTCTTTGACGACAATTAGGATCAAAACGCATCATCCAGTAAAGTCAAACTACAGAGAGTTACTTGTGCTAACGATGTATTCTAAAAAAATTTCTAGCCGTTTTTATCCTATTTTTTCTGAAATAGAAACAATATAATAAATGAATTAATCTAACTCGTTTTTTCCCCCGGGATAGAGCAAGCAACAGACCGATGGTTCACATCAAATTAAAATTTAGTAAAAGACATGTGTTTAATACTTAACTAGATGGTACCCGCACGATGTGCGGGATAGATAAATTATGTATAAATCAAACATAATAAAAATCAAAGAAATATTTTATATTTTAGTAAATTGATATATAATATAAAAACACTAAGTTAAATAATGTTACATTAAAAGTAATTTTTATGCGCTACTTATTTATAGAAGAAAATAAATAGATCCATATATTAATCTATGTGTTAAATATATTTTATTTTCGAGAATCATCAACATATATTTTGCCATGTTGTCCCAAAGAAAACATCAAACATTGAAATCATTAATTAAGATTGGAAAAGAAACTCACCGTGATGTGCATTCGAAAAATCCTTGCTGCAGAAAATATTTGCCCATAATTTCCAAAAGTTAGAAGCGAAAAACTTTTGACACAAAAAAATAATGATTATTAAAAAAAAAAACATAAATCCTAAAAAAATGAGAGAAGAAAAAAAAGAAAAGATTCCGGTATAAACTGGGATTGCAACCTAGTTGAGTTTTATAAGCACACTTTATATATACATAATAATTTTATTCACATGATTAATGCGATTGGAGTGATTATAAGCATACGTTTATGTTTGATTTTGTTCAAATAAAGTAAATGGATATTCATGTATGTAATTATGACTGATGATATATCTCTAAAAAATATTATCTACAATTTTTTTAATTATTTCAAATTTCAAAATAATATTAATATTGTTTAATGATCAAACCAATATGTAATGGTATTATTCAATCCAGTCGGAAAATATTTTCAAATCAATCAGTTTTAATGTTGAATTAAAGAATCACTGATTATTTTGTAGTTATTATTTTTGAATTTCAAAAAAGCATTAATACTGTTTAATGATCAAACCAATATTAATGGCATTTTCAAGCCAATCAGAATTTTTTTTCAAATCAATCAGCTTTAATGTTGAATTAAAGAATCATTGATGATTTTGTATTTATTATTTTTGAATTTTAAATAATCATTAATATTGTTTAATGATTAAATCAAGACGTAATATTATTATTCAAGCCAATCGGATAATCTTTTTCAAATCAATCTTATTTATTGTTGAGATTTTAAAAATTTTTCGTTTTCTTTTTCATTTTAGGGAATGTAAAATAAAAAGTTTAACACACAATTAATTGATATACTTTAATTAAGAATTGATAATAATTTATTAACTGGAAATTTAAAGGACCGTTAGTGTAATTATTGTAAATATTTTTTGTGACAACCTATAAGAAAATGACACATAGGATTTTGTCCTATGTGTCAAAGGGGGGAGAAGTTTGATTTTCTCTCTCTGGTTTCTCTCTTAGTATAATACTATAGATTACTCTTTACATTCCAAAAACAGTATACTTTATTAAACTAAACCAAGGAAGGACTATATTGTGAAGTTTTGAAAAAAAAAAGAAAAGAAATGAAAAGAAATTGAAATCCATCAAGAGAGCTAAACATATCCCGAACTTTTGGTAGATCGCAGATTAAGAACGCTTTGGTTATATTGTCATTTGTCAAATATAGAGATAGGCTTCGCAGTAGGGGATAAAAAGTGAAAAAAAAAAATTAAAAGAAATTGTGGAAGCATCAACAACAGAAGCTAAATTAGGAAAATCTGAACATAATCTGGGGAGATGGATTATGGCAATGCTTTTTAGGACATCTGGATCAGAGATGGTGACCGATTTCTTTGGTAGTGTAATTCCAAGGATAAAAAAGGAGTCAAGCTGTGAAAGACCTTTGTGTGTCTTTCTATTAAGTTTATTATTATAAAAAGGAAAAAGGATGGGCTTTTATAATGTATCTCTTCACAAGTTAAAGGGTGTTAATTGTTAAACCACGTTGTTGGTATTTCCGTATGAATCAATCTTCTCAGTATGTAACACTTTCAATCCCATTTCTATGCTGTCCATATACAGTAATTAATCTGTAGAGAGATTACATTTTTAAAAACACCAACCCTCATCAACATCATATCTATCTTCTAAATTCTACTCCCTCTAGTCCGAAATTATTGTTCAGATTAAGATTTCACTTTTAGTATAATTTAAACTAAAAATAAAAAACTCAAATTAGACAAATAATTATGGGGCGAAGGGAGTAACATAGAAAAGATATGTTACGTGGAAAGAATTGCTCAATAACCCTAATCTTGCTATTGGATCAAGCCTCACATGTAGCTTAATCAATAGCTTCACTTCATGTTTTGAAAAAAATACTAATTTAAAAGAGAACTTAGTGTAAAAAATTAGGAGTAGGAATAGTGGATTAAGTGTAGTGTGTACGCAATATTTCTTGTCAAATAGTACTAACTAGAATAAAATCCAGTGCAAAATGGAATGAAAAAATGAGTATTATTAAAAAGCACAAAGCAGAGAAGCAGCATCGTAGTATATTTGTTTACTCTATACTCTGTTCCTCCTCACAAGTCAAAATAGTCGGTACAAATCCCAAAGCTCTCTTCTTTCTCTCCTTTTTTTTTTCCCCCATTTTTCAACATCCTTCAATCTCACCTGTGACCTGTCTGCACCCAAAAAAAATGTTCACTGTCTCTTTTTAAGTACTGGGAAGCTTTCATTGTCACTCCTTTAAAATGGAACAAGTGAAAAAAGCTTCCTATTTCTCCATGATTCTTTAGTAAAACTGCCATAACTGTCTTTCAATGTTTTTCATCTCCAATTCTTCTTGGTCTTCTGGGCTTTTAGCTCTTTGACCAAAGCTTTATCATTATGTTCTTTTGAATTTGAGAGAAAAAAAAAAGGAAAAAGGAAGAGTTTTTCTTTGTAGAAAATGGGAGCTGATGAAGGAATGGGATGGGCACCAAATGGGGCGCCATTGGATATACAGAGAGATGATCATTGGAGACATTTTGATAATTCGGTTAATGCGGTGTCGTTCGGGTTCGTTGCCACTGCTATTCTCATCTCCATGTTTCTTGTTATGGCTATTTTCGAGAGGTTCCTCAGACCAACTTCTTCTTCAGCTTTGACCCCTTCTTCTGCCGCCGGCGGCCGTCACCACCGGCATCTTCCTCATGATATTGAGCAGTCTCGTATTGGGTTCACCGGAAAACTTTTCCATCCATCCCCAAAAGTGAGTTCTTGGCAAGTAATATTTCCTGTCTCAGTTCAGTAATATTTGTGTTTTGTCTTTTCTGTGCAAAAGGGAATTTTTAAGCCCATAACGCTTTGACTGAAATGCTTGTTTTTGTTTGGGATTTGTGATCGGTTGGGCATTGGGGTAACAAAAAGACTCGAATTTTCATACACATACTAGTACAATTGTGTTTAGTCTGACGAAGTTGAAAAATAAAAATAATTACGCCGTGTCTTCGTGTCCATTTGGTGTGATTATCTCATTCAAATTCCTATGAAATGCATCTTCTTAAAGGGCCAATCTTTGTCAGATGTTTCCTCGGAAGAGTTATAAAACTGAATCAGTTTCCCCTGAAACTTCATATTCTCTGGCATACTTTAGCCTGCCAAGTAAACAACTTTGATATTAATTCACTTCACTATTTGTGCCAAATTGAGTGTGGAAAATTGCAAGGTTCTGGGCTTCTGTGGAGTGTTTCTGGCAAGCTTCCATTGACGACTCTTCAACGAAATTTTTACAGTTTTGGGTTCTTAATTACAAGAATGCAATGCATGTGCATGTTCCCTTAATTTGTTTCCCCATTGGAACACTTTTGGATTTGATATTTTGTGGGAATGGCCCCCAACCGTGAAGTTGTTAGCTGGTGGATTGCTAGCAAATTAATAGACTAGGGACTTTATGCTAGATCATGAAGTTCTATTCTATCATTCTGGTCCGGTCTTTGAGCCCCACCACCTGTACTTAAATCCCACTATGCCCATCATCATCATCATTGATCATTATACATTCTACTTGCAATGGAAATTTCATTCAATGCATTCATTTACATTGCTACTCATTCTGGATTTATTATCGTTTCAAACATTATAATTCTTCCTCGGCCAGCTTTCAAACTTTTTATTGTTCTATCTTGGCTTGTCATATTCTCTGGACAGGATGACAGGATGCATATGCATTTAGTGCAGTGTCTTTTTCCTTTTTATTCATTTTTTGGGAAAAAAAAATATTTTTGTAATGCCACTCATTCTGCGCTGTTTTATGGTTCTATTTTCCAATCCTTAATCTGTTTAAGTTAACAAAATCGCGAAATTTGATTTAGTGGTAATTGCTTGGGGCCAAAGAAGAAAAATGCAGCTTATACTAGTTGAAATGGCCTTCACTGCTTAACCTATGATCGTTGCGATCCCTGGTATTCTTAGGACATTAGACTTTTTTGAATTTTTAAGTATGACATGTTGGTCATTTTACTAAAAATGTTGGTCATTCGACAAGTCCTTTGATTGGTGAAAATGAATAATGTAAAAGGATGAAATTAGAATGAGAATTTGGGAGCTGCAATCAACTTAAGCCAAATGCTATCTACTGAGAATCATGACGCAGATGTTATCAACATTTTGCAATTTCTCCTGCTAATGTTGAGACAAGGATCATCCTCCATTGTTGAACATCTATGGTCCCTATCTGGTCCATCTAAATAGATAAATAATGGATCAGTGCATGAATAAATGATAGATTTATGTAAATGTAGAGTACATTCAGTCGTTGTAAGGATCAAACTACTTATTTGCGAAAATGTGAGAAGCCTTTATGATAATCCCTGCCATTCATTCATTGCATTCTTTTCTGGGAAAAATGATCATGGCTCATGGAACTTCATCAGTAGTCTTTAGTAGCAGCTTTATGACTTTGTGCTATATGCAACGCCTATTAAACAAGTTGAAGTCAGCATTTACACTTTCAGATATCCTTTTTTTTTTTTTTTGCCATCAGCTATAATGACCATCGGATTCTGAATGCTTCAGGTATCCGTAAATGCCAAAGAGGTGTCAGTTTTGATGCCTGGAGAAAATATGCCTACCTTCATTGCACACCCTGCTCCTGTGTCGGTGCCGGTGCCGTGCCCACCAGAGCCCATCCTTTGGCCTCCTCATCAACATTATTCATTTCCCAATGGATTCCGGCACCCCATTTCAACTGCAACGGCATCTGGCTCCGTTTAACATGGCATCAGGCTGGATTGCATTGGGGCAGTTTATGTAGACAATCATTTTGTAGCCGCCTTGTGCCAAAGTGACTCAAGTCCACGAGTGAATCAATGTTGGACTATGGAAGGTGCCTAATATTTTGCCTCGTAGGCTCTTTAAATGGTGTACATAATATATTAGTACGAGAGAGAGAGTATTCGAAATTCTAAATATCATTATCTTAGATGGCAGCGGATTTTCTACCACACTTTTTGCCCTAACATATGCGGATTGTTGCTTCTTCTAACTGTTGTTTGCTCGGTTGAGTTTCGTTTCCTCCGATAATAGAAATCACAGTTTCACGGATAAAATAACTATTGGGCTACAAAATTTCTCCCGATTTGGTAGTCTACATAGGCCCAGTTGACTCACCAAATCATGTTATTGACCACCATTTGTAGGTAATACCGCCCAATAGAATGACATGGGCAGTGCCCTACCACATATCAAAGGGGCAGCCCAATTCCATTCGGTGTTGCTTTCAGTTTTCCCCTTCAACCTAATAAAATAATGCTTTCTTTTTGTTGAAGTCCAGTTTGGTTGGCTGGCGCCGGTGAATGGAGCAAAGCGCGCGAGTTGCAGCAAGCAAGAGATATGCACATATTTGAGCACCAACAGAAGATTTACACAGGAGTTGAACTTTTGCGAATCTATGAGTTTAACAACCTATAAGTTTATGAACTTTTGCAAGTTTTTGAGAGTTCTTCTTTCTTTCTTTCTTTTTTTGTTTTTTTGGAAATTTTCCAGAGAAATTTCTTACAACAAGACCCATGCAATCACCTTTGGGAGTGTCTTCTCAATTGTGAAGGGTTTAGATCTGTCACTGTTAAATGAAGACATCAAATAGAAGAAATTAAACACATGTTTGGTGCTTCCTAATCATCAATCATCACTCCCCCTGTACATCTCTTAGTACTCTACGATTGGGGGGGGAAAAAAAAGGCACAAAAAAATAAACCGTCGTTTTTAGTGGTTTTACTTTTACCTGCTCAGCCATGTCATCTTACGTTATATTCCGGCATTAAAAAAGGTTGGTCAACATGAATGATGAGATTCCAATGGTCTTATTAGCCTAGATGCACAATATCTTAACAGTTTGCCACTTCATCCCCAGATTCCATCTCCTTCATTTTTTTTTTTTGGTTGATTCTTAGTACTTATTACCTTTGCACATGCCTCCACATTTCTCAGTTGACTGTCAGCCGAGCTAATACAGGTGGATCCATAAGATTAATCAATTGTCAAATGCAGATCATCACATCAATATTCGCTAATTTCTATAAAAAAAAAGTAAACCACAAAAGAAAGAAGGTGATCAGTCTTCTTGACCAATAAGATGCAAGTGCACAGAGTTTGGGATGGCATATTGGCATCATGCATGCATAATAAGTACTTACAAAACCATTACTTAGGGCTTAGATTTATGCTTATTCTCTTCATATTAACCGGGTTATATATTTTTATAAACCATTGTCTTACTGAAAATAATTAAGTTGTTACATGGTTATAAATGATGTATTAATGCTGTTCGTGGCAAAATTAAACTAACTACAGTATTTCAAAGGAATATATCTTTGAGGAAAGAAAAAATGGAAGAAATTCACGGCTATATTGCCCCAGAAATAAACCTTCAATTCGCCTCATAGGAGGTATTAAGGAGTTGCTAGCTAGGGATTGGCAAGTAGAGGTTAGCCATGTATATAGGAAAGGGAATTTTGCGACAGATTTTCTTGCGTCTTTTGGAACGACAACACCATGGGGTTGCCAATATCTGGATAACCCACCTTCGTGCCTTGGATATTGGCTTTCGCATGATGTAATAGGTGTAGGATATCCTAGAAGAATTGTAAATTAGTTAAGGCTTTGTGCCTCCTTTTGTGCAAAACAAAAAAAAAAAAAAAAAAACCTTCAATTCAGTTGATATCCAACGAAGACAATCACTAACATCAAGGTGCTTCCACCATTACTACAATTTTCAGAATTTAAAAAATGGGTGATGACATTAGCAATTTAGCATTGCAAAACCAGACAAGTCTTTTCCCTCCAAAAGTTTCACCTTTTGACTTTTTTTATTTACAAGATGACAAAAAACAAAGGATCTTGCGCCAATTTTTTCCAGACGGTTACTCGTATTACCACCCATAAAGACGAAATTAACCCTATGCTTTCCACTTAATCACAGCTCCTACCAACTTGTGCATTACAGAAAGATAAAGCATTCAAGGGATACAAGTGGGTTTTCAAGGGACTCGTTGCCTGTTGTTGTCGGTGGCCAATTGCCGTTCTGTCTGTTGCTGCCACTCAAGTCATCCAGTTTAAGGATCTTGTCACTCCTGTCCGATTTAGCCCGACCCGGTGACTTCCCGCTCTTCTTGCCCGATCCGCTCCGAACCATTACCGTCTTCGATCCGCCGCCATTGTCGGCACGCTTCGCCGGAGATCTCGAGCCACGGCCGCAGCCCTCGGCGGCAGAGTCTCTCCTTTGTCCATTCCCTGCTGTTCCCGACCCAGCCCGAGTACCAACTCCGGGTCCATTCCTAGCCCGACCCGGAGACTGTTCGGGCCTTCTCGCCGGCGACCTCCCGACGACCCTTTCTCTTCTGGAGTCCGTCCCGGATAACGATTTTTGCCGGAAAGATCTCTGTCCTTCATCGTCGTGCTTATAATTATCCGTACTATTGTAAGTAGCCGTTGAAAGAACACTCCTTCCGCTGTGGGTGCTGCAGAGCTCAGAGGCGGCGTCTCCGGTGAAGAACTCTTCCGAGTTGAAACTAGCCCCGGCGGATTTCTTGAAAACGCCGTCGTTCTTGAGCTTCTCTTCTTGGGCTTTGGAGATGGTTGGCAATAACGGTCTGATCTTTTTGGGATCATCATTCTCTAGAAGAAGCCTTTCTTGACGGGTTCTGGACAAAACAGCAGGCTTTTTGGGAAGGGAGGGAGTTTCTGAGAGAACTTCTTTTACTGATTCTTCTTCAGGTAAAGGAGCTCTGTTTTCCTTGGGATTCTGAATCTTCTGATCTTCATTGCCTGGAGCGGATTTGGCGTTTGAGCTGACACAGCATCCCATTATTAGAGTTACAGAGTACAACAAAATTTCTGCAGTATTCTGTAATTTCCCTTTTGAAAATTTGAAATTATTCGAATGGTAAATGCGGTAATGAAGCCATTGGGAAGGATGAATGAACAGGGAGTAGTTGAGGGAATTGAATAGGGGAGAATTATGAAGAAGAGGATGGGTTTGTTGAGACTTGAGAGTCAATTGTGACTTGTGAATGGGTTGTGATTTGTGAATTGGACTTTGGGTTGAAGTGAGAGAGTTGGACATGTGCTTGGTATTTATTGATTATTGGGAGACAACAGTTCAGAAGCTCTGGTGTTTGGAGGCTTTCATGGGGTCATCTTCTACTGTGGGATCTTATGATTGAGACGGTAGAAAATTGCGGCTTCTTTTATCATTGTTATTTTCGCGGGACAATTGGCTCTCATTCAGTCTTTTCACCTCTTTCATAACTGAATTTACCAAACTCAACAATTAACGTGTTTTCAATATATTCACTTTAATCGAAAGTTCTCTATGGAGATTCATCGCAGACGTGTTCTCACTTTTAACTAAATTTAAGTTAGCAGGGAAATAACAACTTGGTATATTGGTAAGTGGAAACTGGTTAGACATAAGTTGTGAATTTACTAGGTTTTAACAAATAAAAATATTCCATTTGTCTTAAAATTATTGTCCAGTTTTATTACAAATTCAACTAAAATTGAAAATCTGAATCAGACAATAGCTTTGAGACAGCGAGAATGATTATTTTGCCCAAAAACAATTCATATCGAGTTTTAATATTTGTACTAAGAATATAAATTTGAAAACTGTAAACTTTTTTTTTTTTTTTGTGTAAATGATCAATGGTCATACATTTACTGATGTGTTTTCTATACTCTTTTTGTAAAGGATTTCTTACAACAACTTAACGTAAAATATTGGTTTAAAGTAAATACAAGTTATTTGAGTGTACTAGAATACAAGTTATTCGAGAGTACTAGAATTCCGGTTAAGAGTTGTATGCATGAATTTTTCCCTTATTCTTCTTAGGTAGTTATTTCCTCAAATTCCAAATGTTATAAAAACAGTTCCCATTGAATGTTAAAATTCGTATATATAAATATTCTTTGAGACAGAGAGAGTAGTATTATAATTGCCATTGAGTATGCTTGCACATTGTGGTAGTTTTGTGTTGATGTTTATGGCTCAATAACCAAGGTTTAAAAAATTGTACAGGCTGTTTCATTGAAGCACAAACAATAAGATTGAACTTTTACTCATATATTACACGAATTTCAAAATTTGATATGAACTAGTATTTTTGAACAAATGGAGTAATGGTATTATACTTGCAAATATGCTTAGTAATAACCAGGGTTCGGTTTTAAAGATTGTACACTGTTTCATCAAAGCACGATCAATAAAATTGGAACTTTGACTCATGGATTAAGATTAAGATCGGGTTAGTAGAGTTACAAAATATATGCACTCCTCTTGCAATTACACAAGGTATCTCATATAGGAAGGAGACATAAGACAGTTACCATACACTGGCAGTTGGCACGTGGGAATGTGAAGCGTAGGCCCAGTGGACGGATAAGAAGTAACACTTGATTGGAGAGACATGGGCCTGGATGTTTCTTAATAATCGCCGCCACTTGGCCCGCCTTTACCATGATGTTCTCGAGTGATGGGGCTTCGGCCTACTGGAGTTTTAGTAGTCGTGTTAGCCCAGATGAGTGCTTCTAAAACAGCCCAAATTGAGTCCAATATTTATTAATATTTTTTTTAGATCCATATTACACATTCATGAATTATTATATGATTATTAGATCTTCTGGGAGGAGATAATACTTCACTCGTGTTTTTTTTTTTTTTTTTGGTTATTTCCTGTCCAATCACTTAAACTTTTTCCCCTTTAGCAAAGTGGATAGTGTTGCATGTAATGCTCACTGGAACGGAAGAAAAACAGTTGTCCCATTGCTTACTGTGGAAATGCGGCGAAAGATGACTAATGAGGAAATGAATCCAGCTCGAGTTTTTTTTTAAATGGCCTTAAAAATACTTATAGTTAGCTGACGTTTCAATCCATTTGTTTATATATTGTTGTTAGAGGGGTAAATTAGGCGACATTTGCGTAGAGAAGAATACTGTTTTGTCAGTAGACTCCGAAGTTCAAAGTGTGCTCATCAATACTCGAACAGCTAATTAAACTTGTAAATGTTGCAACCGAACAACAACGGTATGTGGCAGAGATTTTTACAAGATTTGAACAACCAAAATTATCTCGATATTAATTATCTTTGCTTGTAACATGGACTACATATTAGTCTCTTCTTTCAATAAAGGTAATTGTTGTTGTTAAAAAAATAATATATTGACTTACACAATTTGATTTGGCCAGATTGACAACTGTGTGAAGAAGATGTTTGCCCAACTTATGTCAACTCAACAGATATGGGAACAAGATAAATCAAATGGTAGTTTTAGCCAATTATTAACCACGCAAAGAGATGACCTTGAAGATGTCCTAAATCACCAGCAGGACTATTGGAAACAAAGAGCTAAATTAGCTTGGTCTCTACGAGGAGATCGAAATTCCAAGTTTTATTACAAGTGGGTAGTAAGAAGGAAAGGTAACAAGTGGATCATAGAACTATAAAATTCTGAAGGAGCATGGATGTAAAACCCAAGTCAACTAAGTAGTTTGTTGATGGATCACTTTTCAAGGATCTTTGCTTCTAATGATTATCTCTCGACTGATGATCAGTCTCCATTCCTACATAGCTTGTTAACAAGTGGATCATAGAACTACAAAATTCTGAAGGAGCATGGATGCAAAACCCAAGTCAACTAAGTAGTTTGTTGATGGATCACTTTTCAAGGATCTTTGCTTCTAATGTTGAAGAGATACTCTCTCCGGACCAAGTAGCAGGCTTATCAAGACCCTTTACAAGGCAAGAGGTTTGGGCAACGATCAAACAAATGGCACCTAGGAAATCACCAGAGCCAGATGGAATTCCAGCTGAGTTTTATCATTATTATAAGGCGATCATTGAAGAAGATGTATCTTAGGCAGTACTGGAGGTAATGAATAATCAAAGCTTTCCTATAGAATGGAATCAAACCCACCTAGTCCTCATTCCAAAGAAGGCGAATCTAATTACTCCAAATGATTTTCAACCAATCAGCTTGTGCAACATTAAATACAAGATTATCACGAAGATGATTACCAACCGGCTTAAACCAATGATGAATGATCTCATTGATGACAATTAGAATGGTTTTGTCCCGGGACGGAATATCACTGAAAATATTCTCTTGACACATGAGGTGGTAGAACACATTCGGAAAAAAGTATGGTGCTTTAGGCCTGACAGCTATAAAACTCGACATGAGCAAGGTTTACGATGAGTTTCCTGGCCGTTTCTGAAACAAGCCTTAGTCTAGGCACACTTTCCATCAGCTCTCATTGATCTCATAATGCACTGTGTATCGACGGTCACATACTCTATCCAGCTGAATGGCGACGGACTTCGCTTCGTCTCTTCTAATAAAGGTTTATGCCAAGGCTGTCCATTCTCACCCTATTTGTTTATTTTGTATCAACAGGTCCTCTCTTCGGGCAATCAGAGCAGAGATCTAAGCTTTTCCAGGATTAGGCATCAAAATCGGTAGGCATGCTCCACGCATTAGCCATCTCATGTATGCGGATGATAGTTTATTCTTTGTTAAATACAAAGAAGAATCTATTCTCGCTTTATCATGGCTTCTTGAGATCTACACCACCTTCTCTGGACAAAAAATCAACTTCAATAGATCATCAATTCTGTGTAGCTCCGATACCAATCCAGCTATGAAACATTTCATGCATTCTACATTGAAAATCCCACAAGGGCAGTTTCAAAGTAAATAATTGGGGGTAAGCCTGGACTTCAATGAGAGAAAGAGGGATATCTTCCGGCAATTCACAACCAAACTATTGACAAAATTTGCAGACTGGAAAACAAAACTCCTTTCCTTGTCAGGACGGATTACATTGGCAAAATCAACACTATCCTCCATGCTTGTGTATCCCATGGGAGTACTTAAACTTCCTGCTTCCACCTTAAATAAGGCGGATACTATTATTGGGAACTTCATCTGGAAAGGTGATCTCCAGAAGTTCAAGATACATTGGAGGGCTTGGAAAAAGATCACAAAATCTCAATTTCATGGTGGTCTTGGACTGAAAGCGATTAAAGAATTTAACCAAGCGCTCATTGCCAAACACGCATGGAAGATTATGTCTACACCGGACTCTTTATTGTCAAGGGTGTATAGAGCTAAGTATTGCATCAATAACATGTTCCCCCCTGCTCAGCAACCACGCAGCTATTCATGGGGATTCAAAAGTATTCTTTAGGGTGCAAAACTCTTTCATAACAATATTAAATAGAAGGTAATTTCTGGTAAAGATATCGGAGTCTCTGATAACTGGATCCCAAATCGTCACAATCCAATCAATCGAGATTCAATTCTGACCATGCATACCAGTTTTCGAGTGCAAGACTTCATACACCACACTAGTTAATAGATTTTACCCTTCTTTCAAAATATATTTCCGCCCTCACTTATTCCACATATCACTGAAATCTTTGTAGACCCTGCAAGAGCTCATCATCCTAATCGGCTCCAATGTATCCACTTGAGTCATGGCTATTACACAATCAAATCTAGTTATCACGTGGCTCTCAACAATCAACAACAGCCACAACCCCAACTTCAAAATTCCTCATAAATTATGGCCTAGAAACGTTTGTGGAATTCATCAGTCTAACCAAAACAGAAAACTCTGGAGAGCATTGCATAGCGCGCTCTCGACAAGATCAGAATTGACAAAACGGGGAGTTTCAGTTAATCCTTCGTGCCCAAGATGCAACCAGACAGAAGAAGATAGCTTACACCTTCTTTTCACTTGTCCTTTATCTCAACAGGTTTGGAATCTAAGCCCTGCCGCCTTCAATCATCTCCTCCTGCAAAATCAGACTTCACTATTCCATAGGTTGTCCACTGGATTCAGACACACCCCTCTAAAGAGGACATTGACTTCTTCCTTATTATAACCTGGAACATCTGGAAAGACATGAATGATCATTTATGGCGACAACAACTCAATTCCCCTCTAGATACATGGAGAGTCATACAGAGAGATTCTCATATCCATAAACGCCAATAACAGCTCAGGATATTATCTAATAGAAGACCACGCAGGTCTCATACCCCACAAAATGTTTTGATGGTTTTTTTTCCATCCCACAACCTTCAAAGCAGTGGGCGCTTGGAAAATTGTTTCTCCTTTCAACATGGTTCTTCAAATTGGATCAGCTGATATTCAAACTTTCTCTCCACTACAAACGGAAACTATGACGTGTCTTCTAGCTCTTCAGCAAATTTCCAGTCTTGGCATCAAAGAAGTTAAAATTCACACGGATTGTAAATTCTTAACGAATCATCTTCGGGACTCCCAAATCCCAACTGAAGTACAAGAGGACCTCTTCTGATTTCTCTTATTGATACGTTTGATTTTTGTGAACTAATTAAAGTTAATAGATCGGATGTAATAGATGTGCATAATATAGCTTATCATAGGATGCGATGTAATAGTTTAAGAACTTTATCTTAATCTAGTATAGGTATCTTTTTTTTTTTAAAAAAAAAAACTTTGCTTGTTTTAGTTATTAATTTTGTCCCAGAAAAATAGTTCAATTTGAAAAATTTAAAATAAAAAGTTAGATAAATTAATCTTGCAAATTAAAAAATTTATATTAAAAATTGAATAAAGTTTGATGACTATTTATAATTTAATAATTAATTTTAGATTATACCAATTTTATAAATCTAATTATAAGATTACGTTTCAAATATTAGGCTTTTTTTTTTGGAACATATGTAATACTTATCTAAAATGACAGGCATGTGTTGCGCACTAAATTATTACCTTTAATCTTTCTACCATTTTAATTTTCTGAAAAAACATATGCTCGTCTAATTTGCTTTTGGGACAAGAAAGTGCCTAAAAGGGTTTGAAATAGCTGGAGACTTATATCGGTATTACACCAAACACATGGGCGCGGGCATACACTTTCTTACAGTGGGGTATTTGGTTTTGGATCATGGACTCCAGTTAATGTACTGCACACTTGTTAATTGGAGTAAATTTTCCTTATTCTTTCACTCTAACTTTTTGATTATTTTTTTTATTATCCAAAAAAAAAAAAATCTAAGGAATGAGATGATATTTAGATGTGAGAGATATTTTTCTTCGATTTTTTTTTTTTTTGGGACGAACAAAATAAAAGATTCTTCCTATACATTTGACATTTTTGAAGGACAAATGATTGACTGCCCTTTGAAAAATAGTTAAAAGTTGCACGGAAAATAATCGAGCAAATTATAGGGGGTTAACAGTTTAACACCATGTAGCTAAAACCTTTAACCTAATTTTGGTAGGTTTCCTCGAGATTGGCACTCAAGTAATACTTAATTTAGGTTGATGGTTTTGACAAAAATGATGGTATGTTATTCTTTCTATATCCAAAAAAAATAATTTACTATGTTGTAGTACTAATGTTTTAGTTCAACAAATTATTTCTTTGGAATAGAAATAATAATACCATCTCTCTAAATTTCTAAAATATTTTTAATTAATGAAAGATATTCTGGTAAATTTCCACCTAGTAATAAGAATACTAAAATTTCCTCCATTTATGTTCAACATTAATGTTTCTCGAATCTCAAATTAAGAGTAAAGTTTGCAGCAATGAGCTGTTTCGCCAATTATTGGTTAACTGATTAAGACATGGGAGGCATTTCCTTTACTCTTCTCCTTATAAATATACTCCTCCATTAACACCAAAAAGAAGGAAAAAAAAAAACTCATCCAGTATTTCTTTTACAAGTTAATTCAAATCGCACCAAAAAATAAAAAATAAAAAAATTCACAAATCGATATATTGTCCGAATTATTTAATCAATAACACCAGCATTAGTCATTTTTTAGAATTTTAATTAAGGTTTTCTTTTAGATTTAGAGTGGACAACTATGCCATTCCAATTGATGTTTATGATAAAATAATTGAGAATTTTTTTATGATGAAATTGAATACAGTTTCTTACTACTAGTATTTTGTGTAAAATTGGCATAAAAATAATTCGTAAATTACGTTATAATGTCCGAATTAATTATGTGATCTTAAAGCAATCATAAAATCCCTCTAATTGTGACCATTTGGAGTAATTTGGACCGACATGGTCAGCTTTAAAGTGAGTCAGCACTCATCAGTTTGGGAGTCTTCGTAATTATTAAGATTTGGCAGAAACCCTTTGAGGAAAATGGCAAACCCCCAACGGTACACTCTTTTTATTTTATGTAATAATTTAAATTCATACTAAAACTATATTCCTTTTCTTCCATTCATCCCCTCCTAAAACCTCTCCAGGTTCCACAATTTTGTTGCAGAAATCAAAGATTTAAACGGATATGCTCCAGCACTAATTATTCCTTTTTCCATTCCTAAATTCCGGAGTTTACACTGGTAAATTATTCTTGTTAAATTGGAAAGACCCGCTTTTCTTTTCTTTTTTTTGTACCTTTTTTTGTGGGCTTTTTATCGTCCAACTTTTTTTTTCCGGGACAAAAGATTTTCTCACAGTGTTGGGCTAAAATCTAAACCAAGTAGTTTTCTTGCATCTTTCTTAACCAGATCAAAAAAGGTTTAGTGGTAATTTATGGTTGTTGCTTCAGTGTTAATGTGTTGCAGTGTGTGAGTGCGTGTGTTTTTGACCTTTTCCTTTGTTGTTGTTATGGTGGTTGCTGTTGATGCTTTGGCTGGTTAATTGAATGATTGCAGTTTGTGCTTTTTTGTTTTTTCACAAAGAAGACGACTTTCGGACTTTTATCAAATTCATCGGGCCTTGTGCTCTGTGCTTGACTGTCGTACTTCACTTTACCTTTTCTGCTGTTTTTATGTGTGGAAGTTTAAAAATTGCACCTTTTCTTTTTCAAATCATACTGAAACCCAATTAGTAAAGACTGTTTTTCGGGGTTCAGGGTTTTGGTGGTTAAAAATTTGAAACTCGTGTTTTTCTTTTGGTTTGAAGTTCAGATTTTTGAGTTTTTTCCTCGTTCAGAGTTCCTGGGGAGCTTATTTGGCTGAGAGAAGCAGAACTAGGAGGAAATTGTACTAGCGAACAACAAGAGAAGTGGCTTAAACTCCTTGATGGACTATTTAAGGTTCCAAACATTTCTGCATTTTCTGGTAATCTTGGTTTCTCTTACAGTGCCAAGATGCAGGGGAGACACGTCCTTTAGTGATGGTATGTTACCTCAGACTACAATTTGTTTTCTTTGCTGTATTGTGTTTCTGTTTTCAACTTTCATCCGTGCATATTATTTGAAAACTTTTATATGGCAATTTATTGATATCATCTTATGGGTGTTTTGTTTCCCCTGTTAGTTGCTGCCCTCAACAGTTTATATATCGCTCTGGGCAACCCGCCTCTTATTGGATGGCTTCCAATTGGTGGAGACCCCTGTGGGTTAGCTTGGCAGGGAGTTCAATGCGTAAACACCAACGTTACTGGAATGTAAGAAAGAAAAGCCTTCTCAATTTTTGAAGTATGTTATGGCAGAACAAATATTCATGTTTTTGGTCTGTAATGTTTCTTCTGATTGCAGTGATCTGAATGGTGTAAATTTGGGAGGCCAACTAAGTAATGACTTGGGCAGCTTGTCTTCAATAATATTCATGTAAGTTCCCTTTTTGTGAACTGTGAAAGTATTCTGAACTGATCTTTACGTAGTCAAGTCTCGTTTTCACTTTACTTTGGAGTTAATTTCATAGCAAAACCATGTTTAGTTAGTGTTGAAAACTGCTTTGTTGAATACAAAGCACTGCCTTGTCCTACTTAAGCTGATTTGATTTGCATGGTGTCTGTAAAATCAGAGATATGAGTAACAACCAAATTGGAGGAAGCATACCCAGTAGTTTGCCTCCTACTATCCGCACTTTGTAAGTCTGAGATCTCTGTTTCTCCTCTTTTCATTAGTGCACTCTCGCAAATAATTTAGTACATGTAAAGCATTAAAAGACCACCCAGTGTAGTTACTATGAGTGAATTAGTATGAGTTTTTTTTGTGTGTAGGTCACTGTCAGATAACCAGCTCACTGGAAATATTCCAGATGCTATATCCTCTTTGGGTCAGCTTGAAGACTTGTAAGTTCCTTGTACTCTCGTGCACTAAACCATTCATGGCTAAGGTCTTGGTGTTTTGCTTTTATCCGTTGCTTATTTAATCTTTCGTGGCATTTCTGTAGGAATCTGCAAAACAACCATTTGAATGGTCCAATTCCAGATGCCTTCCAGTTACTTCATGGCTTAACCACTATGTAAAAATTCTTTCTTTTCTTTTTTTCTTGGTAAATTTTGGGGAGAGTTCAGCAGCTTACTGGTTGCTTCACTGCAGGAATTTGTCAGGGAACGCTTTAAATGGTCAGCTGCCTCCTTCGATGGGAAATTTGACTTCTCTAGCAAGGCTGTAAGTAGTTATCTGTTATGCATTTTGTGATGGAAAGAAGACTGCTGTGTTGAGTCCCATCATCATCTTCTAGGTTCTTAGAAGATTCTGGCTTACACAAAAAAGTACCTTTAGAAGTGTTCTTTAGGACATAACACTTTATCATTGAGACCCATATTTTGTGCTGATAGATATCTTTCTATTCCGACTTGTGTGAAATTCGTGATATTCACCATTTGTCGAAATAGTTGAAGCAGAATTTTGTATTAGCAAAATTAGTTTTTTTTTTTAAAAAAATAAATTTTAACTCAAAAATGGTAAGTGAGGGTTACAAGATAATGCACTTAAGTGTACTACATGAATCTCACTGTTTTGAGAAACTGGAGATATTTTTCAGACAACTGGTTTATGAATCTCATGAAAATTTTTATCTTTCCTTTCGTAAACAATGAATGGATCTTGATATTTGCAGGCACTTGGAGAACAATCTGCTTTCTGGAATTCTTGATGTTCTAGAAGATCTACCCTTGGCTGAACTGTAAGGCCTTAACCTATCAAATTATTTCGAAATGATCCTCCTCTTATTATAATTTCGATTTACTTTTTTGTGATCCTATTCCACAGGAATATTGAGAATAACCTATTCTCTGGTCCTATACCTGATAAGTTGCTGGATATACCAGACTTCCGGTAAAACATCTGATTATCTCTTTGCCAAATTCCCAGTGTGTTTATGTTGCAACTTGCAAAATTGAGTAGATTTTGCAAAATTCATTCAATTTCGTCTTATAACTTGTTGCTGCTTGATTAAAACCTTCCTTTGTGATGCAGCAAAGATGGGAACCCCTTCAACACCTCTGTTCTTCCGTCTCCTCCTGGTCCTTCCCCTTCACCATCTCCATCACCATCAGCGGCGCTTCCTCCTGAAATAGCCCCTGGACCTGGAGCAACTGGACCATCAATTTACCAGCCGCCACCTCTACCAGGAAATGGGGGAAATACTAAAAAACCGAAAGCATCTAAGGGCATAACATGGGTTACTGTTGCTGGAATTCTTGCAATTGCAGTGCTAGCCTTTGTTCTATGTTTTTTCGTGTCACGATACTGCTGCAAACGAAGGCGAGGGGATGATAAAATCACCAAGAGACATGAAATAGATGCGTATAGTGGCCCCAGGGCAACTTTTAACAGTGGCAGTTCCTTTCAAAAGCCTAATTATCAATCCGAGCCAGGTGAATGGTGTTTCAGTTATCATATTCTTCCTTTTCTCTTTCTGTTCTATTTTTAGCTTTTGTTCCGCTGGACTGGACACATAAATGACATATTGATGATGACTGCTGGGCAGTGAGAAAAGATACAGTTATGAAGCCAGAAACAAAGAGTGTCTGGGACCTGGAAAGAAACAATATGGTGACAAATTTAGTGGAGGCTAAGCAGGAGATGGATGCCAAAAGAAATAAATCTTATCCAAAACTGGAGGATCACAAAATTGACATGACGGGGATGGGTTCTAGTATTTTAGCACCTCCACCACCTCCTTTTCCACTTCTGCCTTCTGGAATGGTTACTTCAGATCCAATGGTGCCATTGATGTCTCCAAGCAGAAGTCCTTTAAATCTTTCTAAATATGTCAAGACATTTACCATTGCATCTCTTCAGCAGTATACAGATAGCTTCTCTCAGGAAAATCTTATTGGAAAAGGCATGTTGGGCACTGTCTACAAAGCTGAGCTTCCTACTGGAAAGGTATATACTTTTAGGTGTTCTATGTTGACTATATAAATAGAACTACTTTCTGGAAGATAACTCATGCTTTACAATGCTCGTTATTCTAAATTAGTACTATCTAAATGAAGAAGTAGAAATAAGCGGCAGTTTATCCGTTAAATTGTTTTGGCTTGGCTTCGTGTTGTCTTTCTATGATATTGACTTCAGGTTCTTTTTTCTTGATGTAAAATTTTATTTTCTTAATGATTTGATGTATTTTCAATTAGCAAAGCATCGGAAATTGGTTAGTTGAACTCATCTCTAAGTACTTTTCCTCTCCTTAAATTTGCTAGAATTGCACTTCTTGCATGTTTCTTAGAAAGACAGAAAAAGAAAATGAAGTAATCAAGTTTATCAAGTGACTGCATTGCGGCTCTGTTGTTGAAAATTGTATCTTTTGACGTACTTCTGCATGTATATTTGTACAAGTAGACTGACTTTCATATTGTTTTGATTTCTTTCTGTAATCTCAAGACACTTGCTGTCAAGAAACTTGATATTGAGGCAACTAAGTATCAGAGTGATCGGGAATTTTTGGAGCTAGTGTCCAGCATTGCCAAGCTTAAACATGAGAACATCATTCAGCTGGTGGGGTACTGTGTGGAGCACAGACAAAGGATACTTGTATACGAGTACTGTGAAAATGGGACACTTCATGAAGCACTACACTTGGATGATGATTTACATAGAATACTTTCATGGAATACTCGCATTCGTTTGGCCCTTCAAGCTGCCAAGGCCCTGGAGTGAGTTGCAACCTGTAGTTTTATGTACATCTAATTAGATTTTCTTATATTACACGAACTCTTATTGTGCCAACAATTTCTTAACATCACCAATTAGTTTGTTTGTTCTTATACTGCATGCACAGTTTGGTTTAAAGATTCAATGTGTTGGCCCATATTCTTCTTCACAACAATTGATTGACTGACCATTTTTTTTTTTTTTTGCTTTCTTCTGACAAAGGTATCTGCATGAAACAAATCAGCAGCCCATTGTCCACCGAAACTTCAAGTCTTCTAATATTCTTCTAGATGATGAGCTTTCTGTTTATGTTGCTGATTCTGGCTTGGCCCCGCTGCTGTCATCTAACTCAATGTCTCAGGTATTTTTTTTTTCTTTTACAAATTGAATATTTTAGTCAACTGAAAGCTTGGCCTGGCAAAAAAGTGTTTGATTTGCTGTATTCAGAAGATAAATAAACCATATTCCCAATAATTTCGTGCTACTTAACCTGTGAACATTGTTACTATGTCATTGCTAATCAATAGATCTGTGTTCAGCTTCAAAGTTGTGGTTACGGTGGCCCTGAACTTGAATTGGGAAACTATACATACAAAAGTGATGTTTACAGTTTTGGAGTGGTAATGCTGGAGCTTCTCACTGGGAAAAAACCTTATGACAGGTTAGTGATGCTAGAGAAACACCTGAGCATTTGTTCTACTACCAAAGCAATTGAGAATGTGATAAAACAGATTATGTAACTGACAAATCTTGAAATTTCAGTTCTCGTCCACGGGGGGAGCAATTTCTGGTTAGGTGGGCAATACCCCGGCTTCATGATATAGATGCATTGTCAAGAATGGTTGACCCTTCTCTAAAAGGCGCTTATTCAACAAAGTCATTATCTCGTTTTGCTGATATAATTTCTATGTGTATTCAGGTAAGGTCATCTTTTTATTCCATTTCTCTTTTATGTTTCCAAGCTGGTAAAGAAAATTTTGAGTCGTAATTCCTCTTCAGAAGCTCAATTCTTGACCTCATTTTCATAGGCATAATCAATTGACAGTTCAGTTCCCAAAGCTGAAGAGTCTATTGTTCCTTGATTTGGTGATCAATACAATTTAAATGTGTCTTTGTCTGTTCCCACACTACCAATGGCTAGTCTTAGCTAAGATTTTCTTCTTTTTCAATATCTCGGCATTTTTGGACCCATGTATCATATGCTACGGATTCGGCATTCTACCTTGATTTCTTTTACTGTACATCAGCCAGTGAGCTTATGCAAGGATCAGCTTGTTAACACTTCTTTCCTATCAATGTTAGCTGTAAAATAGTCACAGCCTTAACCAGTTTTCTATTCTTTTTATGGGTTCAGCCGGAGCCAGAATTCAGACCTTCTGTGTCGGAAATTGTGGAGAACCTCGTACATATGTTACAAAGGGATCGTTGAAAGTGACAGAGAATGAGATGCTAGGTGAATCAATCTGACCGTGAAATCGAGCTCCATGCTTTGGAGACAGTAGTAGTAGTAGTAGTAGCAGTAGACGTGTGTGCGTGTTTTTGTATTTCAAATTTTTGCCAGTGCCAAACCAGTAGCATAGCTTTAAAAAGGAGTCGTAGTAGGCTAGTAGCTTTGTTCACTCCTTTTAGAAACTTTGCCTGCTTTTTGTGGGTGGAACCATTTTTTAGATAATGCTAATTCAATTCTTTGTTTTTTCTTTCAATGAGAATCCTTTAAACAGTTTAAAATTAAGGGATATTCAGGACAATAAAGAGGTCTGCCTTTATGCTAAAGCAGGCGAAATACTTCTTCCAGTCGTGTTCTAATCGTTGTTCACACAAAATTTACCAAGAAAAAAAAAGGGAAAGAAACTCCTTTACGTTTTTGCAAAAACTCAAGTGAAAATGTACTAGCTTTAATGCTTTGACTGGGTTTCATATTCTTCAACTACGAAGCCATTTAAGACACATTCTTTAAGATAATACTGATTATATAAAAAGGTAAAAAAATTTCTACACCATAATCCTACACTACTCTTTATATTATTTATCAAGATTTTGACACGTAACGATATACAAAATGTGTCACATTATATTAGCGAGTTAAATACCAAAAGTATTGAAAAAAAATATTTGATTTGATTCTTTAAATGCCTTGCAAACTAGAAGAAGGCATTTATTATCTAATAACAATTTTAGGAAAAGTATTACTCCCTCCGTCCCATAATTATTGTCCGGTTTGGTTAAAAGGATAGATTTTATTTTTTTGGTCAAACTTAACTATATTTTAAGTTAACCAACCAAATATACCCCTACAATAGTGACTTTTCTACCAACAAAGTTTCGACGCCCATCTCCCCCGCTGATGATGAGAGCAGGCTTTTGACCAGTTTTCCACAACCCCAGTTAGTGTATGAATCAAAATTCAATAACAACAATTGAAGATAAAATACAACTATTCAACCTCTTCGTTCTTTTTCTTCGTCGGAATTAATGGATTCCGGTGCTCTCAAATTAATGGTTACCGAGACTTTTCCAAACTGCGACGATTCCACCGCCACCAAGCCAATTCTAACTCAATCACAGATCTAATTTTCCGGTTTAATCACTACAATCAGAATTTGAACAAAATCGGGTAAAAAATAATCTAAATCACAGTTCCTTCTATTCTCCTCCTTTCTTCCCCCTTTCACTAATTGTCTGTTATCTCCCACCGCCCAAACACTCCCTCTCTTGCTTGCATCCAATACATCACTCCCTCTCCGCTAAATTAGAAAAAGAAATTGGGCCTAGGAAAGCCGAAGCTTTCGAATCGGCAAGAAGGAAGAAGTGGAAAGAGGTGAAGGAGGAAGAGAGAGAGAGTTAAGGTGATTGTGCCGGCGGCGGAGGTGAGAGGAAAGGGATATCACCGCCGTGAATGGCATAAGGCGGCGTCTTGCATCAACTCCCTATTTATTCTCTTTCCACGGTATTGCTAAAGGTCAAATATGTAATTTAATCCATAAAAAGTCAAATTGGACAATAATTTTGGGACAAATTTTTTTTGGCAAAGTGGACAATAATTATGGGACGGAGGGAGTACTATTTTGTTGTAAGATTCGCTCCAATTTCTTTAATTCCGAAAAAAAAAATCCACAAATTTCTGGTTCAATCAAAATAAACTCAGAAATCTTCGTATTCTGACAGTTGAACTAGGACCGAATCCAATTGACTTGGGCCCAATTCGATTGAGCTATATAGTCCAGCACAGAAAAAAGCCCAATTCCAAAAATTAAACTCCGCGGCGTCGTTTCGCTTGTCTTTCTCCCAGCCTTCTGCAAAAAATTCTCTGGTATTTCCGTTCAAAGTCATTCTTCCATTTAGGCCAAAGGAACAAAAGAATTTCCCATAATTTCCAGTCTCATTCTCCTAACTTTAAATTAAAAAAAAAAAAAAAACAACCAACAAAAGCTAAAAATTGCAGCAGCCCACGCTTACAGTAAACTGTGCTAATATAAATTCCACACACAGACTTAATGTTACAGTTATGCTACATACAATTCGCTTTACTTACTGCGCGTCTCTCAACTCGGCTCTTCTCACTTGACCAGGTTCCCCCTCTTTTCTCTCTCTATTTTCCACTTTCTCTCTCACACACTCACGCAGTGGGCGAAATACAGCTCATATGCTTGTCCCGCTATTAAAATTTTCTTCAGCTCGCTGAAATCTTTATCATCATACGTTTCTTGTCTTAGAATTGCGTGGCGCATTATGACATAGATCTTCTCTTCTGATTGCTTTCGTGTTTTTAAGGAAAATTCTGTTTAATTGACTCGGTGATTTTAGATGCGTGCCAATGTATGATTATATGAGCATGCATTATGCACAAGCTTGTGAATTTAATCGGTGACTTATTTTTTTTATTTTAAAGATTTGTTTGATTTACAGGTGTTGATGCTTGTGCTCTTTTCAAGCTAGGGTTTTGATTTTTGGGAGCTGAATATACTAATTGCAAACTCAGAAATTTTGGAGGTAAAGAGTATTGTTGCTTCTGTTAGAAATGATACATTCTTATTGTGAAATCTACTACACTTTTTTTTAACCTTTTTAGGGATTTTTTCTTTTTTTAGTTTGTGTTCCTTGATCATGATGGATTTCGCAATTTTTTAATTGGTGATGTTCAATTAATCGTGATGGAAGACAGTTAGTTTTTTTGTTGTTTTTAGTAGACTAAAGTAGCTACTGTTTGTTTAGTGTATATCATCTATCTTGTGCTACGTTTATTAGTCCTTAGCTGAACATTCCTGTAGCTCAATGTTTTCACTTGTGTGTTACACTTGAGGACTTATCGTTATGTTTTTCCGTGTATTTTTAAAATTAATTTTGTTTGATCTTGAGTGTTGGCGTTCAGGTTGTGTCTTTTGGGCCAGTATGGTGTAGACAACCAAAAACCGAGTTGAGTCATTGACATCTGATGGATACTCGGTCAACAGGTGGTGCTGGGGATGACACTGGTGGAATTCCCGATGACTTGCGTTGTAAGAGATCTGATGGTAAACAGTGGAGATGTACTGCATTGTCCATGCCTGATAAGACTGTTTGTGAGAAGCACTACATACAGGCAAAGAAAAGGGCTGCAAATTCTGCAATGAAAGCTAGCATGAAAAAGAAGGGGAAATCTATGGGCGAGGGTGATAGTTACTACGAAAATAAGAGCGATGACATGGACGGTCCACTTTCTAGTTCCAAAGTTGGAGACTACCCGGGTTCTTTCTCAGGGAAAAATTACAAAGAAAAGTTTCCGAAAAATCATATCGAGTATTCGCCTGAAGCAGCTTCAACGAAGGTTCCTTTGCGCAGTTCTCTCAAATTGAATGATGATTTACCGATGGATAATATTTTGTACGAGGAGAATCATAGATCATACAGGATTCAGCTACCCTCTGCAGTGGATTCATCTAGAAGCAGATCTCAAAAGATGCCCGATTCAAGTCCTATGACAGTAAGTCAAAAGTGGATTCCTACCGTAATCTGAAATCCTAGAATTACAACTAATATTCTTATTGAGAAAATGACTAGTAGAATACCACGCACTTTAGTCTACATCAAACATTGGATTTTTCAAAAGCCGTTATATCTTCTGCAGGATTATGGATCTCTTTCAATTTCTCACTATATGCTGTTGTTCATCTTTTCATGTAAATCCACTGAGTGTCTGGCTAAGATTCTTTTATCTGATGCTTAGTGCTCCACATTTTTAACCATAAGGCGAGACAAAAAAATTTTGGTGGGCAGGAATGCTTCTTGGCAATTGTAGGGATAACTTCGGAAAGGAGCATAGGGATTGATCTGCCTTCTTCCTGCGATTATCTTTTGTCATGTTACATGTTGTATATTGTTTACTATGTTGTTTGTTTCTCTGTCTTTTCTAGTCATTGAACTCTACATTAATTAATTAAGCAATATGAAATTAAATCACTACGAAGATGAAATTGTTGTTTTCCAGTGCAAACTTGCAGATACTCTTATGTTCATTTGAGGTTTTGGAGCTGTTCTCAATCAACTTTATTCTTTTCTCATGATGTCCTTTTTCCTTCCAACTAATTTCTGTAATTGAAATGAGCACCTTACTTATTATCAGGAAACTTCTGAAGCAAGTTCAGAGGCTTCAGATGAGACTGTAAGGCAGCCTTGTCATCAGTGCAAGCAAATTAGAGGAGACAGAATTATTTGGTGCCTCAATTGTGATAGAAGAGGATATTGTGAAAACTGCATTTCAACCTGGTAAGGAGATGATCTCATTGAGAGAGTTCTTCTTTGCCGTTTAATGGTTTCTGTTTGAATGATTATATGGTGATGTGCAGGTACTCAGATCTCCCGTTAGAAGACATTCAAAAACTTTGTCCAGTCTGTCGAGGTAGCTGCAGTTGCAAGATGTGCCTGCGAGGAGATAATTTGATAAAAGTAAACTTTGGTCTTTCCAGTTCTGTCATTTGTCTAACCTTGTTGATGCAGAAACTTCTTATGCGGAGCATTTCTATCGATCTCGACTGTCTAACATGGAAATGTTCTTATTTCAGGCAAGGATTCGAGACATACCTGCCCAAGACAAATTGCAACATCTCTATTGCTTGCTATCTGCAGTTCTTCCTGTTGTTAAGCAAATCCAGCATGAACAGACCTCAGAAGTGGAATTGGAAAGTAGGCTAGAAGGTCAGATGCCTGTGATTATTTAGTTGCAGGTCTCGATGTCTATTAAAGTCCTTAGTTTTTCGTTTATATGCTTTCAGGAAGTAAGGATCTTGCCCGGACAAAATTAAATGCAGATGAGCAGATGTGCTGGTAATGTTATAAACGCTGATTGCTTTCTTCCGTTTTGCTTTAAGATACGTTAGACACAGAACTGATTAACTCTATTTTCTCATTTTGCAGTAATTATTGCAGGATACCGATTATCGACTACCACAGGCATTGCCCAAGTTGCTCATATGATCTTTGTCTCAGTTGCTGTAAAGACATTAGAGAAGCAACCAGACTTGTTCTTGAGGGAGAAACTGCTTCGCAAGTTGATGGCGAAGGATCTGCTTATGAGCAACTTAACTTATCTAACGTTCACCGGAATTTGTTTAAAAGGTACTCTGATTGGAGAGTCAATGCCGATGGCAGTATTCCATGTCCGCCAAGGGAGTATGGGGGTTGTGGTCACTCAATTTTAATGTTAAAACGCATATTTAAAATGAACTGGGTGGCAATAGTGGCAAAGAATGCAGAAGAATTGGTTAGTGGCTGTAAGGTTAGTGATTCTTGCTGTCAGGAGATACCTGAGTTTGATCCCAGACTCTTACAGGCTGCATATAGAGAAAGTGATAACGACAATTTTCTATACCATCCATCAGCCCAAGATATTAAGGCTGAAAGACTTGAAGAGTTCAGAATCCACTGGAGTCGAGGTGAACCTGTTGTTGTTAAAGAAGTTTGTGACTTCTCTACAATGGAGATCTGGAATCCTATGGTTTTGTTGAATGGAATTAGAGAGACAGCAGATGAAAAACCCAAAGATCCAAATAGAACTGTAAAAGCTATTAACTACTTTGACAGGACAGAGGTAACTTATCAATGAACTTCATCTGTTGAGTAAAATGGAGCAGAATTTGTTTCTGTCATTCTAATTTTTCAGCTTGTATTGCTTAATTCTACTTTTCTTTGTATAATTTGTATAAATGCAGGCCTTATATCTTAATATAATGGCAGGTTGATATAGAAATCACTGACTTCATGAAAGGATACTCGGTGGGTAAATTTAATGAAAATGGCCAGCGACAGTTTTTAAAACTGAAAGATTGGCCCTCTCCCAGTGCTTCAGAGGAGTTTTTGATGTATCAGAGACCGGATTTTATCAGTAAACTTCCCTTGCTTGAATTCATCCATTCGAAGTGGGGGCTTCTGAATGTTGCTGCAAAACTGCCTCACTATTCCTTGCAGAATGATGTTGGTGCTAAAATTCGTATTTCATATGGCACACCTCAAGAACTTGATGGTGGTGGTTCAACTGAGAATCTCCATCTTAAGATGCATGACATGGCAAGTATAACACACATATCTTCCCAAATTTCCTCTTGGTGTTTGTTCTTGCTAGACGTTCCTAACATTTTTTCATTTTTGATTCTATGATAATGTAATGCACTTTTTCTACTTCTTTTCCCCTTTAAACTGATTTAGGGGAGGATGGGAATTTTCACTCACATTTAATGCCTCCCATTGCTTGGTGCCTGAATTTTTGGCCTGGATTTGATAATTATGACAACTCCTTTTTTGTTTAGGCGTTTTTGCTGGTGCATACGTGTGATGTGAAGCCAAACATTGAGACGGTAGAGCAGGAACTTATAGGATCAGAAGGAAGACGACAATTAGGTGATCCACAAGTCAGTGCAAGTGAAGGGTCACCGAAATTAGCAACCAGTGGAGAAGATATTATGGATGAAGATCAGGCTGATGTTGATCCAAGTGATAGAGAGAAGATCTTGGATCAAGCTGTTGAAGCCTCCTCTAACCCTGAAGAAAAAATATTAATTGGAGAAGTTCCGCACGGAGGCAGTGATAAGAGTTCTGAAACTTTAACTGCTGGAGCACATTGGGATGTTTTTCGGCGTCAGGATGTTCCTAAGCTAATTGAATACCTAATAAATCATAGACAAGATTTCAAGATGTCTGACAACAATGCCAGGGTGAGTCTTGTAGTAGCTTTTCATGTAAACTTAAATGAGGTTGAAGTATGCTTGGCTGACTTGAGGTACATTGGCGATGTTTTCTACTTTTCAGATGCAGCATCCTGTGTATGATAGTGCTATTTATTTGAATAATCATCACAAGAAAATGCTCAAGGAAGAGCTTGGTAAGTGATTGTTACATCAGAGATATTAGGTTCCTGTTTGTGCTCAGCTAAAGTTCGATTGTATATTTAACTCCCAGAAAACCTCTTTTGAGTACGTAACATTTCAAGTCCTGTTGTCACTTGGTAATTTCTAGTCTTCTAATTAATAATTGACCTAGAATATAGTTGTGTGAGTGTGCTTGTTTTGGAACATGCCTTATTCTGTCTCATTTAAATTATCCAATCCTATTTCAGGAATAGAGCCATGGTCCTTTGATCAGCAACTGGGGGAAGCTATCTTTATCCCTGCTGGTTGTCCTTTCCAAGTGAAAAATCTTCAGGTGAGTCATGTGTCTGTATCTCTGTCTGAATCTCCGTAGTTAAATCCGTAAGCTTGGAAATTGAATCTACCTAACCAAGGGAAACATAGATTTGTATTGCAAAGATTGTGCTCTGGGGCTCATCTCATGGCAAGGATTGTGCGCCAGGGCTCATCTCAAGTTATTATGAAATGTTTTAATGGTTTAGTCATTGTGACCTGCTCTTCAAATAGTAGTTTTTGCTTAACCCCTAATAGTGTAGGTAACTGTATCTTTCGGTTGGCAATTCTTCATTTATGGTGTAATGTAAAAATACCTTTCTTTAATGTGGATTGAGCTTGCATGCTGCTAACTATTTTGTTTTTGGAAGCAACTTGATCTTCAATTCAAATAATAAAGTTTGTGTGTGGTTTCCAAGGTATTTTGATGCTTGTTTAATCATTTAAAGAGGATCGAGAGAACCTCCATGACGTCGGAGTGTTTTATTGTATTCATGTTACCTACCTTTCTTTCTAATCAATGTTTTCAGTGAGAAGATCTCCATCGCTATTTGAATAGGCTCAAAGAGCTTTTAGGAACTGTGCATGTTGCCATGTTTCATCTTGATGTTGCATCATTAGAGTCTCTTCTTTGTGATGAAGTTTTTCCTCTCTAATTCCTCTTCTCTTTATAAATTCAGTCCACCATTCAATTGGGTCTTGATTTTCTTTCTCCTGAAAGTTTGAGTGAGGCCAACCGATTAGCTGCAGAAATTCGTGGCCTTCCCAATGACCATGAGGCCAAGCTTCAAATACTGGAGGTACATTGGAATAAAAGTTTTGGTTCCTCGTGCGTTATAGACATCTTTATCTTGGGAAAAATGGTGATTATGGACACTCTTATACTGATACAGGTCGGGAAGATATCGCTCTATGCTGCAAGTTGGGCAATTAAAGAGGTTCAAAAGTTGGTTCTTGATCCAAAGTGAGGAAGAACTCTCTATTGTTGTCACTGTTGTTAGTCTGTGTGTGTTTGGTTTACGGGAACTTTATATTTTTTCATCTCCTGCAGACTTGGGCCAGAGCGGGAATATGAAGATCCCAATCTAACGGCATTGGTGTCGAAGAATTTGGAAGAGATGGTTAAACAAAGGCAGGTCGCTTGTTTGTAAATTCGTGTACTGGATAAACTTTTACAGCCAGAAGAAGGCAGAGGTAATTGTGTAAATAGGTGTGTATGCAATGTAGTCATTCTTTCTGCCCCAGAAATTTTCATTCAGATTGCTACTGGGAAAATGCGGCGAGCTGTAGGTAAACTGTGTTATAGAACTGGAAATATGTAGAGAATGAACACTGGAGCAGTTTCTATAAATGGATGTGCCCTTTTCTTAATGAGTTCTTTCTTAGGCCTCTTTCTCATAATATTGGAATCCAGAATGCGCATCATATAGGGTAGTATGCAGTGGTTTCGAAAATTACACTGAAATAATTTCCATTTATTTGTTTCAAAAGACTCCAGAGACTTTTATTTTTGGGACAAGAGAGAAGTTTTAGATTTACTTTTTTTAAAAAAATAAAATAAAAAATAAAATACAGTATACTTTAGCACTATTATGAAACACAAAGACATGCACCCGACATAATGCTGATAAACATATGCACACCAAAACAAATGTTTCTGACTCCATCCTATGAACTCAATGGGGAAAGAATAAGAGAGGACAAAGAAACAAGTTGTACTCCACATGAATCCATGGTATAGGCTAAACAATAAATTAATATGAGACCTTGATTAATTCTACTTTAAGGAAGGAGTATTTTTTAATTAATATCATTACAATTTGAATCGAGAACGAAACCCCCCCTCCTGGACAGCAAACGCGTGATTAGAAAGGTATCCAATTCCAATCCCGTCACTGTACTGTTAAAAAGTTTTCCAGAAAGCACAATATAACATTTTCTCAGTTTTTTAGTTATAAATCCTAAGTACTGTACCAAAGTTCTCAACCATCAAATAATACTACCCTGTAATTATTTTGAGAAAAAGAAAATAAAATTAATCATAATAACTTCAGTAATGGCATACACAAATGGTGCTGGCTGGGAGATTGAAGCTTTAATGTGATTGGACATAAAGTGATCAATGGTTTGATGTTGTAAACTTTTCTTACATCGAAGTAGTATATCAAACAAATGTCAGCTCCATTTTGAAGCCATGTTACTGTGATTCCTCCAATGATTAATCAGTTTGGTTTACGTGGTTCATTTCAGTTGAACCTTGAAACTGACAGCACGAAATCAATCGTGCACTTCTTTTAAACCACCCCCCAAAAAAAAAAAAATTCAGTTGCAATCCTAAGACCTAACATATGACCACGTTACACATTCATTTTTATTTTGCTGGGTCCATGATGATTAACGTACGTGTACGACAGTATATTTCAACAAACATTTAACGGTAGCTAATTTTGGTGAAATATAGTATTATTCCCAAACAAACTTTAAAGCTCTTTATTAATTACTTGCATATCATGATAAAGATAGTGGGTTTATGCCTTTAAAAAAAAATAGGTTTAATAGCTTACGTGTTAGACATGATAATACAAAATACTATTATTAGAGTGTATATATATATGTGTGCGTGTGTCGCTATCTTTCAACCCTAAAGTGTAAACATTTTTTTTATATATTATATTATACCATATAGTCTTTCTAGTTAAATTGTAATACACTAAACTATACTAATATATTATTTTTTATTTGAGCTAATATTTTATTTTTATGTGGAATATTAGTTTCATTTAAATGTTTTTAATCTTTATGTTAGGAAGAATAAAATAAATCAGAAAAATAGTGTCTTTATTGCTAAACTATATTATTAAAAAGATTAACATGCTTATAAAAATACAATCATGTGTTACAACTATACAAATATTAATTTTTACGATAGAGTATGAAAATAAATAAATATTTTTTTAAAACTCATATAATATACTTTTATGGTCATTAAAAGTAGTTGAGAGAAATGGAACAAAATAGAGAAAAATGAAATAAAAAAGTGAAAGGGGACTATTTTGTTATTTTTATATATTTTAGGATTTATTTTAATTTTTAAAAACTACTGGGGTGTTTTTGTATTTAAATTTATTATTTTATTTAAAAACTAATGGATATCCGTTAATTTGGATGGAAAATGGACCGATTGGACGAAATTGGCAAAAATTTCAAACATTAGGGTAAAGTTGGCTAACCGAAAATCTATTAGATATGATTGATGACGAGGGTAAAGTTTTGGGTAGGAACGACATTTTTTCCGTAATTCTAATGTCTCTTTTAAGTAATTAATGAAATTTGTGGTTTTTATGTTAGAAAAAAAACAAATAAAGAAAAAAATCACAATTAACCCCAATTTATGTAACTTTAGGTTCAACAATCCCGTATATCTTTCATAAGATCTAACGTACAACAAAAGCAATCGTAAATATCAAAAACTTGATATCATGAATATTCACATTTCTATTCTCTCTTGATTCTTGAAGTTCCCATATGCACACTGTATGTAGGTTTTCTCAAGAAGATGTACACCTTTTTGAGTTTTTTCCCCTTTTAATGCTAAAGTGATGATTAACTCCGGAATTCTCCATCCAATCTTCTTCTTCTTCTTCTTTCACGAAGCTCTTTTGGCCACCCTCGATTACAATTAGATTGTTGATAATTTCTGAATGGTTTTTACATTTATTCTTACCTTTTGGGTAAAAAACGATCATCATTATTCAGAAAAGTTGATAAAGAGCCACGTCAACTCAAATCTGAAAAACCATAAAAAGTTTTTGTGTTGCATTATTGGTCGAATGGTACGATGACAGAAATAATACTATGATTTAACACAAATCCATGAACTTATATTAAGGTTTACTTATAATTTAGTCGTTTTAATATAGATTTATTATAAAAAAAACACGTATCAAGTATTTTTAACTAATTTAATGCAAGGATAACATAAATGTATCACATGAGAATGCGATTTGGCTAAAAGCTCTCGAAAAATCACTTGAAATTTCTCAATACTAGTGAACTTAAAAGTTTCATTTTTCTTTTTAGGAAATACTATGAAACTAATTCGTGAGATCTCAGTGAAACTACTCCATTATAAGATACGCATGACTACTATTAATGGCATTAATGTTGTTGACATTGACTCTGTCGGTCTTTCATTTAACATGATGATGATGATGGCATGATGCATATTATGCTAATAAGAACAATCGAAACAAATAAACAAAAATACACTGGCCACCAAATCAAACTAAACCATTGTACTTTTGAAGTAGTGGTTTGGAGATTCGAACAAGTCTCTGTTTTGTGTTTTATTGACCCATAAATATTATTGTAATTTTACAACAAAAACTCAAAAAAATGACAAAAAACAATATCCGGACACAAGATCCAATGGACCGGGTAACAAGGACAACATATGTAGTACATTTTGTTTTCCTTCAAACTTTCTTTTTTAATTTTTTTTTTTTATGGTCCGATGCTCGATCTTTTGATAATAATCATCTCTCGTTCTAATCTCTTAACTATCTCACCCAACCCTCCCACCTCAACATCTAAAGTTCCAAAATTATTGTTTTTTGAAAAGGCCCAAAATTATTGTTAGGCTAAAACAGAAGGAATAAGAACTTTTTTTTTTCCCCCTTTTTTTGGGTTAAAAGGGTATTATAATAAGTAAAAATAACACAAAGAAAAAACTCTCTAAATTCAATCCATTCGACTGTTCTTTTACCCTGTTTTCCGGATGGTAAAAAAGAAAATCTGCTGTCGGCTGACAAGAGATTAAAAAAAAAATATATGCGTGTGAACTTGAACAAAATCCTGATAAAATCCAGCTAAAAAGAAAGAAAAAGTAACTCCTCTCTCCGTAACCTCACAGTAAAAAAGATTAAAAAGAAAAAATGGAAGATAAAAACAAAAATCAATCAATCAGTCGTGCCATCATTGTCTGAATCTGAGAGATTTCTGAACACACACAGTCACACACCAAGTTTTTTTAAATTTAATTACCCTCATCATTAAATGAGTATAAATTAATCCAATAAATCACCGTCCTCCTCCCCCCAAAAGAACATGCAGTCCAGGAGTGGCAGTAAATATTCTTATCTTAATTAATCATTAAACATTTACTGCTACTTCTCTGTACTGCTTCAATTTGTTCTTCCCGTGTTGAGGTCCACTCCGCGGTGTTGAATTTTGTCCATTATTATTATTTTTATTTTTAAAAAATCTTTATTTTAATTTTGAATTCCCATTTCTTCCTCCTTAAATAAATTCTTTTAAAAAAGTTTTATTCTTCTGCACATTAAATCCCTGAATTTTTTAATGTTTCTTTTCAAAATTTTTTAATTATTATTGCCATTACGTACGTAAAAGTTTTTGGTGTCTATTTTACTTTCTTTTCTTCCTCCGTCGTCTTCCTCCTCCTCCCTTCCACCGACTAAATTCCAGCTCTTCTCCGGTCCGCAACAGTGGCGAGCACAACGACGACGTTTTCTTCATTGATTTCTTCATTCTCATTTCCGTATTCCGGAAGATGGCCAAGCGCGGATATAAATTACGTATCCTTTTTTTTTTTTAAATTTCTTATTGGGAGATTAATTTCTTCTTAGTTTTTACCCTTTTGCGTTTATTTGGGGAATTATTAATGTAGCTCTACACTTGAAGCTTTTGTGTTAGTTTCGGAATTCGAATTTTGTATTTTGAATTTGATTTTTGTGCCGTGTGTTTGCGTTTTCGTATTTTTGTTGAGCTGGAGTGAGCTGGGAAGTTCAAAATTTGGGGATGTTGACTTGCTATTTTGTTCTCCCAGATTTTGTTTGTGTAGCTGCAAGTGATTTGTTGAAATTGCTGTAATCTGTTGAAAATGTGTAATTGTGCTTGGTTATTTTAAATTGTGGGTTCTTGACTGGAATGAAAAAAATTAGAGGAGTTTGTGGCGCATTCGGGAAGCGTGAATTGTTTAAAGATTGGGAAGAAGAACTTCCGCCAATTTTTAACTGGTGGAGATGATCAAATAGTCAATCTTTGGTCAATTGGCAAGCCTGAACCTGTAACGGTTAGTTCTGTTTCCATTCATCCACTCCTTTTTATCGTTTTTGTCATTTACAAGCAATACCAAGCTGAATTTCATCCGAAATAAAGAAGCAAAGGACATTTGGCCTTATGGGGGACTTCATAGTATACGATGATCATCTTCTTGTAAAAAATGAAGCTTCTTTTTAGTAACTGCAAATTTTCCTTTTTCTCTTGGGAGGCAGTTTTAGGTGGAGAAACCATTTCCTAACATTTGGCGTGTTTTAGATTTGCTAGGGTGGCTTCCGGAAATACAAAATTGGCATGTGTGGAAGTACTTTTTATGGCTATCATTTGTGGTATATAGCGTTCTTTTTGTTCAATTCATGTTGAGTTGCCAACTTGGTATAGTTAATTAATGAAGCTTGGCACAATTAGAGGATGAGTGACACAGGAGGACAGTTACAATAATTTTCCATTTGAATTTGGAGTAAATTTGGTGGCGTATGTGACTCGTCTTAAAATAGCTATCAAACATTGAAGTATATAATGTTACTTTCCAGTAAAAGGTATTTGTGTATGGTGCTAAGTTTCTAGCCGCTTTAGAGCACCACTGGAGATTTGTATAGAGTGTTTTGTGTTCATTATGTTTTGAATGACTTGTGAGATTGTTAATGTCATAGCCTAGCATTTGTCTAGTGGCCATTTTGGTCGGGCTGGGTTATGTTTTTCTCTCTTTAGTGCTCGAGCTTTATTATCGCTTAACGTTTACCAGTGATATCACTCTTTTTTGAACTTGTTTGTGTGTTGAGACCTCCAACTTGTTTCATTACTAAGAAAAGGAGATGAAATCAGTTGTTTCTTTTTGAAGACACGTTCTTTAGTCTTTTGGACACTCTCATGCCGGCGTAATAGTGGTTGTTCTTTCCAATTCATGCAGAGCCTTTCTGGTCACACCAGTCCAGTAGAATCTGTAGCTTTTGATTCTGCGGAAGTTTTAGTGGTTGCCGGAGCCTCGTCTGGTGCAATAAAATTGTGGGACCTTGAGGAAACGAAGAGTGAGTTGAATCTTTTTTCTGTCTCATTAAGTGTACAGTGTTGGTTTTCAATTACATGCCTCCGTGTTCTTCAATATTTTGTGATTGATATTGAATCAAATTGTCTTAGGTTTAAACATTGATTCTGGTAAAGATGCTAATTGAAAAGAAGTATTTTACTGAATTGACAGTCTGATCTCTGTATTTAAAACTGTTCTCATTAATTATGTTTCCTGAACAGCAAAATCTTGTGCATTTGTACTTCAGTATCTTTTGGGTTAACGATTTTCCGAATACGAGTATATAGTAATAATTTCTTTGAGAATCCAAACATGTTAATGTCTGTGATAAGCCCCACTTATTTTTATCCACAATTCTTTTTACAATTACAAAAATCTTCCATATTTATGGTTTTTGACTTAATTAGTTTCTATTGACTTAGAAAGCCTCAACATTTCCTGCCTTATGGTTTTCATCCATATTTATGCAAATTGCTTCAAGTCAGCTTTCAACTTCTTTGACCATGACCCTTGATCCTTACAAAATTTAGGCATACTTGCTCAATATGTTTTTGACTTGTTTCATATGAAGCTTGGATACCCGATATGTCCTCTGCCATAGCTAAGTGATCATATGGATGCGTGAGTAACTGCCATCTACTAAGGCGTCTTTCTAATCTAAAACAGTGGGAACCAAGGAAATGCTTCATTTATCTCCTGCTTGGCTCCAGTCTGAACAACACAGGATTTTAGATTAGTTCTATTTAGTAAAAAGAAATGGTGACTGTATTGGTTTACTGTGGGATTTTGCAATGAGAGCCTCCTGCAGACGTTATGGTAGAAAGCTCTTGTAGTAGTTTATCCTGTTGCCATACTGCTTATCTTTATCATGTCAATCTCAAATGGATCGCCACCTTATTTAGTTATTCTTCTTAAATGGTAGTGGTTCGCTCGCTCTCTGGTCACAGATCATATTGCACTGCAGTAGAATTTCATCCATTTGGTGAATTTTTTGCATCTGGCTCCATGGACACCAATTTGAAGCTGTGGGATATTAGAAAGAAAGGATGTATACATACATACAAGGGTCACACTAGGGGTATCAGTACTATAAGATTTACTCCTGATGGTCGGTGGGTAGTCTCCGGTGGATTTGATAACGTTGTAAAGGTATTAGCATTTCTTAAATTTGAAATTGCTTCCAATTTCTTTGTCTTGGCTTTGAACCATCCTCTTTTTATCAGATTTGGGACTTGACGGCTGGAAAACCCTTGCATGATTTCAAGCATCATGAGGGACATATTCGATCACTGGATTTCCACCCGCTTGAGTTTCTTCTTGCAACAGGTGAAGATGTACAAAATGCATCTTGTATTTGTGATAATTAATTCTTCTAGATCTGCTTAAGCGAGTTTACCGAACTGTGCATTTCTTTTTGTTCGATTGCATTTAGCTTGAAACCAATGTGACGCGAATGAAGCTTCAATCCATTTTCAAGTTTCATCTAATGGTTTATATCTGAATGAATTGCCTTTTCCTTTAATTTAAGTCTATTGTCATTTGTAGTAATTGAATTGTAGTTTTCCAGGCTCTGCGGATCGAACGGTCAAATTTTGGGATTTGGAAACATTTGAACTGATTGGATCTGCCAAGCGTGAGGTAAATTATTCATCTAGCTTTAGATGTATCGGTATGAAAATTAGGTTCCTTTGCATCTCACTTACATTGGAATTTGGCATTTTCCTCCACAACCTTTTTGTCATTAAAAAAAACCTGAGAAGGACAACTTAGAAACTTCGGGAGAATTATGAAAAAAGAGCAGGATAAAATCTGTGAGCATGGTGAGTGACATATTACATAAACAAGTTCTTCCATCCATCTGATCATTACCATATTGCCAGCTGCCTTTTTGTGGAAGTTCCATGCATCCAGCATGTGAGTTGATTTAATGTAAAGGGCAGGTTCAAGTCATATGCTTATCTGCTACATGTCTTTGACATCTTGGTTGCTCAACATTTAACCTAGTTGGTGTCAGAAACCTCTGGGTTTCTTTTTTCAAGTCGGAACTTTTCTTTTGTGCGTGCCATTTTCAAGTTCTCTGCGTCAGTTGACTGCCAAAGCCCTTCTATGTAATGTTGGGAATATGGTGTGTGTCATAGAATTTTTCTCATTAATTTAAATCTGGAAACACTCTTTGTTATCAAGCATGAAACATATATAACTCATCTGTTAAACTTAATCTTATGTGCCTGCCACTTTTTTATTTTTTATTTTTTATTTTTATGTTCTTTTCCCTGTGCACATAGCCCTTTGAACTGGCATAATGTATGGGTTTGATTTGATATTGGTTTTGCTCCTGTAATAAGAAAGCGGTCTGATTAGTAAGAAGGTTGAGAAAAGTGTTATTTTCTCATACTAACTTTTGAGTGGCATATTAAATTCTTCATTTTTCTATTTCACCCATCATATTCCCTGGTCCCTGCACTTATCTGCTATTGCATGTCGTTAGATGATGAATAATTCTCTTATTCCTGCTTTATAACAATCCTTTTGAGTTGAGGCACAACTGTGAAAGATGATGAACTGTTTGTATTTCAGAGTGCAGGAGTTCGATCAATAACATTCCACCCTGATGGAAGAACCTTATTTTGTGGACTGGATGATAGTTTGAAGGTATGTTAATGGAATGTTCGATTTAATTGGTCTTTTTGGGTCTACATATTCTCCTTTTTTCTTTTTCAATTTTTCCCTCATCTCATTGTTGTCTTGTCAAGTAGGTTTATTCATGGGAGCCTGTCATATGCCATGATTCTGTTGATATGGGTTGGTCAACACTGGGTGATCTTTGTATCCATGATGGCAAACTTTTGGGTGCTGCATATTACCAGAACTCTGTTGGAGTTTGGGTAGCAGATGTTGCGGTAGGTTACTTGTAGTAGTTCATCGTGGTTCAACCTATTTAATCTGTTTGTGCGCAATAAAACTAAGATCTCTGTTGCTATTTTGCTGTATTACTTCTCCTGTTTAGGCTTATTTACTTTACTAGGTTTGGAACCAGTGTGCTTATTTTTGCCTTTTTCGGAATTTTTATGTATGACTAGTTATTCATTAACTCCCTGCATTTGGTAGTTTATTGAGCCCTATGGAGCTGCTGTGTCACCTGGGCAGAATACCCAGCTGGAGCAAAAAGATGAGCTTCAGGAAAATGTTCCAGAGAAATCTGATAGCCATAGGAGGTCCATTTCAAGTATGCATAGCACGTCAGATGTTGACTCTGGTGATATAAAGAATATTTATGTGGACAGTAAGTCAATATTAACTTCTGCCATTTTGACATAATTATTGTTGCTTTAATACGTGAGACTGCACAATTTAATATTGCAGCATTATATGTTTCCCCTTAAAAGTGAGTAGGATTTTGATATAGTTGTATTCTTCAAATTCTTTACATGAAGCAGATAAATAATTTCTTTTTCCTTTTGTCCTTTGGCTATGACTGAAAACTTTGATTTCTTTTCTATTGTTTACACTACATATAACATTTCCGTGGAAGGGGGAAGAGGAAGGTTTAAAAAACTTGGTAAAATGCTACTGTTTAACCTACATATTATATGTTTACATCTAGATGAGAATGTTTGTTTTGCTAGAGCACGATCCAGTGCAGATAACCGAATTCACATGGTGGGATTTAGCATGGGTGTTTGATATTTGTCGTTTTTGGCATTTGCACCCCTTCCAAGATGCAAATGTTTCCATCGCTTTTCTTTCTTCTCTACAATGGCAAGGACTTAATGTTCTCTTTGCATCTGCAGGCTGTAATTCTATAATTTCAACAAATGTTGGGTCTCTTAGCTCTCCAAAGACTGCTGTCCTGTCGGAAAAAAATGAAATTAGAAATCTATCAAATCAGAAGCAGAGATCTGGTGTTGACATGCCAGCGAAAACAAATGTGTCTGCGAGTGCCAAATCTTTTACTGTACCTTCTATTATACCTCGTGACATTCCTGAAACAAACGATGTGGTTAGTTCTAGAGGAGAATCTTTTGCAGGAGTTAGAGCCAGTAGTGGCATTGTGAAACCATCTCATGTACGGAGGCCTTCGATTACAAAATCTGATATGGATAACTCAACCCCTCCGGACCCTCTGTCGCTACATAATATGACAAGTAAAGTTGATCCCAAAAAAGACCCGAATCTGACTGTCACGCTAGTTAGGGACAATGCTGCCATGGAATCCTCTGTGGAATTTGATATGAGCATCAAGAATGTTCAGGAAGATTCTGTAAAAGCTTCAGCTCAGACAAGACCTAGTCAGGAAAATGGTAGCACTTCTCTTTCATTTTTTTTCTCCTTTTCTTTTTATGTGTGTTTATGCGCGCTTATGTGTTTGAAATGAAATTATTTAAGTGAATTTAGAGGGCTTTCGGGTTCTTCATGGTTATTTCCACATGTGTGTTCTCTTTTTCTAAGTGCTTCCTGTTCTTGCTCATTTCCTGACTTCTGGTTGGAGAGCCCTGTAATGGGTGTCTTGCTAGAAATCACTAAAGTTTTAGATAAGTAGATTTAGACAGATCAGCTGAAAGAAACTCTTTTAAATAGCTATGATATAGTTCCTATTATTGTCTATTAAAAAGGCCTATAGGATGTTTTTATTTTGTATCTTGTTTATAGCAACAAAGATTTAGTTTCCCTTTTTCTTATGGTTCAGGTGAAAAGGCCCAGGATTTGAACCAAGGGATGGTTCCTGTCAAAGTTGTGAATGGAGGTTAGTACTTGATCCTATCATGGTATTTATACAGGGGAATAATGGCTAATATGACAATTTTTGTTCTTATATTGGCAGTGGCAGTTGTCCGAGGTAGGACCCGCAGTCTGGTTGAGAGGTTTGAAAAAAAGGAGGTTTTCAGTTGTATTGATGTACAACCGCCTGGTAGAGCACCAGAGCCTACAACTGAGGCTGTGAAGATGTCTCCCCAAGTGCCGGATGAAGTTCGAAACCTTACAACTCAGGCTAACAAAACATCTCCGCCAGTCCCTGATAGAGCTCCGGACCCTGCAATTGAGGCTGTGAAGACATCTTCCCGAGTGCCTGACAAAGTTCCATATCTTACAACTGAGGCTAATGAAGCATCCCCTCGAGTGCCTGACACAGCTCCAAATCCTTTAAATGAGGAGGTGAAGATATTTCTTCCTGTAGATAGTGAAGTTCCATACCACACCTCTGAGGCTACAGAAACATCTCCCCCAGTACCTGATAGAGTTACTCAGCCTGCAACTGAGGCTGTAAAGCCATCAAGTCCAATTCCTGGTAGAGAACCTCAGCCTGCAACTGAGGCTGTAAAGCCATCGCGTCCAGTTCCTGACAGAGTTCGACATCGTATGACTGAGGCTTCGGAAGCATCTCTCCCACTGCCTGATAGAGTTCCACGTTCTATAACTGTGGCTGCAAAGCCATATCGTAGGGTTCCTGATAGAGTTCGATACCGTACAACTGAGGCTGGAGAAGCGTCTCCCCTGGTGCCTGATAGAGTTCCACACACTAGAACTGAGACCGGAAGGCCATCTCGCCTGGTTCCAGATAGAGTTCGGTACCGAACTGCTGAGGCTCCAAAAGCTTCCTCTCCTGTGCCTGATAGAGCTTCATATTATAGATCCGAGGCAGCAAGAACATCTCTGCCCATGCCTGATGGAGCTTCGCATCATACAACTGAGGCTCTGAAAACAGCGTCTTTGGTATGGTTGTTCATTGAAATTGCAAAATTTTGTAATATTTTTCTATCACTAACGAAATTTTTCCTTGTTCTGTTATTTTGGTTGTTAAAAGCTTTACTCGAAAGAGAGAGTTTGAGTAGATTAATGAACGTATTCTGTTGATTTCTAGATTAGACTATACTTATCTCTAAACTGGACATCCTGATTTTTGGTTAGATTACCTTAAAAACGCTTCCCATCAGAAAGAGAAGTTTACCGTGCATATTTATCTGTGCTGCATTACCTAAACAAGAAGCGCATGCAAGTCAAACCTTTGAAACTGTGAGAGTGAAACTTGAACTTCCAATTTTGTACGTTGAACCTCATTTCTTGAATCTGGATAACCTTGCTGACTTTCTCTGAGGTTGCAATGGTTTTGACCTTTTGCTTTAATATATGTTGCTTGTTGGATGGGTAGTAACAAGATGTAGGAGATGAGCGAGTCTTGAGGTTTCATATAGCTGAGAATTAACGTAGATATTTAAGGACTTGTGTACCGAAGTATGTAGATACAACTCTTAAACATTAACCATTAGTGCATTGTTTTGTATGTTAAAGTTGGAGTATAGTTTGAGATTTTGCTGTGAGAAAAAATTTTAATTCACCATTTGTTTTTTGCTTGCTGCCTACAGATTGATAATCAGCTAAGTGATGGAAAACAGGAGTCTAATGTTGAAGATAATCATATCATCGAAGCTCTGATGGAAAATCATGATGTGCTCCTAAGTGCACTACGCTCCCGCCTGACAAAGTTGCAGGTAAAATACTTGCCATCCATGCTTTTGATCAGAAACAAACTTTTGCTGCTGCATGTTCTTATGGGTTTTCTTAGTGAAGTTGTTCAACACACTTGATATTCCCTTGGGTCTCATTACCCTCGGGAAGAAGCACATAATTTTCTCTCTGTACGGTATTGACGCTGCTGATGGGAAGTATGTCCCGAGTGCTGCAAAAGATTTTCAATGAAGTTGTCTATGCTGTTTATATTCTTTTGAAGAATTTCTTGGCTGTATACGTCTTTAATACAGTTCATATTCTTTAAATAGCAATCATATTCTTGTAAAGTTCAAAGAAAATAAGCTCGATTTTCCTCGCAGATGGTGCGGCATTTCTGGGAACGAAAAGATGTTAAAGGTGCCATAAATGTTTTGAAAAAGTTGCCGGATCATTCTGTGAGTATTAACATAGAGGATCAATCATTTTGCTGCTCTCTATAGTATCATTTGTTGCCGTCATTTTTGTTGTGGTACTAGTTTTTTTTTTCGTTTGACTGCACAACTAGCATGCTTCTTAACGTAACTCATCGTCTTGCAGGTTCAAGCAGATGTCATCAGTGTTCTAACTGAGAAAATGGAGATCATCAACTTAGATTTGTTTTCATGCGTTCTGCCTGTGCTGCTGGGCTTACTCGACAGCAAAGTTGAAAGGTAAGCGTGGCAGAAAATTTTGAGCACAAAGGTTGTCTTATTTCCTGCTCTGCCTGCTATATTGGCACAAATCACAAACCAAGTACTTTGAGATAGTAAAGAGAACTGAACTCACTGGACTTGTAACTAATCTAATAGACTTCCCCGGAGGTAATTAATGAATTTGTGAGATGAGAAATTCATAGATCCACTGGAAGCTCATTACGCTCAGTGGAGTTGAGAGTCTGTTCATGTGCTAAAAATGTTCTATATCATCTATAAAGCAGAGAAAAATTGTTAGCTTTTACCCTTGAGCAGAGAAAAATATTAGTTCCACATCTCTCTCCGCATTCTGGTCAGTCTAGGGACTTCACTAGCTAAAATTCTTTAAGGATTTATCATAGGTATAGGATCAAAAACTCTGGTGTTACATTTTGGCCTTTTCAGCTTTTGTAGTTTTGTTAAGTTTCTCCCTTGGCTTAAAATTTTGTTATTACTCGTGTCATGTTTGTAATAGACATGTGAGCACTTCCTTGGAGATGCTATTGAAGTTGATTGCAGTTTTCGGTCCTCTAGTTCATTCAACTGTTTCAGCACCTGGTACGATTGGGGTTGATCTTCATGCAGAGGAAAGGTATGTTGATGACCTTATTTGACATGTCTGATAGCTGCATGAGTTCAAACATGATTTACCATCCATCTAATTCTATATATGTATGATAACAGACGGGCTAGCTGCAAACAGTGCCATGTCTATCTCCAAAATGTTCAGAAAATTCTTCCAATGTTAATACAGTAAGTGTGTTTTTTTCTTTTTTGCACTGTTTGTATAGTCGGACTATATTGTCTAGTTGACAATTAGGAGAGTCAACAGTCTATAATTTTTCTATTCACTGATATTATGCCGACTGCAATGGTCAGTAGCTTTGTTCCAGCTCCCTGTGAAACTTCAACTCAGGAGGATATAACTTTTTTCTCCTCTCCATCCCCGTTTATTGCTAGGCTTTAATCATGTTATATATGGCTTCTCATGTGTTTCCCTTTATCTTGATCCTATTATAGGAGAGGGGGTGTTGTGGCAAGAAGCGCCATGGAACTCAACCTTATTGTTCAAGAATTATGACCTCTTCCTTACCTGTATTGACGGCAACATTGATCAAGTTCAGATTTACCGATAAATAGTATTTTTGGCAGACCTTATTTCACATTGAGGAACATCCAATTTTGTCATTATGATATCTTAATTAGGCTTACCCTTTTCAAGTAATTTTGGCAGCTTATATATACAGTATGAGATGTCTTGTGGTAAGGCTTGAGAATTTTTTATTCCAGCTTCCACATAGTAAAGGGTGTTCAAGTTCATCTCCAATATAAGGGTAATACATTCTTTCAGTTATGGCTTTAGAAAAGGCGGCTGGTATTGCAGATGTAGTACATAATCTTACTAAGCTGTAATTAGAAGTTAATTGATGTACATTTGTTGTAATTATTGAAATATATACATACAGCTCTCATTAATGAAATTTGTATATTATGCTGTTTCAGAGCTTCCTTCATATACCTGACTCACTACCTGACCTTGTGTGATTGTTGAGGAAAGGGTTTCATTTGTGCAGTAGGTGAAGTTTCAAAGATGAGAGCTTAAGACAGCATCTTCAATGCAACTACTACTGCAAAGTAGTGTATCTGTACTCCTTTCGTCTTGTGTTACTGATAAATTTCCACCTTCTTGAACAAAAATAGGGTTGAGTGCAGAATGTTGCACCTGGGAACATGAATCGTAAAGCTCTTTCTCTTACTCGATTTCACTTATGAAGTTGCAACACTTATGTTGAGCTCTAAGCCAATGTGAATGGTTACAAGTTGTCAAATTTAGGAGCTGTTTTTACTTCTTAGCAACTACCGAGTAACAACAGTTCAAAAAACACAAATTATATTTGACAATAAAAGTCATACAGCCTCAAAAATGTCTATCTGAATTATGCATTCGGAATTCATTTCATATCATGGGACAAAGGCTCTTAACAGGGTTTTACCATTGCCTGAGGTCCCAACTCCCAAAGCATAATCTTAACAGGGTTTTGGCATTTCCTGAGATCTTAATACATGCTTCCATAATCAGATGAGAGTTGACATCTGTGATAGTGTTGAGATTTCGACTACCTGTAAACTGAACACAATGTAATCACGCTATCCCATCTCCATATGAAGCAACCAATTCGAAGAAGGAAGATGGCAGGAACTGCAACCCTTCACTATATTGAGACTAAAGATTTCTGCTTTTCGTCAGAACATTAGACCCACTGCTCTCTCTTAGTTAATTAGCCTTTTGAGTTTCAGCACCTTCCAACGTACTTGTACTTCTTTGTATCAGGCTATAGGTTAAGCAGATTCAATCCAACTACCAGCCTTCTGTTTTCTAGCACACTTGCTCTTTATCATCTTCTTCATCTTGGTCACAGTACTCCAAACTTCACGTTCACCGTGTATCTTACATAGCATTGAATATACAGCGGGATGGTCTTCTTCCAATTTGTAAATTTTGGTAGCAGCAGACTCGCCAATTTCTGAACATGAAAGCAAGCCACAAGACCCAAGAAGCGCTCCCCATACGACCACATCAGGTTCAAACGGCATGCCCCTGATAAATTCCTCTGCTTTCTCAAGTTGCCCAGATTTTCCATACAAATCCACCATACAAGCATAATGCTCCATTTCCGGCTGCACATTATACTTCAGGGTCATGGAATGAAAAATCTCTTCACCCTCTTCAACCATGCCTCCATGGTTACAGGCTGAAAGAACATTTATGAATGTAATTTGATCAGGGATGACATTCTGTTTCACCATTCTCTGGAATTCTTCAAGTGCTCTTGCAGCAAGACCATGTCTTGCGTATCCTCCAATTATAGAATTCCAGGACACCAAATTCTTTTCTGGCATCGAGTGAAATACATCATATCCTGCATCAATATCACCGCATTTGGCATACATGTCAAGAAGGGAAGTCGATAAGATTACATCAAGTGGTATACCGAACTTGAGAATGCAGGAGTGAACCTGATTGCCCATCAGAAGAGAGGAGCAGCCAGCACAAGCATCTAAAACGCTTGAGAAAGTGAAATGATTAGGCCTAGGACCCGATTTCATCATCAGGACAAACAATTCAAGCGCCTCCACAAAACTATCCCCTTGCACATATCCTTTAATCATCGCAGTCCAGCAAACGACATCCTTCTCATCCATAGAAAACAAAGCTGACCGAGCTTCGGAAAGCATTTTATTCTTTATGTAGCCATTAATTAGAGTACTCCACGAAAAAGCATTCTTTTCAGGCATTGAGTTGAACACCCTCCTAGCTTCACAAGTGAGCCCAGATTCCATATAACCGAGAATCAGCACGTTCCAAGGAGCAATGTCTTTCACCGGAATCTCATCAAACACTCTGCATACACCTTTGTGATCACCCAAATCAAGGTAACCTCTCATTAATGAAGATCCAAGAGAATCATTCAGATTCAATCCTGAGGAGATGACTCTGCAATGGAGTTGAGGGACCAAAAACCGAAAATTTGTATTCAGGAAGGTGCTAATCAAGACCGCGAATGTAAGTTCGTTGGGCTTTTCGTTGGACCTGCACATTTTAAGGAAATACTGGTAAGATGATTCTGGGCGATTGGCCAGGCGGAAACCAGAAAGCATGGTGTTCCATGAAACCACGTCTTTGTGAGGCATTTTTTCAAACAGCTCCTCAGCATGTCTCCAGTTTTTCCTACCCATATATCCATTTATTATCGAATTCCAGGAAACCACATTTGTGGAGTGTGGATTTTCATCGAACAGTTGACGAGCAGCATGTAGATTGCCGCTCCGAAGGTGGCCGTTGATGGAGTTGTTCAAATTAACTGTGGAAGCAAGAGTGGCGACAAAATGGCGCGAAACCATAGGAAGGAGATTAACATTGATGAAAAGTTTAATAAAAAATTAACGGAGAATGTTGGGCAACTGAAGCTGTAAAAGATTTTATTAGTACAAACCATAAGAGAGGAGTTTAGTCTAATTCAGTAATTTGTTTTACCATATAATGCTTCCTTCGTTTTACCAAATGGGATGGGAGGAGTATATAAATGAAAAAGATATGTTCTACTAATATTTTCTCCTGCCAAAAATACAATACTCAATATATTTCAAAATAAATGTCGGTTTAAGAAAAATAAAGAAATTTCAAAATAAGTGTGTTTTCTGAATCTAATACAATTTTGTCCAGAATTTTTAAAGTTACTATCAAAAGAAATTATAGTATTGGTAAGTATTGACAATAATGGATCTAGTTGAAGATATTCTAGTAATTTATTTTCCCATTTAAGTGTTTCTTTATTGAAATTGTCTAAGAACATTTATTTTAGACGGGAAGAAATGTGCATTATTTTTAGAGATATGTACTATTTGTAGTATAAAGTTGAAAATTCAATGTGAATTATTTTGTTGGTAGAAAGATAATATTATATATTTAGTATCTGAATTATGAGAATAATATTTAACCAATCTAAATTCGAAATTTTTCTTGGAAGATTACGAGTCAAAAGAGTTCTTATCTTATGTATAAAATTTTTGTAATAGAATCTAGGTATTGTCTATTCATATTATGAACACACTTGTTTTTTTACTCAAAATCCATTATGATGATTTAATTATTGTTGGTCACAATCTAATTAAAATTTACATGTCTATTATGGTGGTGAACATTAATCGCTTCGCTGTGATGGCATATTTGGAAATAACCCATAGATTAAAAGGGTGGCCCGCTGTATAGCGAAGGAGAGAAAAAGGGGGGAAATAAGAGAATTTCCAGGCAAACCCCCCAAAACTCAAAAACACACACACTCACACACCACCCAAACACGCACACACCATTTCCTTCGTCCATTTTTTTTTTGTCTGTCTGAAAAATTTCCCTTTTGTACCCACAATTTCTTTTTATCTTTTCTTTCTATTAGGGGTTTTAACCTGTTTTTTTTTTTTTTTTAATTTGGTTTTCTTCACCTGAACTCCATTTTCTAGCGTCCGTTCACCCCCTTTCTCACGGTCTTTTGAAAATCATCCCGCATAAGTTAAACCAATTTTCCGATTTTTTTTAATTTTTCTGACAAAAAAACTAGAGCCGGAAAATTCAATTTTGAAAAAAGGGGCCGGCAATCTTCCCGGAAAACCGCCGTTTACGAAATCCCACATCTTTCCACACCCTTTCATTCCCAAGTTTTCTCCGTCTTCAATGTCGTTGATAAAATTTTTCGAAATTTTTGAAAGTAGGTCGCCGGCGTTCCTTCCGAAATACTACACATTTTTCGCCGGGGAAAAACGGGGCAATTGCTAACGTGAGCCGCCGCTGCGCATGTTAAGGAAGTCGAAATTCGAGAGCTTTGATTACTACGATACGGGTTAGGTTGTGGCGTGCGGGTTTGTGCAAAATTTGTTTCCTTTTCGGAGTTCGTTTGAGAAGAGGAGGAGAAAGGTGGTAAAAGTGTGTGTTTTTTCTCTCCGTCCATCTCCGCCGTACACGTGGAGGGTGGGAGATGGGAGCAGAGTCGATGGTGGTGGGTCCCAAGCCGAAGAAGTGGGGCTCATGGGAAGAGCTTATCCTGGGCGGAGCTGTTTTGCGGCACGGTATCCAAGACTGGAACGTCGTCGCTTCGGAGCTCCGAGCTCGCACCGTTCATCCCTGTTTCTACACCCCAGAGGTCCTTCCCTGTTACTTACTACTCAATACTTTTAATGTCATTTAATTAATTGCAGATTTCTGTTTATTTACTTACTAAAAAACCTTAGTATTATTCCATTCCTAGTACAGTATTGTTGACTAAATTAAATATTTTTGGATGCTTAGAGATTTTGTGGGACCACATGTTTGGGAACCTCTGATAGAAAAATTTTTAAAAAAGTATAATTAATAATTGGAAAAATAAAATTGAGATTGGTAAAAGCCTTGAGGCTTAAGAAAAGTTTTGGTCATTTTATTAGTAGTATATGCAAGCATGTTCCACGTGGAATGTGTCATTTATTTCAGATGCCGTCTTAATTTGGCAGCAAAACTAATGTGAATTTGTTCCTTCATTGTGCTATTGCTTTTAATTTATTTGGTTGTTATTTTGGTGGGACATTTGTGAAAAGGAATTTGTAACGGATTCGAAGGAGCCTTTGGATTAGTTTTTTTTTTTTTTTTTTCTTTTTTGTTTGGCTTTTTTATTTGCCGAGTCATAATCAGTCTTTGTTTAGTCAGTCAGGACTCAGGAGAAAATTGACCACAAAAAAGGTGGTCAAAGATTTATGTTCCTTTCAAATGATGGTAACCTCAAATCATTTTTACTGGTTTCAACTTTTCTTCTAGTTAAAAAGTCATGTCGATTTTCTATCATAAAAACTGACTAGTATTATCAATTTTTTGCCCCCAATTACATGAATAACCATGAACGATGAATTTAAAGTAGTCATAAATCTGGCGTTACATATCAAACTTGCACAAATCATTATATTCTTTTGTGAAGGATAATGAAAACTGAGTGAGGACCTTGCAATATTGACCCTGCATTGTAAAAAGTGAACACAATTTGGTGGGAATAATGGTATTATTAAGTTGGGAGTGGGATCAACTAACGAGAATGAACTTTGTGGCAAGAAAGAACTGCGAATTGGTGATAAAGCTTGATTCCCCTAGTAAAGGTGGTCCAGTTCCTGTTCATTTAAATCTATTTGGATTTGCACATTTGCCCACTACCTATTTGGTTCATGTCTGACTTCAACCCTTAGGCCACATGTTAAAATTTTTAATTTTTTAAAAAAGTTTTTCAATTTTCATCACCCTATTGGCTCTGACACTTGTACATACGCCACCTGTGAAGGGCCAAACAGGAAGCTAGAGCCAATCTAAGAAAAGAGTTTCCAACACTTTGAATCCTCATCTTTGGTCTATGGACATGGCATGCCATTTGGCTTGTTCTTTTAATAAATGTCTGAACATAAGCTTCGTAACTCTATGATCTTCTTGACAATTAGTGTATATGCTTCATTAAGCCATAAATCTATGCTAATTAGTCTGACATACAATTTTAATCATTTTCAAGAGAAACTTTTACCACAGGTTTTCCCTTGTATCATGTGTAGGAACGGTGACTTTTGTTGCACTTGCGGTAACAATCTATCTGTGCATTTGAAATGCAGGTTTGCAAAGCCAAGTACGAGGATGTGAGAAAGCGTTACTCTGGGTCCCTGTAAGCCGAATTCATGATTTTATGTAATTGTTGGGTTTAGATGGAATCGTAAGATAGATACTGTGCTCTTTTAAAAACAAGTTCTGCATTAAGACACTTGATATCTTTCTCCTCTCTACCATCCCGGCCTCAGCTTGCACCTTAATTTCTTGGAAACTGTGCTGATTGCAAACATATGTCCAGAATCATGCATGTGTTGTGTTAGCATTCAATTGACTTGGTTTCATCTTTTGGTTTTTTAGGGCTTGGTTTGATGAGCTACGTAAAGTTCGAATGGCAGAACTGAAGAGAGAGTTGGAGAAATCTGAAGACTCAATTGGGTCAGTAAATCTATTTCCTGCACTCTGTTTGTAATTGTGAATTTCCAGCCCCTTTCATGTTAACTTCTTGCCACTCGATTATCAATTGACTGTAAACTGGCCTCTCTGTATGTATCTTCTTTAATAGTATTGGCTTTGTCTTTTAACTGCAGGTCTCTAGAGTCAAAGATAAAAAACCTCAAAACTAAGAAAAAACCGTTGCACAAAGCTGATTGTGGATCTGACGAGACTGAGTCCCCCGTAGCTATGTTGAGATCAGAGGGTAATGATTCATCTCTGAAGGAGACATCGAAGGATGAACTTTCTGCTGGTAGCTTTACACTAGACACAAGGACTAGCTGTTCATTGGATCAACAGGTTCCGCCAGTACAATCATCTTCAGGACCATATATGAAGCAAGAAAATTTAGAGTCTTTTGAAGAGGAGAAAGGTTCAATCATGGGGAAGCTAGCAGATGTCAACAACAGAGAGGGTGTGACTCCTAGGAAGAGAAGAGGTAAGAGGAAGAGGAAGGATTGCAGTGCAGAAGCCAAAGAAGGAAGTGTAGCAGAGAGTGATAACCTTGGGTCAAACAATGTTGTCCCAAACTCTCTACGGAAGGAAACTTCTACAAGCGGTGTCGACCAGACGATTAAGTTTGTTAGTAGAGACGGTGATGAAAAGGGTTCCTGTCCTACGATGAACGATAGCTTGATTGGAATTTTCAATTCTATCGCGGAGCACAAAGTAGCTTTTGTGTTTAGACATCGACTTGACAGCCAGGTAATATTATCGTTGAATTCTCTGCAACTTTTTTTCTCTTGATGCTAATTGTGAATATTTCCTTTTTCCCCATTTTGTTTTAAATTGAACTTATCCTTGTGATGACAACAGAAGCGAGCCAGGTACAAGAAGATCATCAGGCAACACATTGATTTTGATATTATAAGATCCAAAGTAATTAGCTGTTCGGTTCGGTCAGTGAAAGAACTCTTCCGCGACTTGCTTTTGCTCGCCAACAATGCCTTGGTGTTTTACTCGAAAAGGACTAGGGAATATAAATCAGGAGTAGCCCTTAGGGACATTGTCCTAGAAACATATCGACAACACTGCAAACACTCGTACGACCAGGCTACTTCGGTTTCCCTGCTTCCTATGGCACCATTGTACAACCCTCCAGTGAAGCCACGTAGTGCCCGTCCTCGGCCATTTAAACCAAAAGTATTATCGAAGTTGGACAATGCGAAGAACATTGCTGCTGGTTCTGCTCCAAAGGTACATCCCAAACCGAGTGACGTTGATACCAATCTTCCATTGCAGGCATTGTTGGTGGCTAAGAAAGGTTTAAAACGACCGACAAAGACGAAAAATGGTTCAGCTAAAGCCCAACCTAAGGGTGCTGCTCCGATAACGAAGGACAAAAAAAGGGCTCGACAGAGATGACAAATTTTGTATCAATGTTGTATTACTCCTGACATTTTGGTGTACAGAACTCCATCTGGTGAGTGTATATAGTCAGGTCAAAACTAGGGTATAATTGTTCATATAATCTAATGAATCTAACGCCGAGAGAGAGACGAATGAACGGTTCATAAATGGTTTCACTGGTCTGTGCAGTCCCTTTTTCACTGGTCTGTGTAGTTTAACAATCGAGACCACAAGAGATTGGTGGATAATCACACCACTAGAAACAGGGCCAATGGAGTTGGAATTTTCATGATTGACCAAATAGCTAAAGAATCACTTCAAGTAGTTTCAAAGGAAATTACAAATCCCGAATTGGAATACTCTCTGGGCAATTGTCATATATGCTGGCTTGAAAGTAAGAAATTAAAATGCGTAAGAATACAAGTATGATAAGTAGAGTACTTTGTTTGGAACAGAAAATTTTGCTACAAATCCCCAAACAACCCCCAACAAGACCCTGGTCTTCTGCAACAAAAAAACCCATTTGAGTCTCGTTAGTGTGTAAGTACTGTGAATGCAACGCAAGTGACACCGTTTTTTCCCAGCTTTACAGCGTTCAAAGTCAGGAGTTGGAGAACCACTCTGGACTCTGAAGTTTGAACTTTGAACCCTTCCCCTGTCATGCGTGTCACTCGTCCATAAGGCAGCCAACAATTGTTGCATTTTGGTTATGAGCATATATCAAAACAAATTTGACGAATATCAAAACAAAACCACATTAGTATTTAGGGGTTAACTGATGGACTAATAATAGCAACTTCATTTCGTGCAACTCTATCTCTAAGTCGTTAATATACATGGAAATATGAATATGAAATGATCAACTATATGTTTTAGAAACTCAAAATATTTTTTACTAAAAGTAGAAATAAAATGTAACAAGTATTTTCTAGGAGAAAGAATAATGCCTGATTAATACTCCCTCCGGTCCTTAATATAAGTCATTTTGATTTTTCTTAAATTTTATTAGTACGTGTTTTTAATGGACAAAAAAAAAACCTTAAAAATATATTTTCACATTTGTTGTATTCTCTTGATTGTTATGAAATATTTTTAAAATTTTTTTTATCAATGAAAAATACATAATAGATAAAATTTAGGACAAATCAAAATGTATTATAATAAGGACCGGAGGGAATACTATATGGTAAAACAAAAACAAAAAAGTGTGTCATCACTCATGAGGAGTCATGCTCACAAACTACTCAATCCAAGAACCCAAAAAACAAAGAAAGACAAAAGTGTAAAAGCAAAAAATGCTAACTATAAACAGTTTAAGTTTCCCTTCCTTTTCAGGTTCAGATGATGGATGACAAGAACAAAACTCCACCTCTTCTTCTACCCGAAAAGAACAATACTAAAAATACGTCATTACCTTGAGAATACTTATATGATTTGATTAAGGTTCTTTACCCAATACATAATGTATATGAACCAAATGTCTCTAAATTAGAAATATATATATTTACGAAAATATAGAGCACACGGTAAAAATAAAACACATGAAATATAAGTAAATTATCAAGCATGCCATATCTTCTTTCCGCCAACTAAAACAAGTGCTCATAGCTACGCTCACAATTGTTGTCTGGAAATGCGATGTTATAGAATCAATATTTGAAAATAAATACTTTTTGCGACCCAAAATTATTGACCAGTTTAAACTTTTTTTGTAGTTCAAATTATATAAAAATGAATTATCCATAGTAGACAATAATTTCGAAACAAAAATTTACTAGGAGAGATAAAAGTAGTATCTTTGAAAAACGACTATTAATGATATACATATACTAGCTAGTGTCAAAGTTCATGAATCAGCTATACACTCCGTATTATTCAACCGGGGAGCGAAGTACAGTAATAAACTCAAGAAATGGCGGACAAACAATTTGAAGATCATAAACAAATCAATGAATCAATTCTAGGGTTCTTCCTGCGAAGCTTTTTGGGAAAAAAAAAAACTAACTCTATACAGACCGTATATTGCGGTATTTATATATAAGCTAACCGACCTATTGTTTTAGTATTTACAACCATGTCCTTAAATGTATATTAATAACTAAAAAGACCCTAATATTTACAAGTCTAATTTTCTGTACAAAACAACACAAATCGACATCAATCAGGCTCTAATTCTTTGATGTTCGGCTCATCATCAAACTCTACATAAACAACACACGCTTTTGGCGTTGCACATGATGTACATGGCATGATGCATATGGGCTCTAATCAGATCTCTCTTCAAATTCAAATGTTGACATCAACATTCTAAGATTAGATCATGCAAAATTGAAATGGTCTTTAAGTTACTTCTCTTAACAATTATGTAGTAACATTACGTTGCTTTATTACATATGGTCCTATATATAATGCCCCTTCTTTTTTGCCCCTAGCTAGCTTTAGCTATTAATAACCTCCCAATTGAGCATCTACCATAGCGTGCCAGAAACGGTAAAATGTAGAAGTAACTAGTATGCAGCACTTCTGTTTGGCATTTTACGAGTTAAGATTGTGATACGTGTTTAATCTCTTTGTCAAGTTTGTTTATTTCTCCCAAATCGGTATGGCAAAAAGTGTTATGCACCTTTTTCTACGGTGATCACTGCGTGATACTTTATTCGTCCAGTTTGTATTTTTATTTTTAATTTAAAAATTATACTAAAAGTGAAAAATTTAAACTGAACAATAATTTTGCACAGAAAAAGTAATAAATATAGATTGTATTTTTCTTAATTCGGTGGTCAGTTTCCAGATAAACTAAAACCACCATTTGCCGACCGTAGTCGGTCGACCAGTGCTCCACCAAACATACCAAAATCTCCCAATTAGAACCGGTAACTTGGTGGTGGTTTAGTGGTAGGTTGGCCACGCCCTGGACCACCGGCAACACTTCGGTTTTTTTTTTTTTTTTTTTAACTCCAAATATTTCAGAATGATACACCTAATAATTATCCTAAATTCGGACTGTATCAATAATTATATTTATCTCCAATTATTTTAAAATATTAAAATCAAAACCCACGGGTATGGACTTGGTCGAACAAAATGACGTACCACAATCTGAAAATTTTGGATGTGTGTGCATGCGTTCCAGGTGTCTCCTGTGACGCCGTGAATCTACAGGCATACAGCTTAAAGATTTTGAACCATATTGTTTTCACACTACATGTGTTTTCCACTATTTTGTAGAAACTATCAAATTAACATGTAGTCCCTAAATATTTTGCCTTATTAAACAATATTCTTGGGATATACTCCCTCCGTCCCATAATTATTATCCAGTTTAGATTTTCATTTTTAATTCAAATTGTACTAAAAGTGAAATCTCAAACTGGATAATAATTTTAGGACAGAGGGAGTAATATATTCACTCTTTACCATTGATCATTGAAATTACATATGGTTACGTGCACTAAACTTTGGTCCATGTAAGTAAAAAGCTTGTAATGAAAACAATATGTATATTTACATCATTTCCTTCCCTTACTAATTTAAAAGCTTTTGTACGTTAGAGAACACAGGTTTAGAGATTCGTAAAATATGTGTATTTGTTATGGTAATCGCAAAGTAGAAGGAGTGGATCAAACCACTCACAACTCACCGAATACATCAATTAATTAACAAAATATAGAAGAACAATACTCTTCGGTCTCAAAATTATTGTCCAGTTTGAAATTTCAGTTTTAATACAATTTGAATATAAAATAAAAATCCAAATTTAACAATAATTATGAAACAGAAGGAATACTATATAATTCAAGCAAGGAAGTAATACTAGGTATAAACCGGTGGAGTATAACAAATAAAATATTAGTCACTTAATTAATTAATTGACAATAACAAAGGAAAGGGATGATTCTATTTGGGGACGGCTTATTATTGAGGAAAATGGGCCGTGCCCGTGCATGGTGGTGGTGGACAACTGCCTCACTTATATTGGTCTTCACTCTCAATGCGGTGGACTCCGTTACATCTTCTCTTTCACTTTTTCTTTTCTTTTCTTTTTTGTTAATTGAGTATTTCTCTGAGATCCTCGTATCCGTATCGTCGGCGACAACGTTAATTCGCCAGAACACACACACACATTCACACACTGAAAAACATTAAACCCAAAAAAGAAAAATTAAAACACACACACACACAGTCACACGGGGTCACACACACCCCGCACAACTCTGTAATTTCTTTCCCGTCACTCTCTTTTTACACTTCCGTCTTAAAAGGTGGCCATTCTCTTTGTCATTTCTCCGTCTCTTTTCTTGCGTTTCCTTCATCCTCTGTTCCTCTTTTTGGTCTCTCTCTCTCTCTCTCTCTGTGTATATATATTAGCTTATTCAGCTCGTTTTCCTTTGTTGGCCTCAATTTGTTTACCGATTTGAGCTGCGTTTTTGGACTTGTATTCCTCCTTCCCCTTTTTAGTAATTTTTGGGGATTTATCTTTTTTGTACGTTCCAGTTGGGTTGGGTTTTGTAACTTTTTTAATCCCTTTTCTTAGTGAAACCCAAAGCAAGAAAAAAGAGTACTCAGGAAATATACTGGAGTTGGGTATTCATGTAACTTTTCTACATGAGAAGAATATACCATTTGCCTATTTCACACACTATCCGGTTCTGTTGGCGCCGCGAGCTCCATATTTCAGCGGGAATTTAGCTGGTTGGCGATTTTGATCACTATTTTGTGCACATCGATTCGTTGCATTTCTTTTTTGAGGTAATTATTGTCCATCCTTGGATCTTTTCCTTTTTTCATGTGTGTTTTCAGTCATGTGGAAGGGTGTTTTTGGGGGTTGGATACTGAACAAGCTAGTAAGATCCATTAATTGGTTTGAGTAAAGAGAAAAGATGCCTCCCCTTTTATTATTTGTTTAATTTGGTTAAAGTTAGCTTCTTTTTTAAAGTGGGATTTAGAGGGCCATTAGTATCATGGTATCGGGTGATGATTGTCATTTCTGAAGTAAATGCTCAATCAGCCTGGGGTGATCCCTCTATTTTGTTCTTTTTTTTCCAGTAGAAACAGCTGGATGAATTAGAGTTTTCCAGTTTCTGATTTTGCTAGAGGACCACTTAGAGGTTACTATCAAGTTTTGTTGAGTTTTAGTGCTTTTCAATATCATGCTCTAGGTGTAGCACTATCATCTGTCCATTTCGTGTTGGGGATCCGGGCTTCCTACCTTCTCGACAACTTGGATTGATGTTTCTTTCTTTCTGGAGCCCTGGATATTTCTTTCTTAATTTGCTGCGGCAGGTCGAGCTTCATTTTTTTTCCTTCCTTTCTTTTGCTTTTTTCTCTGAGGCTTCTAAAAGCTGCATGTTAACCACAGGCTTCAAAGATAATAATCCGAATATTGAACAAGAAACAAACAAAAATGGGGAAGACTTTGCCTTTTTGTGTCTGAGTGATTCTTTTTGGATCTTGCTATGTTCATTGGTAGTTGAAGCTATACCTTTTTATGTCATTCTAGTCTTATTGTGGATTTTTTCCCTAGTTATTTTTAGTTGACGATCATATCTTGCAGATTTTATGTGGTTCTGAAAGGGAGTAGTTGCCAATGAAGGCAGTTAAATCATGGAGGTGGTTGCTGAAGAAAGCCCTTTCCATACTTGATAGGGTTTGTTTCAAACACCTGCAACTTACTACAATTTTCCTAAATTATGTAATTTTCATGATCGTTGGAGAATTTGTGATTCACTTCCATTCAGTATTCAGCTGATAGTGTTCCAAACTGGTTATGCAGGGGACATGTGGATCAAAAATGAAACCTCTGCCTTTTATGTTAGTTATGTGTACAGTGATGTTGTTCATTGTATATAGGACCACTACTTATCAGTACCGGCAGACAGAAGTGAGTACTGATTATACATTCGTTTTATGAGTCGAGGTTGTCTTTACCTAAGGAACTTGATTAATATTTGCTCAGTCATTGCTAAGACCTCTTAACACGCATAATCACGCTATAAATACGTACCTACTTGTGTGTAAAGGATTCTTCGCAGGGACCTGATCATAAGATTAATCTGAAAATTTATGGTTTTGGTGATGCTGTCACTTGCATTTTGCTTTTTCCTGCTGCTGCTAACCTCTGTATTTTGCCTTATCTTGCCAGATGGAATCAAGATTGTACCCTTTCTACACTCTAATGGTAATAATTTTTAGAGTATCAATTATGCCAACAAGTTCTGTTCTTTTGCTACGTAATGTTTGTGTTGCATATGTTTTATCTAGCCCAGTTAAAATATGGTTTTTAAGGACAATGGAGCATCTCCAATGTTGTTACTCTCTCTGATATCAATTAAAATATTTTCTTCAGAGTTCCGGTGTACCAGCTTCTAGTTTGAGAAGCTTACCTCGTGGCATTATTGAAGCTAAATCTGATCTGGAGTTGAAGCCTTTATGGTCAGGCAGTGGTTCAAAGCCAGAGGTTATTGTTTTCAACATTCTGCAATTTGATATCCTATCTTTTCTGGAAGTACTTTTCTCAGTGATGATAAACTAGTTAGTAGTTACGAGCAATCTCCTATTTTATTTGATAGTGGATCATATTTTGCAGGTAGATAGCCCTAGCTCTAAGAATTTACTGGCTATTCCAGTGGGCATCAAACAGATGCGTAATGTTGATAGAATTGTGCGGAAGGTATCACATTTTTTGATGGTTTATGCTGATTAGCTTGTACATATATTTCTTGTTGAAGTTTGAAGTGGGTTTTGTATTGATCACCTTATCTTGGTGAATCCAGTTTCTTCCAGCGAACTTCACCATTGTTCTGTTCCATTATGATGGCAACGTGGATGGTTGGTGGGATCTTGTATGGAGTAAGAAGGCAATCCATATGGTTGCTTTCAACCAAACAAAATGGTGAGCCTGCTCTTGCTGATTTTATTTCAGTTTTATATAATCATACATTTGAGTCCAGTTATTATTATTGGAAATCAAGCGCTGGGATAAACCTTTATGATGGTAAAGACTGTTGCTTTTCACTCGAATTGGTCGAAAGATCTGAAATTGGTGCTGTGATAATTACTTCATGACTAAACAATAAAGTGCTGATGGACTTCAAGTCTCAGTTATAGAATGCTAAACTTCATTTTACACTGTGGAAGTTGTAGACTCCTTCATATTCGCGTGTAGTTGGGGGAAACAATCTCAGTGTCTTATGAAATTCATGAAGAGTTGTCTCTATTAATGTGTCTTTGAAAATGAAGAAAGAAAGGACTCATGCTTGAATGTTTGCTGCCTAGGGGTTACATGTTTCAGTACTGCACCTATAGTAGAAGTGTAGAACTATCATCTGCCTTTCTAGCCCTGTGCTCATATGGGAATTAGTTTTTGTTGATCTCAGAGAAACATCTTGTCTTATTTCAGGTGGTTTGCCAAGCGCTTTTTACATCCAGCTGTTGTGTCCTCTTATGATTACATATTTTTATGGGATGAAGATTTGGGAGTAGAGCATTTCCATCCTGGAAGGTAAAATTGTTGCTACAGTTTGTTGCAAATGTTCCATGATTATGTTTTCCTTTTGGAGTAGGGCTGCTTCAATCGTTTCCTTGAGTTCCCTGAAGAAAATAAAATAACAAAGTATTCCTGAATGATCATTTGTTCCTTATTTCAATTTTCAACTCATTAGTTTTCTGGAGTTTAGTCTTGTTATCAAAACTGCGATTCTGTTGTAAAATGGATGATCAAGAGCCACATGGATTTCTATATAAGAGGAACCAATTTCATGTTTTTTTTTATTCTTCTAAATGTTAACCATTACATATTTTTCCCTCTGTGTGAAGTAACTTTGGATTTTTATTATATCCCATAAACATATACCCAATTTGTGTTGATTCCTTTTCAATTTTCATCAGATATTTGGAAATCATAAAGTCAGAAGGGCTGGAAATATCTCAGCCTGCTTTGGATCCTAATTCTACTGGCATACATCACAGGATTACAATACGACGAAGAACAAACAAATTTCATAGGTGAGTTCAGACTCTTGCTAATTGATATCAAATTGAACCTGAAGACACGTTTGATTTGCTAATATCTTTACATATAACACGTGTTGCAGGAGAGTCTATGACACTCGAGGAAGTTGGAAATGTTCAGATGATTCTGAGGGGCCGCCATGCACTGGGTAATACAGCTTGGACCAGCTCACTAGTAATCTTTTTTTTCGTACTGTTCAGAGTTTATGGAGATTGAACAGTTTAGGATTAACAACTTCTTTGGTTAAGTACTGTCTGCAATTAGAGTTTTGGGTGAAATAACTATTCTGGTTAGAGAGGGGGGTGTTAAAAGTGCGGCTTTTGATTTCTTCCTATTGTCACTTCATGGTGAATTCACTATCTAAAATCTACAGATTTGTGGAAGGAATGGCACCTGTCTTTTCAAGAGCTGCTTGGCATTGTGCCTGGCATTTAATACAGGTTACATCTTCATTCTACCTCCTTGGATTCTCCTTCGGTTATGCTAACAAGTTAGTCCAATTTTTTCTGGGTGGGTGGGTGGGGGGTATTCATGAATGTGCTGTAAAGTTTACTTGGACCCTTGTGGTTGGAGTTTTGAGGAATGAGGATGGCATTTTCCTTTTCGTGTTTCTTATCCACCTAGATGGATGTTTAAATTTATTTAATAATTATGTTCTTTGTTGTTCTGTTTGCAGAGTGATCTTGTTCATGGATGGGGTATGGACATGAAACTTGGTTATTGCGCACAGGTAAATAGAAGCTGACAAGTATTTCTGTATTACCGTGATCATTTTGTTTCTTCACACTCATAGGCATGGGGGGTGGGGTTGTATCATGCTAGTAATGCCTGTTGCCTCAGTTTACCTTACATTTCTAAAGATGCTGTTTCGACCATGTGCTTCTACTAGGTTTTAAGAAAATAAGTGGGTGATACTCTTTAACTTTCTCTCACCATTTGTTGAGCTCTGCAGTAATGTTTCCAGTATGGCATCAAATGGAAGTTGCATTTACATCAATTCTAAATTATTTTTATGTCATTGTAGGGTGATCGCACAAACAAGGTGGGAGTTGTTGATAGTGAGTACATAGTTCATCAGAGTATCCAGACATTGGGTGGGCAATCTGCCAGAAAGGTTATTCATCAATCACCTCCTCCTTTCCCCCCCCCCCCCCCCCCCCCCCCCCCCTCAAGAAGGGCTTTTTATCAGACAGTAATCTTAAAGATTCCTCGCGTAGATATTTATTGTACTGTCTACTGTTTCTGTGGGAAGAACGTTCGTCATTCAGCAATAAATTTTAACTAATTGTGTACATTCCTTGTGCAGAGACTCACTCCTCCAGGATTGACAAAGGTAGACTCTAATGCTTGGTTCTCCTCTTTCTTTTGGATCAAAAGATTATGTCACTAATAGCTATATGTGTCTTCTTTGTTGCAGAAGCACGAAGTTGATGTTCGATCTGAGGTACAATATCCTCGGTACCTGATGTGCCATGCCATTGTTATTTTTCTGTCAGCTTTTCTTAAATTCTTACTGATTCATCTTTGGGGGGAAAAATGTTCAAAATGCAGTTATTCTTATTGAATAAGTGCATTTTGCAAGATCATTTCCGCATAGCCTAATACTTAGGCACCTTGTGTTCATTGTGCAGATAAGGAGGCAATCAACCACAGAGCTTCAAGTATTTGAAGATCGATGGGAACAAGCTGTGAGAGAAGACAAGTACTGGGTAGATCCATACAAAGGTAGCTCAAAAAGAAGACGGCGGCGGCGGCGAATCAAAAGACGGCATAGTAAGGTTTAGAATTAGAGCAAAGGTACATTAGGTCTTGAAGCAATATTTATCTTTCACATTCACTTGTAATACATAGTCTGTGTAGCAGTGTAGGCCCCATAGGGTGTAGGAACTCTATATTATTCATTTGTTAAAAGATCACAATCTTTACTTGTTACCATTGAACCGGGTAGGTTCCACGAGATTAGGCTTCTAAATATGCATTGGGCATACCAGAAGTTTTGTAGTTGTGAACCATACAAGATAACCCCGTCTGGAAAGGGGTGAAAGAAATGGAGAAAAGGAAGTGCTTGAATCAAAGAAGTCAGATTTATTGGGTAGCAAAGTTTGACATGCATATCATGGTTTCATTCAACATAAGTGAATATTGAAGAGGATCTAGAAGAATTGTGTGCCCAAAGAATAGTCAGAAACAACCTGTTTGTTTGTTTGAGAAGTAAACAGAAAATGAAAGCAACTTGAAGAAAATTGATCTCCGGACAACCCTGTTTGCAATGGATGAAGATCACAAGGGCTCGGTCAGGTGTAGGAGGTGTTACCAAGAAACAGGAAAAGCATGTTAGGGCACCAACATGAACAACAGTAGTTTCACAGCAGCATTTCATTAGATTTGATTTCACCTCTCAAAACTAACTGGAGGAAGGGGTTTGTATACAACAACTCCAATATGATGACGAGGCTAAACTGCCAAAACTATTGTAACATAATCCAAAATTATCTTATTCAGAAATGCCTGAAACATGGCATTATTCTTTTGGAGGGTTTCTAATTTTCTATACCTAAACCAATAGAAAGCATGATAAAAAAGTAAAAGACAGTATATATGGAAGAACAAAATCAAAATAAAGTTCTTTTTATTTTCTTCCCCAACCAAAATAGAAAAGAAAAGGGTTTTTATGAAATTACCTAAAACAATAACTGCTCTACCACTACTACTACTACAAGAAAACAAGAAGAACAAAATGTCATTTGTCATGTCTCTCAGCAGCAGCTCCGTGACACATTGTCAGTCCCATGAAACCAGACAAATTATTCTCTCAATTGATTTTGGAAAAAAAAAAAAATAGTAGTACTACTCATGTTTCTTCTTTTATTTAAAATTTAAAATGAATGTAAATTGGAAATGCCACCAACTTTTATTTTTATTTTTATTTTTTTAAAATATGGAATATAGAAAATTCATTTTTTTTTGAAAAGAAAATAAAATAAATGTGTTAGCTTTTTGTTTTGATTTCTAATGTCGTCTGGGCAGGCTGACCCAGAAGAAACTTGGGTTTTGGGGAGAAGAAGCGAAGAAGAGGCAAAGACTGTGAGACAAGTCTGCTTTCTCTCTCTAGAATTTCGATCCTTTTTATGGCCTTTTGTTCACATCACTATATTAAACTACTTTGAAAAATACCCATAAATAATTTTTAAAAGTATGTTTCTTTCGTTGAATCCTCCGAACTCCCCTTTAATTTCTTATTGACTAAGCTTTTCTTTTCTTTTCTTTTTTTTTTATCTTTGGTTGTCTCTCTTTTCCTACTGTTTCCAGATCTCTGAACGATTCGTCTCCGATAATTTTGAGAACTGGTTGAAAAAAAACCCATCTTTGAAGGCTCTACAATGGCCGGCCGGTATGATCGGAACCCCTTTGACGAAGAAGAAGAAGTGAATCCCTTTGCTGTAAGCTCCTCCCTTTGACTTTATTGTGTTTTCTCCAGTTACTTTCCAATTATGCTACGATTTTCTTTTCCAAGTTTCGCTGCTTGGAATGGTACTGTGTCTTTATGTTCTGTAATCTTGTGTTGGGTGAGTGAATACAGGGAAAAAGTTTGTTTATCCGATATGACCCTCAGTTTTTGCTAAAATAAAGTTCAAAATATGGGTTCTATTCCGGAAGGTTTTGGTTTACTTCTATATCGTGTGGATTGTGGATTGTGGCCTAAGGATTATGATTTCTTCTAAAATGTGTAATGGGATTTTGAGTTTAAGCTGCTTCAACTAAGTTGACTTCTGTTTGACTTGATCGGTGGAGATGATCTTGGAAATGTGCTCCTTAAATTACCCTCTTTGGTTTTCTTTTTTTCCATGATTTGCGGGTGTGCTTGATGGAGAGATATTTCATTAGATTCATAAGCTTGGGTTTCATTTTCATGTCTACATATTGAGGTTCCAAGGTGTTGGCAGCAAATGCATATACTGAAAAGCGATTTGAAAAAACTAATTTGTTGATGTTTTTCTGGACAAATTGGCTCTTGCGTTAAAGGACCCATTTTGTTCTTGCATTAAGATTTCCAAAGAGAAGCTAACTTTTGCCTGTGTTTACATGAATTTCTCTACCGATTCAATCCTGCAAAATTTATTGTTGTCGACTCGCTGGGATTTTCGTGGGACTTTGGAACTTTCCTCCAACTCTTACTTGTTTGATCTTGATGACAGGATGGAAAATCATCAGGACAACCCAAATTCTCTGGCGGCTCATTTTACACAACAGTAAGTAATTTCAACTAGTTTAAGTTTCATGCCTTTTAATGTGCCTACTATTCTATGACCCACATTTGGTTGTTGAATTAAATCATACAGAATACACTGTGGGCAATCTTAAATAGCTAAAAAAGACACGGAAGATATTGTTTGGTTTGGAATGAATTGGCTTAAGACTTAAGGTTAAGTTATTGCCCAGGGTTCGAAGTAAATTAAATGTTGTATATCATTGCCTTGGAACTTCTAATTCATAGGGATCTGTTTTACCTCACTTTAGTTCCTTCAGAAGATCCCTTTTTGCGGAGTTTCTGTGCCTTCCAGTATAGAATTTCTTTTTTCTGAATCTCTTATTCATCTGCAAGATTGTTCTTACTGACTTGATTTGTTACTTTTATGGTAGTTAAACGTCATTCTTTGAATATAGTATTATTATATGTTACAAAAATTGTATCTTTTCATTTTCTGTTTTAAGTTGATAAAACTGGATACTGACAATCTATCTAATTTTTCTGTATTTTCAGTCTGGCACTGTTCCTCCAGCAACCAACTCAAGGCTTTCACCACTTCCACCAGAACCTGCTGATTTCTATAATAGTACTGCATCAATTGATATTCCTCTTGATAGTGCTTCGGTAGGTCTGGTGTTTGCAATTATGATACCAAGATCTTATTTTCCAGTTTAATAATTTTAAAAAAGGTATCCTAGCCTTTTTTTTTTTTTTCTGATGGATCTAGGGCAAATGTCTTATTTGCAGGATTTGAAAAAGAAAGAAAAGGAACTGCAAGCTAAGGAAGCTGAATTGAGAAGGCGGGAACAGGTACTTAATAGAGATCTGGACTCTGGTGATGAGTACCTGATACATCTTTGTTGATGATGATTCTTTCCTATATTTATTAAAGCTTAAATTACTTCATAAGTATGTTTATTTGGTAAGAATTCGATTGCGGCCAAGAATCTTCATTTATGTCCTCCCGTATTGAAAATGCTTGTGGCTTTTATTGTCAGGCCTTCTTATGCAGGCTGGAATAAAGAAGCGGACCTTTCTTTTTGTTGTTTTTTTGGATACGGAGCCTACATCTTTTTTGTTCGTTTAATGATGCTTTTGAATGAAATTAAAGGGGGAATCTTTTTCACATTGGCCTATGTATTGGTTTTCAAAAGGGTGCAACAATGCAGAACATATCTATTTCATTTATTTAAACTCGCTTCGTTGTTTTTCAAATGCTTCCTCAAAATACCTTCTGAGATTTAATGGCGCTCCTTTGGAAAAATTGATATTTCGCCCTACGTAAAGTGTCCCTAATTCTACCCTATTGGCTCTCATTTATCAATGTTTGACGGTATATGTTGGCCATTTTTGCTATTTAAAAAGAATTATTATTGTTCATTCACTCATTTTCTCCTTTAACATGACAACATGTGGGTCCTTTTTCAGGATGTAAGGCGAAAGGAAGAGGCTGCTGCTAGAGGTGATTTTTGTCGCTTTTTATTAATGAATGTCCAAACCCCTCTTATTCTTCAAGTATTTCTAGATTGAATATAGAGTTGATCCGTCTATTTATCTGTGCAGCTGGAATTGTTCTTGAGGAGAAAAACTGGCCACCTTTCTTTCCAATTATTCATCATGATATTGCAAATGAGATACCGATTCATCTACAGAGGATTCAGTATGTTGCATTCTCAACCTTTTTGGGTATGTCGTTATTACTTCTCTTGCAACTGGAAGTTATGTAGTCAATTAGTTTAATTGTGTGAAATTTTCGTATAACTGAGCTGTCATCATCTTCAATGTTGTTAACTGTTTGCCATCATGTGTAGTTTTTGTTCTTACTTCTGTTGCTCTTAGAAAGAGATAGGATATGTTGGAATCTTATCTAGATATCTGAGTCATTTCACACCTTATGATTAAGTTCATCTCAGTTTCATCATAGAGAAATTGCTTGAAGGTGTAAGAATGTTAACTTCAACCATCTATGTTTTGAGTAACTTGTGAACTGAGATCGGTGACATGATGACAGTTAAAATGTATGGAAGATAATATTTCTTTTTGTTTATCTGTCAATCTAACTTATTTTGTGTCAATAATAGTCATAGCTAAGCGCTCGCAAATGAATGGCTTCACATGATATTTTGGGATTATAATGTTAGATTGCAAGTGATGTGCAGAATGGAGTTCGGTGGTTTTTATACAGTTTAGTACATTATACCACTTACATGATTTCACCTTTACAAGTCTTTCCAAGTTATATTGTTGCTTTTTCCACAATTAGATTGCAACCTCGAGCTTGAACCAAAAAAATTGCACACAGTGGAAATGAGGACCGAATAACATTATACATCTTGGAAAGCTTATTTTCTTCTTCTTCTTCTCTTTTTCCTTTTTCTGCTTTGGGTTGCATTTTGATATTTTGTAAACCCCAGGCAATTGCTCTTACAATGATGTGAGCATTGTCATTTTCTGTAAGGTCAACTGATGGTCCTGAATGATTTCATGTTAGCCAGACTTCTTTCTTCAGTTGTTTGGGTGATTCTCGTCTGATGTCCTTTTGCATATCTGACTTGCATGTGTGCTTCTTGTGGTGAGCAGGACTTGTAGCATGTCTTTTTTGGAATGTCATTGCCGTTACTACAGCATGGATTAAGTTAGGAGGTTGGTTCCTAAATATCTGTGCTTTTCTATGTTTCTGATTGTATATTTTTCCCTGTTTCGGAGAACTAATGACCTGAAATTTTTTCCTTGCTTAGACCCCAAAATCTGGTTTCTTGCCATCATATACTTCATATCAGGGGTTCCAGGGGCATATGTGTTATGGTATAAACCACTTTATCGTGCTTTCAGGTATGAATTTTCTTCTTTGTTAGACTAATATTCCTTGCACCACAATTGTGTACTTTGCAATCCTTCTATTTTTCTATTTGTTATTGGGGTTGCGGACGTTGCAATGTTTCTTTTGCATCCCCTCAATTCCCAACTTTTTTTTATGAAAAGCTATTTGGGTTTATGCGGGGAATGTAAGCGGCAAATGACTTGAGGATTTTGTACTGTGTTATTTTCCATATTGGGGATGCTGTTCATCATTCTATCTGGCCTTGGCTGAGCTGTGTTTTTATTAATGTTTTAGGTTTTTGAAGTTTTATCCTAACAATTTTTTGTTACTATGCTTGGTACTTAAATCTTTTAATTTCTTATTACAGGACTGATAGTGCAGTGAAGTTCGGGTGGTTTTTCTTGTTTTATTTGGTTGGTGCCCTCATTTCTTTTCATGGTTCCGTTATGTTTCATTTAAATAATCATTATGGCTTATTGTTTGGCTTTGTTTGTAGCTTCATATTGGATTTGTCATCTTCTCTGCGGTTGCTCCTCCAGTGGTATTCAAGGGAAAATCTCTTGCGTAAGTTCCTTATAGTAATAACAATAAATGGAGGAACCAAGATGGAAATAATAGATTCGGAATTTTGATGATCTCCTGATGACGATTTGCACTTGTCTTACTTTGGAACAGGGGTATCCTGCCTGCTGTAGATCTCATTGGCAAGCATGCCTTGGTTGGGGTAAGTAAGATGGTCTTTTGATTGCATGATTCTATCTTTGTATTATGCCTGAGTTTTTGTGGATTTTTGTATACAACCAAGTTCTAATCTTCCTTATTAAACTAAAGTGTACGGTCATCATTATAACTGGTAACTAATTATTCTTCTTTTCTCTCGGACAGATATTCTACTTCATTGGATTCGGACTGTTCTGTCTAGAATCAGTCCTGAGCGTTTGGGTTATCCAGGTCTGATCTCGAAATATACTAATTGGACTTTAAGATCTTCAATTATGTGTCGTTCACTTTAGGCTTAATACTATACCCATGGAGAAGATAAATGTTCTCATATCTTTTTTACTGCTTCATGCATTTTCATCTGCAGCAAGTCTACATGTATTTCCGAGGCAGTGGCAAAGCTGCAGAGATGAAGCGTGAGGCTGCCAGGGGAGCATTGAGGGCTGCAGTATGATATGATCAACTACAGAAGCCTGGTTATGAAATTTTATATTCATGTTTTCTGGGATCAGGTTTAGCCGTATGTACGCCTTATCATTGAGAGGAGCAGATGTTACAAAAGGTCACTTGGCTGTTAGATTGGATTTACTGTGTTGGTAGTGTGCATTTTTGTATGTAAGTTCGCATTCATTTCAGTAGAGTGACATTTATGATCACTGGAAATACTAGGAGTTTAAACAATACCTTCCGTGGTTTAAACTAAATACTCTTCACATCTGTATATTTCAAGAGTTCTAAAGTTGATTCAATTTTTCATTCCATTGCAGAAAGTTTGACGGTGCTGTTGTATCTTCAATTTTTTTTTTACAGTCAACTCCTCAAATTATATTGAATCATCTATAATCATCTTTTTTTTTTTTAATAAAAGACTGATAAAGCAAACTATTACAGAGGACAGCCTTCAAGAGTGTATAATGATTAAGCTAAAAATTATGCACTTGCATTATTCTCTCCCTTTATGGATCTCATTCATTTCTTGTGGACTTAAAAGAAGTCAATTATTTATTAGGTATGTGATCATACCGTATTTTCTCCGATCCTTTTATACTCCTCATTACCTTAGCAATAAGCGATGCATTTCTTGTGGCAGTCCATGGTGCAGCCGCCACCACCAGCTCCCAAACACTTGGCCGGACACGTCAGCTTCTTTTTGTAACATGGGCCCTTTTCTTCACACACGATGCTGGGCCTTGTGATCTCACTATCTCCGTTCACAGCGTTTGGAATGCTGCCTCCGAAGCTGATCCCCAAACCGGCGTCCACCTCACCTTCTAACCCGGACTGATTAGACTGGGCCTGGGCTGCAATGGGGAACGCGGTGGTGATTAGCAAGATGGCCAACACATAAGTAGTAAAGGAATTCATAGTGTGAGAATTTGAGATGGATTTTTCTGTTTTCCCTTTCTTTCTTTTCTGAGGATTTTCTGAGTAGGATCTTCCTCCTTTAATAGAGGGAGAAGTAAGGGGGGGTTTTAACTTTGAAAGTGTTAGGTAGAGTTGGCATGCAGTTGGGTACCGATCACTTAGTCCTAATTTCCGGTACATTTTTCAAGTTTATATGTCTCTTCCTAAACAATGTTATAGGAATCCAAAGTGATTATATATGAACGATTAGGATTAGATATTGTTAAAATCGTGAAGGAAATTAACGATTATCAAAACAAAGCTGTTTTAACAAGAAGTGGAGAGATGATATAATCTACTAATATTGTTACAAATCTTTAATCCAAAAATTAACAAACTGGACTACTCCGGTGATGATCACGTATAAAATTGGTTGCAGTCACATTCGATAGCGGAAATTGTTAATGATCAGGTATACGATAAAATATCAATCCGGTATATGGTGTAAATATTAATATTTGGTACTACCTGAAATTTGAGTTGAAGCCCCCAAAAATTTGAACCCCTAATTCTAAACGAAGGTGATCTATCAACTCAGCTGATAGTTACATCAAATTAGTTGACCCCTACGTTGATGCATGCATGAAAGATTTGGCCCAACGCCCTGTCCATGCCGGTGCTTGCACGATTATGTCGTTATTCCTGTTGATTCTTATTTATAAGGTACAATCTTGGATAAATGTAATTTAAATTAACTTCTTATAAATAGGACTGAACAAGATTAATTTGTAAACTCTGTTCTCTCTGGATTCCGTCATGTAATTTCAAGAGCTCTATTTTCGCTGTGAATTGAAGTTCATTACAGTATATGTGTATTGAATGTGAAAATTAGACTGTAAAAATGCATTGGAATTGTGAAGAAGTGGATTTTTTTTTCTTTTTTTTTTTTTAAAAAAAAAACAGAAATGAACTTAAGACTACTCACATCCACCATGTGTTTTGCTAACAGAGCTGTTTTTCTTGATAGTCAAATATGTATTTTGTTCCCCCCACCCCACCCCCAACAAAAAAAAAAGGAAAAAAGAAAAAAATGTATTACTCCTTCCGTATCAAAAAATAGTCCACATTGAGTTTTGAGTTGTGTATTATTTTTAGTATAAATTTGAAAACTCAAAGCGGACTATTTTTGTGGGATCGGAGGTAGTACTAAGTTGATAAAATATTAAAAATAATAAAATTGATGATAGGTAGGCAGCAGATGGATCATATATAGAGGAAACGGGTTAGAAATGAGCAACCAAATGTCGGATGTATATATGATGAATCGAAACTGATTTGGTCTGCCGGAGAAAAAGATAAAGGATCACCGGCCATAAGGACAAAATGCAGCCTTTTTAGCTGGCAAAGCAAAATCGCCCTTAATTTCATGAATAACGAATATTCTCATCATGATGAACAAAGAAACAGAAATGATTCACATTGTGACGGACATGAAAGTTCTCAAAAAAATGTCTGTGAGCTCTCAAATTCCCTCTGCCCGTTATGGAACTTGCAAAATCAGATACTACTATTCAGCTACGAGTTAGAGTAGAAACGTCAAAGCAAACCATATGTAAGCCATTCCTCCATGAGCCTAAGTTCATCAAAAACTCGGATGCAATTGTCACTGTTGTGTAGTAGTCTTCCTAACCTCGTTTCTCGTATACCATTTTCGTTGATCTTTAATGCAGATGTGTTTTCTCAACCAAAGAGAAAGAAGAAAAAAAAAAACACATTTCCTCCATGAACCTCATATGGTGAATTTATTCTGAAAAGATGCCAACCCAAATACCATCAACTGTCAGCTGGCTGATAGACATAATCAAAAAGCTCATTTCGATAATAGTAGTAGTACACAAGCAACAACCCCAAAAAGCGCAGTAATTGGGTCTCATACATACATAAGTATTTCACATCGAGAAAGATACTGAAACTCACTCAACTAGTAGATAGGAAATAGTTGTACTAATAACGTAGTACTAAAAATATTAGATTTAAAAAAAATAAAAATAAAAATAAAAATTTAAAGCAAAACCCATACATAAGCAAACAGCCAGCCAGAGAGATCCATCATCCATTCATTCATCGTTACACATATAGTAAGCCCACGACTTACGGATTCAGCAATAAGCAATGCATTTCTTGGAGCAGTCCATGGTGCATCCACCGCCGCCGCCGCCAGCTCCGAACCCCTTGCCGGAACGGCTGTAGGAGCTGAAACACTTGGCCGGACAGGTCAGCTTCTTCTTGTAACAGGGTCCCTTTTCTTTGCACACCACGGTGGGCCTAACAATCCCTCCTTTGCCGTACCCTCCGTTCGGACCTCCATAACCGGATCCGTACCCGCCACCGAACCCGCCGCCTGGGATCCCACTCCCGAACCCGGGAATGTTAAACCCGCCTCCGGGTCCGTAGTACCCCCCGAATCCACCACCATCGCCGGCGCCGCGGCCTTTCTCGGTTTTCTTCTCTTTGGTGGTGTGACCCTGTGGGTGATGATCCGGGTCGGTTCTTGCTGCAATGGACAAGGTGGCCGTGATCAGCAAGATGGCCAACAGAAACGTAGTTCTGGAATTCATAGCTTCAAGACAGATAAAAATTATCTTCTTTTTTTTGCCTTTGATAGATTATTCTGGGGTTTGAGAGATCTTTTTATAAAGGGGAGCAGCAGCTGGAAGAAGTAGTACTATTTGATGAAGTGGAGAGAAGCAGAGCAATAATGGAGGAAGAGGGGTAAGGTGGATTTTAAATACCTTTTCAAGAGTTGAATAAGTATGAAATAGTGGTAAAACCAAGCATTTAAGAGGGGGAGGAAAAAAATTGAACTCAAGTGGATGGCAGATAGGCAGTTGGGGGTGTGTGGATCCTTTGCATGAATACTGTGTGTGTGTGTGTGTGTGTGTGTGTGTGTGTGTTTTGGAAGTTAAAGCTTATAGAAAAGTCAAAAGAGAGGTTGATCCAAAATTCCAAATTGCACATTCTTCAGAATTTAGAAAGACAAGTTAGTACGTCAGATATTTGACATTTGTTTGGATAATTTTGGATTTTTGGATTTGGGTCATCATCATCTTCACTGTGTGAGTGCGCGTTTTCTCCCCCATTAGACTTTTTTTTTTTTTTTTTTGGCTTACCTCCTTTCCAAACGTACGTTTTATCACTTTTGGGTATGTTTGTTTCGATTTTTTAGTGTGTATTTTTAGATTTTTTTGTATTAAAAATGTAAAACAATATGTTGAGATGAGACAGTTATTAATATATTAATTTAAAAATACCATAAAAACAAACAAAGCTGGGATCAAGAGAAGATAACGTTACACTTACATGTTGTTACATAGCTTTGTTACACGAAACATAAAATACAATATCAATTTGTCTTCCAGTTTAGCGATAAAATTTTACGTACTACTCACTTCGTCCTAGAAAAATAATCCACATTGAGTTTTTAAATTTGTACTACTTTTTGGGACGTAGGTAGTATTTCTTAAATTCTAATTTTTATGTCTTTCCTCATCCTCATGTGGGAGGAGATAAAATTGGGGAAAGTGGAGGGTGGAAAGTGGACATTTGGTGGGTCGGGACCGACGGGGTAAATAGTGGGAGGCTGAGTTGTGGCATTGTGATCTCTTCCTGTGCTGTTATGGAAATTGGGAAGGGACCGTTTGATGAGACACTCTTTTTTGCAATGTTTTGAAATTGGTTTTGGTTACAAATTTATTTGTAACGAACACTTACTTCAATGGATCTCTAACCGTTGAACAATTCAAAAAAAACTCACGGGAAGACATTCGTTCCACCTGTCGAAGGAATGATGGGTTCTATTGGAGTTACTTATGGCTTAAAGAAGGAAAGTCGTTCAGTTCAACGATTGTATAAGAGGCAGGGTACACTAATTAAGGTGGTGTATAAATATAGTCAAAAACAGACGGATGCAAAACTACAAATCTATGTGATACACTCCATTGACCGACCCTTCATCTGATGACCAGCAAATCCATTTTATTAAATGACTAGCTAGCTACAGTAAAATGTTGATTCAATAGATAGGAGCACTGATTTATTGTGATTTTTATTTTCAAAATGATTAATTGTCATGCTTAACCGGAAAAGAATATCTTTTTTTTGTTACAAAAAAATAGTTTACATTGAGTTTCTAAATTTATATTAAAAATAATACAAAACTCAAAATTCAATGTGAATTATTTTTATTTTATTTTCAGACGAAGGGAGTACTATTTTCGGAAAGACATGAATTAATGCATGGAGAGTTGGCTGGCCATGTTCACTTCAACATATCGTAGACCGTCGGTTTCAGTTCAAGTAGTTAATGATGGTATGGTATGTGCAATATTGTGTGCACTCTAGCTAAGACCTCAGAGGATGCATGTTATATGTCTTCTCCATGTACGTAGAAATATTGGTAGATGATGGATGCCCCGTACGATTGGATTGTCTAACAATCCATTTGGCTCCGGGAGACACGGATTTTTTTTGTATGGACCATCTCCCATTGTTTATGTAATAGGACTACTACTATTCATCATTTCTAATAACGCACTGCATTTGAATATCTCGCCAGAAAATTTTCGCGTTAAATAGTTAAATTGTTTCCAACGAGACAAAACTTGCATTTTTTTTTTTCTTTGTGAGTCTTGATTATTGTCTTTGGATCGTGTTACTTGTAAAATAAATAGATTACTTGATCACGACTAATATTGTATTTACGTGTTCATCCTATTTTAGAAAAATACTAGTAGTAGTTTACGCCAAAACAAGTCGCTATGGGAGCTTTCTATACTTGATTTTAGAGCTCTTTAACCCAAATAAAAAGAAACTTTTCAAAAAACAAAAAAAATACAGTACAAGCAAATATTGCTAAAAAGTCAAAATCATGGCAAAAAAAAGTTATGGATATTTCATGACAATTGACAACGGAAAAAAAGTATTAAAAATATTCCTTCCGTCCAAAAAGAAAAATAGAAAAAAAAAATTACTGTGAAGTACAATATATAAGACAATGATTTTAGGTTGAAATAAATATATACATTGGATAATTTCATGTGATGATAAGGGAGAAAAGGAGGAAACATGAACTTGAAGAAGTCAATTGCATTTAAAGGGTGAAATTTGGAATATGGATCCCATCAAATTGTACCTTGGTACCTACTAGACAGACTTAAATATTATGAACACGGTTTTCATTCAATTTAGCCGATATAGTCAAGTTGTTCCTTTTCCTACCCATAGTAATGGGATGGCACCCTGATAGATAAGTATAGTACGTTTAGTTTGGTAGGGCTATTCCTTCTCCAATTGCTTCTTTAACTAACTGAACATAAAAGCCTATGTGCAAAACCTTTTCCAGATTTCCTACTGTCACGATTTCATAAGCCGGTAGTCCTTGGTATCTATGGGTTCGTGATCTTATGAGTGTTTCAGGTTAATTATGCGTTGGAGAAATCCCCTTCATTTGCTCCAGGAATTCAGCACCGGGAAAGATTGCTGCCTAGTAGAAATGGAGAATAAAAAAATTTCTATCTTTTCAACCCTGCAATAGTTTTCTTATTGCTATGAACTAGACATGCGAATCTTGCAATTTGGATGTATTAGCACCGCCTTGGTTCTTTTATTGCAGCCGCGAAAGGAAAGATAAAGATCTAAAGCAATTGACCAATCTCCCGGGTTTAGCAAATTTTCGTGCGGGGGAGACAAATGTACAGCACAAAACTGTAATGATCTTTGATGACAAAGACGGGAAGAACATTTGTCAAACATATGGCCGCGCCAGCCTCTCTCCTACATGAATACAAGAAACACTGCACTCAAAAGTCCAAATGATTGAAAGACCTCTTTTGTAGGTATTATCTAATCAATGTTTGAAATTGACGACTACTCAAGATAATGCATTTAGTCAATGGGTGTAAATCTTTGCAGGACTTTCTTGTCTAATTTTGTCCAGTTTCCATCATCATACACTTAAAGCCCAGTTCTGAATTCTGATGCAGCTGCAAGAAATTCAGAAGTTAATACTCCCTTTGTCCCAAAATGATCGGCTAGTTTGGAATTTCATTTTTAGTATTACTAAAACTGATAATCCAAGCTGGGTGGTCATCTCGGGATGGAGGTAGACATGTAGTAGTAGATCTTATTCAACTAAAGAACAGTGACAAATACAGATTCAGTATCACACTAGACTTTTATTCATTGGTTGAGAAATGGTTATCACTACTTGGTACTTAAAAACATGGCTAACTTGATTGCCTTCAACTTACGTTTCTATATTATTCAAAATGGAGTAAGAGCAATATACCTGGTCTAGAGTCCCTTGCTCTTAGGAGAGGAAGAGGAAGAGGAAACTTGCTCAACTGCAATACTGGATTAATGTATCCCTTAGTAACTATGTTGTATACAGTTGTTTAGATTCTTTATACATTGCATTCCAGTGGAAATGGTATAGGTTCAGGGTCAAATCATCAAGATTCAAGGCAGTGTATAAACATTTAACAGGCGATACAGCAGCTCCTTAAAAGAATGATCACAACCTAACCTTGCCATTTCATTTCATCCACACTTTGTGATAGAGATGCCGTGAAAAAAATCCAGGATGTGCTGTCACGATCTTTTCACAGCCATGGAAGAATCCAAGAAAATCAGTGTTTGTCTGTACATTCCGAACTGCTGATGACAGTCTGAGAATGTACATCACAGACTAGAACAGTTCCAGCTAGTATCAACGGCACCTAGGATCTTCTCATGTAGGATTGGACCAGCAGACGCAATTATACCCCGATCAAGACCTTCCAAATAGATTCCTTTTGAAAAGTCTAGTGGACGCCCTCCGGCATCAGTTACTACCCCACCAGCTTCTTCAATGATTACAACACCGGCTGCATGATCCCATATTTTCTCCTTGTAACCAGCCCTAGCAAACTTCATAAATATTTCAGCATCTCCTCGAGCTATTGCTGCATACTTAACCATGCTATATAGGCGCAACGGCTGATTCCTGCATATGGTGCACCATGCATTATCTTTCAAAACTTTTGAAATTCTACTATAGAACAGATACTGCAAGTCTTGCATAAACCAACGTCATGTAGGGTTCAAACTAGCCTAAAGCTACTAATCCAAACAAAGATAGCATGGTGTTTAAAGAGTGGTTAAAGAAGTAGAAAATTTTATGCACCTCATTCCAACACTATGAGCTAATCCTGCTGTGAAAGAGTGACTGGAATTTGCCTTTTCAACTGGTTCACAAAATGTAGCCATAGCTGGGTTGTCGATGGAGGATACCTTAATCTGCCTTCCAAAGTTTGGCCAAATAATCTTCTTGTCCCCTTGGAACAATGTGTGCATCCAGGCTTTGCCACTTCCCCTCTTGGCATACATAACACAACCTTCAGCCAGAGTTTCCATTGTTGGTGAGGTCAATCTAGATAAAATTCTCCGATACCCATTTTGGTAACTTAGCCATTCCTTCTTCACTGGGTAATTTGGACATCCAAGTACTCCAAGAACAGGTTCCCCATCTTCTATCAACGACAGTGCAATGGCATACTGATCTCCACGCACAAACCCCAATGTGCCATCTACAGGATCTAGCACCCAGAACTTTCCAGTCTCACCACCAACTGAGTTGCATTTATGGATTGCATTAAGAACCTCGTCCGTGTCAAGAGGCCTTGATGGCTTCTCAAGGCCAAAAAGGGGAGCTTTGGCTAAACATTCATTGACTGTTTTGACCACATTGTTTAAAAGGTCAGTTGAACCAATCTTCGAAAGTTCCTCAACATCCTCTTCTGCCACAATCGAAACATTTTCACCGCCAAAGGTTTCAGACAGAATCCAGCTGACTACTGCTTGGACACTCCAATCTGTTTGAGAAAGAGAAGCTGAATTAGATGTCCTGATTTGTCTCTTCGACAAGAAAAATTAAATCTTTCAAAAGAGAGAATGGCACATCTGAAATGTTAACATGGAACTGGAGCTAAATCATGACTGCATAATTAAGAAAGATTAGTAACACAGAAGATGGCGCAAATTAATCTTCAGACACAGCGAACAACTAACGAGAAAGATTACTGTCAGACCATTCAGTTTATAAGGTCACCAGACATTTGGTGGAGTAGCTAAAACTATTTTAAATATTCAAATTGTCTTCCATTGATAAGCATAGACAGCAAAACTACACAATAACCATTAAACTCACTCGAGAGCCTAACATAATGAGCTCTTTTTAGCATCTGAAATTGTAGAGAATATTCTGAGTGAAACAGAATGAGACAACAGAACAAGGGCAATATTTTTCACTCTATTTCAATTTGACACTTCATATTTCTCCTAAGTTTATTGATTGCATAATAAAACAGGATAGCTGAAATTATGAGATGCGTTACGGAAGATTTATCAATAGCTACTGGAAACTCTGATCAGTAGAATGTCCATGGTCATGTCATCTGTAATACTTGTTTACTTAAAACTTGATGGTTATGCATAATCAAGGAGTAACTCAAACTTCCTAGGAACCGAAGAAAACTACAGGTGCATAAGAACTATTCAAAATGTTGCAGGAACAATAAGCAACTTGCGGGAAAAAGTAAGGGAGAAGTCGCAAGAATCCTTATTGCAGAAATACGAATCAACGCAACCTGTCCACTGGCTTCAAAAATAAATCATTATTTCTGTAACTAATAGGTTCTTCATTTGGTTCCAAGTTTATACAACACAGCTTATTAATGATAACTAATAGGTTCTTCACTTGGTTCCAAGTTTATACAACACAGCTTATTAATGATAATCTCAGCTAGACTGTGGTTCAGCACTTAATCCCTGAATTATGCTTAGGTCATGTTTTAACAGCATTATTGTTCTAGGAAAACTTTTTAAAAGTTGGAAATATTATCCATTCGTTCAATCAGCATAAGAAAGAACTAAATCATATTCCTTGCCCGTTTATATGCCTATACGTGGAATTCCAAATCACATGCGTAATTCCACTAAAGCAGTATCATTATCATCCCGACACCTAGCAATTAACAACCAATTACTAAATTATTCGATAGTTTATCATAATCCCAACAGTAAGCAATTGACTGCCAAACTCCAACTTGGCTTTCAGCAAGTAGTCCAACCACAACAATGAGAGTTATATACCCCATTTCACATAAACAGGAAAAAAAAATGGAAAAAGGAAGCGCCTGTTGCATCTCTTGCCTTCTTGGCCCTTCTCTGCCCACCTCAACCAACATAGCGATAAAAGAACAAAAACATTTTCTTTGTGGCTGAAGCGCAGAGTTGAGCCAACAACAATACATAACATATTTCCCATGGAATAAATAAAGCTAATTCATTTTTTTAAGAGGCAAAGTTCCAATCAACCTACTAAAAGGGACATAAAACACAATATTTTTTCACTACAAGAAGCCGACGGATGATGAAAACCATAGTCAACAGTCAAAATTAGACAACAGCCAACATCAAGAAAAGTAGCAAAATACTATTAGTTTTTCTTTTTCAAATTGTTTATTACCTGCAATGGTAACAGGGGAAGTATCATGCTTGGAATGAACCCCTTCACTGCCATCATGGGTTCTGTGAATCAATCTTTCTTGGACTTCTTTACAAAGCAAAGACGCCATGTGGACGGCCTTAACAGCAACTTCCAATTCCTTAGAATAAATCCCAGAATCTGAATCCTCCAATTCCAACTTATCGGGCTGTTCCTCCATCATTGGAATAGCAGCAGCGGCAGAACAATTCATCTGGTTAGACTTGGAAGTTAACGAAGAGGAAACGGGTGATTGGGTTGGGATTTGGCGGCTGTTTTTATAAGCAAAAACTGGGGAACTTTTGAGTTGGTCAGGAAGAATGCACGTCTGGGATATGGGAAACGGGAATTTGGTGACAAAATTTGATGTGGAAGTGGGCATTTTGTAAGCAGTTGAATTTCACAATTTAGAACAGAGCCAACGAATGAGTGACGGGGGGGATAGAAAGCAACGAGTGAGGGTGGATGGAGTTTATTGCGAAATTCATAAACTTTTTCCTGATGATGATTGAGAAATTGGGAAAATTTATTTCTGTATGATTGTGATGATGATGGAAAAGCAAGTTGGGATTTTGCCTCTTTGAAGGGGGGTGGGGGACCTGGAAAGTGGGAAGTGGATTGATCACTGACTGAAGAGCCAGTTTCCTTTCCAGTATAGCATATATTATTATTTCATATTATGAGAAATTGGATTTTTATTTAATTCGATTTAATTTAGAGAATTTTTTCCCCGTCTATTCCAACTTTTGGATTATTCTTCTAATCCAACAAAGTTTAAAAAGGTTAAGAGACAAATTTTACTACATATTAGATTAAAAACTTGTTCTATGGGTGAATTTATGTTGGAAGATGGTTAGAGTTTTACTATTCGTCTTAGTATTATAAAAAAATATTTTATTGATCACATAGTGATTTTTAGGACTAATTCTAATTAGATAAAACACGATTAAATGATGACGCATCTATGATAGAAAGAATGCGTCAAGCAAAGCTGTCAAATCCTGTAAAACATGAAGATTAGCAACCCAATCCCCGCGGCACACAATTATCTTGAATTACAGTATCGTTGATGCATTATTGTGCGTACTTTAGTATACTGGGAAAGGAAGTGAACAACTTATTCTATTGAGCCATCATGGCTTGGCATTAATGCCCAATTATAGTAACTAATTATGGTACACGTCGAATACACATTATTGAACCCATGGTAGTACGTGTATACCTGTTACGTTTCTGAAAAAAAAAAAAAAAGAAATATGTTCGTTACCTTAATCGAAAACAAGATGGGGGAGTTAACATACTTGTTATTGTTGTATATAAAAAAAAAATGTCATTTTTAGTATTCTGTTTTAATTCGCTAAATTAGACTCTGATTTTGGGACGAGATAGGTAAATACGATAATGGTAAAGTAATGAAAACACTTATCCTGGTATTATATAATGGAATCACTGTAATCACGAATAATTTTTTTCCCTCTGTATAAGAGTTGCAAGGGAAAGGAAATCATAGAAAAGAAGAATAATGTATGGTTGCAGAATGGGTTCAAAAGAAGTGAACGTGTAGGGTCAGTTGCGAGCATTCAACAATTCACAGGAATGGAATGGAGAAGGCTCAAGAGCCCAAAACTGTGTTTTTTTTATTTTTTATTTTTTTGTTTTTGAATTGCAAATTTATTGGGCTTTGAGTCAAAATACACTAGTCATGGAAATTAGGCGTCTAAAACAAAGAATCATTTCATTAGTAGTAAATATGCGAAGATAAAAAAAATGTTTTTGCCGCTCCTTTCAGAACTTAACTCTCCACTTTATCAACTATTGCTAGTTATACCTACCTCGTCCATAAGAATAGGCACTGATAATATTTTGCTAAATGTAATTCCTGGTGACTTTTTTAATAAAACCCCAAGGCCAAATGATTTGTAACGACAAATGCTTCTAGCCACTAGGAGTACTGTTTATGTCATGATTATGTGTAAGTTGTTCTCGATACGATCCGACATTACTGTATAAGCTGTTATACCGGAGCTCTCATCATGATGCTATTTCTTCTATGCAGTCGGAGCTTGAAGAATGAAGATGCAATTGGAAAACGCAAGTTAATAGGAACACACGTAGGGGAAGCGATTTAGTGGTGGCCGAAGTGTAGTTTTTAATGATCTTCGATGGTTTTTAGCACTATAAAATTACTCCCTCCGGTCCTTAATATAAGGCATTTTAATTAGTTTTTTTTTTAAGAAATAAATTTTATTGATTTACTGGAAACCGTCCAGCAGCGATTGATAAACAAAGATACAGCCAGAAAAACACAACTTACAATGGGCCATAATCATAGTGCCTTTATTGTGTTTCATATAAATAAACTTATATAGAACTACCCTATCAAGCAGTAGTTGTATCACGTGCCGAAACAAAGATACAACACTAAAAATCAGTTGAAACTCCCAAATCATAGATTTAACAACTAAATCTATGATGACCAAATCTTTTAAAGCCATACGAGCGAACTCCAACGAATCCCCCGCCGTACCTGCAAACATTACCGACAAAAATGTCGCCATACCAACGAACATCACCAGAGAAGTCGCCGCCATACCAGCGAACATCCATAAGGAAGTCGCCGCCATACATAACTAGTAGAAGAGATTATAATTTTACTTATTAAAAATAAATTCAACAACAATAAAAAGTGTAAGGATCGAGACAGAATTATCTTCCCCATCCTTCCATGGTGGAAAGATGGGAGAAAAGATGAAGTTTTTTTTTTTTTGTTTTAGGGTTTTAGGTTTGGAGAGGGAGAGAGGGGCGGCCCAATGAAAGACACGCATTTTGATTAGTCTTAAGTTTAATCTAGTACACATGTTTAATCGACGAAAAATCTAAAAAATATTTCATAACAATCAAGAGAACACAACGAATGTGAAAATATATGTTTAAAATTTTTTTGTCAATTAAAAATATATACTAGATGAAATTTATGAAAAATCAAAATACCTTATAATAAGGAGGAGTATTATGGTGATGGAATGTCAATGTCTATATCACATTACTAGATGTTATACCCGTGCGATACACAGGATTAAATAATAATTTTTTAATAATTTATTTTTATTATTTTATTATGATTTTATTTTTCTAACTATATTACTTATTGAAATCGAATAAAATGATATAGAAATAGGTTTGATGTCTATGTATATAGTCGGTCAAATAGTTCACTTGATAAAGTTGATCTAAGAACTCAATACATTAAGGTATGAACCTACCAAAACAAACCAAATTTTAGTACTTGATACCAATGTGACTCCTTTAAATTTATTATTATTACTGGATAAAATTTTTTAGTCAACAATAAAATATAAGTATAATTTTCATAATTTTAGTTAAGCTCAGAAATTCCGAAAAGAAAAAAGAAGACAAAATTCATATATTGCTTGTAAAAAAAAAACCAAAAGAAGAAGGAGGAAATTTATGGCTACCAACCCCAAAGAAATTATTTGGCTTCCTATTTTTTATAAACTTAAAGCATGACCTTATTGAATTTTACTAATCTTTTAAAGAATAAAATAATTAAAACAATTCAAATTTGGAGGACTTTTACACAATTACACTAAATTTTATTTTAAAGATTTATAAGAAAATTACATTTAAGATTTTTATTGATGTGACATTCTAAGAGTAAATATTGTTTCTCTCTCTGGTTTCTCTCTTAGAATATACTACAAATGTGTGATAACTGATCGAATCACATCTTGTCTCGCCATGATTTCGAAACTTAGTCATCATTTTAGATTGATACATAAATAATAAGTGATAGTATGGACCTCCATTAGGCCTAATTGGGCCGCGGGGAGTCTTTAGAAAAGCCCAACTCCATTAAGCCTCATTATTTGTCTATATATGCCCCCATTTTTTTAGTGTTTGAATAAGTTTGTTTCTCATTCGTTCTTAGCTCATATACTTTATTCTCTTATTCTAGAAAGTATTAATTCTTGTTTTGTAGCTCTCAAGTCTATAGATATCGTCGATTCGCCACATTTAACCTTCACCAATAAGATTTAAGGCGCATTAATTCGTCTTCTAAGTCCAACCAATAAACTTTGTTAATTTCTTTTGTACTCCTCCGTGGGTTATAATAATATTGTAAATCAATTAAAAAAAACTGAAATATAATCCATCTTATAATTTTCAGGCATGTTGCTACTGCCCAAGGGACACAATACCTGTTATGAAAACAAAAAAAAGTGTAATTATCATCTGCAGGTGGACGGTGTGTTCTTCAGTGTTAAGCAAGTGCATTGCCATAATTTATCTATCCCCACCCCAACATATGATATAGAATCTCCTCCTAATAAAAAAACCGACCAAAATATTAAGTACAGTAGTACAGATCGTATGATAAGTAGAGTAGAGTATAAGTTGATTTTCATAATAATATAAAACTTGAGCAGCCGCCTTTACCCCACACGGTGACAGTGACAGTATCAGAGAGCCTTTTGCTTTTTGTGTTGCAGAGAGAGGAACTGGGAAAAGAAAACCCACCCAAAAATTATGGTCCATATGATTTCTGAGTTATATAGTGGAGGGGCACCAATTGTAGCACGTGAACCTTATGTGCATGCTGGGTTCATACTTCATACCATGAACTTTCACATCTTTGTAAATTTTTTTCGGACGCTCGATCTTTTTAGTTACTAAATATTTTTCAATTACTTTCCATCCCTATTATTTTTTACACGAAAAAAAATAGTCATGATACTTTTTTTTTTTTGGTTCAAAATTGGTCTTATTGGCCGGATCCGGTCACTATTTCGGCGAAATATAATTTTTTAATTACAAAATTTTCCTAAAATTTTATAATTTTACCATTTACCCCAATTTTTTAAAATTATTTTCAATTGAACTCAATTTTAACTTTAAAACATCGCTTTTTCAATTTTACTCTATTTACTTCTGTTTATCCCAATCAAATTTTACCATATTAAAATGTTAAATTTACCACATTGTTTATCCTATTCTCTATCACATTTACCATGAACAAACTAAAAAATATTCTTAAATATTTATTTAGCCAGCCTTTATTACTAAATCAACTATCAAATTTCAGTATTATCTCCAGAATAGTCTAAAATGAATAAAATAATAATATAAAATAAAATATCTCTAATATAATAAAATAAATTTAATAAATATTATTAAATTAATAAAATATTCCGTGGTAAATTATTGTTAAAATTAAAAAAAAAAGTGCAAAATCGTATTTTTTTTTCCTTTTTTGTCTAGTTCTTTCTTCCCGAACACCATTTTCTCAAACTCTAAAATAGAACCCTATTTGATTTACCTTAGGTATTTTTTTTATATTTTCCGTGGTAAGTTATTTTATATTTTCACCTCATAAAAATTAGAACCCTATTTGATTTACCTTATGTGTTTTTTCTAATATTTTCCGTGGTAAGTTATTTTATATTTTCACCTCATAAAAATTAGAACCCTATTTGATTTACCTTATGTTTTTTTTACGTCAATAAAAAAATCAAAATAGCAAAGAAATTTTTATTTTCAAATATCCTCATTGCTTCAATTGTTTTTTTTTTCCATAATAAATATAGATAAGGTAAACTAAAATAAGGTTTGAAAAAGTTTTGTCAAGT